AATCGAACCCGGGTCTTCAGCGTGACGAGCGAACGCTTTAAACATCAAAATGTTTGGAATTCGTTATCATAATAATACAGATGGAAATGTTTTTCAGTCACTTTGTAAAATAACTGAATATTTAGGCGTTTAATAAATTTGCAAATGTTACACATTTTGACAGTAAAAAGATATACACACTATAAAAAAAAGCAATGCTCAGGTGAAATGTTTACTTTGTGTTGCAAGTCAAAATAGTGTAAACGAGAATCGCAAAATTACCAAGCAAGTGACATATCAAAACTTCGTCATCATTACCGATGCTACCCACAAAGATACCTACATTTCCTTATTATCTCGAAAACTGTAATTCATTTTGTTGATCAATGTGACCATACGCCCTTATTACTACCCATACAAGTGACTAATGCGCTTACGAATGACGCAGCAGAGGTCGCGAACTAGTCTAGATTTCTGCTCTTCATCCGGGTACTCACTGGGAAAAAAACAATAACAAAGGCAACAACCAGTCCCGGGGAATTGCTTTAGATCAGTGCCCCTTTAACAACTAGGCTACCCAACCGAGCCCTGGGCATTAAATATTGAATATGTACTGTATTCGACATAGGATGTAATTTTTATGGTTTAAATGTCCATGAGACAAACGCGGGGAGAAGGAGTTCCGCACCACAACGCGATCTCTGTCCCCAATCAGCTTATGCGACTCACCCTGAATGGCGATATGCACAACAAGCCTCGTTTTCGATCCAAGTTGGAGAATGTGAAAACATTAAATGGGTTCCATTTTGAAATCACGAGGAAGGATTCACGCGCTGCAATTTCTGCTTCGTGTATGACAATAATCTAGTTCAAACAATATCCTTTTTCACATCTCACAGACGCAATGTCTATTTGAAAACATCAGAGGTAGATTGGAAAAACAAATTTGTATGTAGCCAGCAGTGCTTGCTCCTTTTAAAAGTTACTGGCCCTTCTCCAAACTGGCCGACAATTAAATGGTGGAGGCCGCGAAGTGGCTGAACCTGAGGTCGCGTAGCCACCTAGCAGCGCTCCTCCCCCCTAGAACGTTTTCCCTTCCCATGAGATTAATCTTGGCTTCCATTTGCCTCAGTTCATGGCAATTTATGGGCAAATAAAGAAGTTTTACACAATATCACAAAATGGCGGCCGGTTGTCATTCTACCGAGATGATCCAATTAAAACATGAAACATACATGGGGTAGGGGTGCAATTTTGACTTTTAACTGTCCCTGTTAACAACCCTTTGTAATTTTAACTGGCCACAGGCCACCGGGCCAGCAGTTAAATCGATCCCTGAGACATCTCTCGTTGTCCAGACTTGTGAAATTATCTTCAGCCATAGTTTGCTTTTCTCTCTATTCCTCGCATGGGAGAGAGAAGATAGAAATAACATTGTGGTATTTGGTTTCTTTTATTAAATATCACACTACAAAGAAAAAGAAGTAAATATTTGCAAATATTACCTCGTTTTTCATTATACTAATAAATGTAGGAGTGTCTTAGGCCTATAATACTGATGTTTGGTGTGATTTGTACGTTTCAGGAAAAAAAACAGGTAACAAACGACAGTTAAGATAATTTGGAACCTTGATAAACAGTAATTCGGAACGAAGAAAATGATCTACTTAGCTTTGATAGGATCCCTTTCTTCGAAATGTGATATGCAACAATCATTGAAGATATTCACATCACGGACGTCAAAAAGCAAGAAATATTTTCATCATGACGAAAGTCTTCGATGTGAGTTTGAAGTCCATGTGATATTGTTTATATACAAACCCTCGTGACTATATCTATTTATAGAATGCCTATGTGACGTAGTAACTATTTTTAACAAGGTACGATTTCACGGAGTGACGAAATCATGGCTTGCGTTCAACAGGGAAAGATGGTGAGGTGAAATTGGGTTTTACGTCGCGTCCAAGATTATTGCACTTATATAGCGACGTGCATGCACGTGTATGTGTGTGTGTGGCTGCTTGTACTAGTCCGGACTGATGCCGATTTATAGTGCTAGCTCACTGAGATACCATGCCGCAGTTTAACATGAATACCCCACTCAGACACAGTATACTGACTCCGAGCCGACCAGTCCTTGTTTTAGCCCCTTAATGTCGAGCGCCAGACAGGGTAACAACAAGTACCATCTTTTAACGTCTTTTGGTATGACGCGGCCGGGGATCGAACCCCGGACCTTCCGCTCTCCGGGCGGACGCTCTACCACAAGACCACGGAGGCGGCCCAACAGGGAAAGAACTATATATTCTACGAGAAACGATCACTATAAACGAACACTATGTTTCATGTCGCTTCTTTCCTTCATGGCTAAATCTGCTTATTGCGTCATATGTAAAAATATATTCTTATGTGAAACACGCTGAGATCAATACTTGCCATCTGCGCAAAACGAGTGAGCGAGAATGTCGTTTTATGCGACGGCTATGCATATTCCAGATATATATCACGGCGCCATGTAAATAATCTCGTCTGGACCAAGCAAGCGAGTGGTTGATATCACGAGCAACAGTCCAGGCCGACGGAGAATCAGCCAAAAATACATTGATGGAAAACTGCATTCTCAGTCGAGTCGTGTTTTATCCTATGCCGCCATATATATACCCATAAGATACTATCATGTAAGGGAGTGTAACTTTATTTTCGCGCGCGCGGGCGTGCGGGGTTTTTTTTTAAAAAAGAAAGAAAAAAAGTATTCAAGCCCCTGTTATGCTGATTTTGTACACGTCATTATTTTGTGGGGAAATTTCTTTATTGCAGACAGGCGCCCAAACAATACAGTTCGTTAAAAACATATTTGAACACCTTTATCGTCAACGTTGTTGTCTTTGTCCTTTGAATTTATTATTAAAATGAAATCTTTGGGTACAGAGATGAGTTGGTTTCTTGTTTAACAGGTGTAGACTTATAGCCTGTCTACTGAGGTACATGTAAAATAGGGTAGTAAGTTTTGTTTGTTTTTAATATTAATGTTGTTGTAAATATGTGTTTGTTTTGTTGCTACATTCAGCTTTATGGCTGTATAAATAATCAAACCTGGACATGACAATCAAGTGATCGATATTGTGAGCAACGATCCTTCCCGTCAGGGTAAACAATGACACACAATCAACCAAATCACGGAGCCTGCAGACCATCCAATCCACCCCTGAGTGCCGCCTTCAACAACAAACAAAGCATCTTCCCGAGGCAAGGGAGTTAGCTGACTTAAGACTCAGTCAACTCCCTTGCCTCAGAACGATGCCGATCTACCTGTCGTCAAGTTCGCATACACCTGGCTGTTCACTAACAAACCCTTCAGGTGTGAGTTTGGTTTAATGGCCTGTGAGGACGGCGGGGTAGCCTAGTGGTTAAAGGCCTGGATTCGATTCCCCACATATGTACAATGTGTGAAGCTCTCCAGGTAGATGCTCTATCCACTAGACCACAGAGGCGGTGTAGTCTAGATGATCCGCTCTCCAGGTAGATGCTCTATCCACTGGACCACAGTGGCGGTGTAAACTAGATGGTCCGCTCTCCAGGGAGATGCTCCATCCACTGGACCAAAGAGGCGGTGTAAACTAGATGGTCCGCTCTATCCACTAGGCCACAGAGGCGGTGTAAACTAGATGGTCCGCTCTATCTTCTAGGCCACAGAGGCGGTGTAAACTAGATGGTCCGCTCTATCCACTAGGCCATAGAGGCGGTGTAAACCAGATGGTCCGCTCTATCTTCTAGGCCACAGAGGCGGTGTAAACTAGATGGTCCGCTCTATCCACTAGGCCACAGAGTCGGTGTAAACTAGATGGTCCGCTCTATCCACTAGGCCACAGAGGCGGTGTAAACTAGATGGTCAGCTCTATCCACTAGGCCACAGAGGCGGTGTAAACTAAAGGATATATTACATATGTCAGTATATCAGTTCCGGTGCATTTCCCATAATCTCCGCAAAGAATAATTGCCCGTACTGTAATGCCTTCGTTTTTACTGTTCGTTGTTGGACCAATCGTTAGCTGTGACTTTTGGACAATGGCATACCACCAGTACATTTTTACGATACGACATAAATGACACATTATAGGTAGGAGTGTTACGATATATCGAATTATCGAAATTGTTTGCCCTATGACAGTACTATATCGATAGGATTTTACAAATGCCAATACTATCGTCGACAGAATGCATAACAAACGATAGTATGCATAACAATAGACCCGTGAAGATCCGGGTTGAAATAGGTCTTCAGCAACCCATGCTTGCCGTAAAAGTTGACTATATGCTTGTCGTAAGGGGCGACTAACGGGATCGGGTGGTCAGGCTCGATGACTTGGTTGATGTATGTGATCGTATTCGATTTGCATGGATTGATGCCAGTGATGTCAATCACTGGATTGTCAGGTCCAGACTCGATTATTTACAGCCCGCCATATCGCTGGAATATTGCTGAGCACGGCGTTAAACAACAAACAAAGCATAACAATCGATAGTTTCAATAATTGCAATTACAGTAAACTACGGTTATAACGAACACGCTTATAACGATCTGACGGATATAACGAACTCACTTTTTAGTCCCGACTATTTGCTGTAGTTATGCTGTATATATGCTTATAACGAATTACAGTTATAACGAACTAAAATTAGTAGTCCCTTTGAGTTCGTTTTAACCGTAGTTTACTGTAGTTAAAATAATACCTATTGTATGCGAATTAAAAACTTATCTATGGGGTTCGTTAGCAAGGATTACGACAGCATCAGACTTGAGTTACTTCCCCTTGGTTTAAATAGGCACTAGGGAGGAAAACGTCCGTCTTTGACATTATCAGCAATACTATCATAATTATCACGGATTAAGTACTATGGCAATACTATTACAATTGTTGACAACTATCGCAATACTATTGCAAAACAATCACAATAGTGAAAATATCCGCAATAGTCACCCTTAATTACTGGGGAATAACTAAGAAACACAAACAACTGTGTATACATAAAATGTTTATTTATGATTCCCAGCATGGCAAGCTGTTGAATACCTTGTGTTTTCATAATCAACATAATCCCATCAGCATGCATTCACAGACTGCTGAAACCAAATGTACACATCTCAACCTGATCAATCACAGCATTAATTCCATGGAGACAGTACAGATAACAAAAAGGGCTGACAAACACTAATGAAAAATATTCCAATTATTTCACAGACCCCAGACTGGGTGTGGTGCCAGATCACAATGGGGGCGTAGATCGGAACGTTGGGCTGAGGGATGACATTCACAACAAATATCGGTAGCTGCACATTAACGTTCTGGCGCACCTGTGCCCCGCTTTGAAAAGTCAAGCTATGGTTATCAGATGTGTTTAAAAAAAAGCATAAAAATGAGTTCATTCTTTTCATCACTTGCATTTTTCATACTGATAACACCACCAACAGTAAACTGTCAAATATGCTGAAATGTTTCTTAATATTGGAACATGACAAAGCTTTGACTTCAGCTAATTCTTTCGGTGGAGGTTGATGAAAAGGGAAGTACCAGCTTGGCAAAAACTCCTCTTGGGGTCATTCTTACTTATAGTAAGATTTTCTTTTCTAGTTTGAAAAATCCAAGTGGTTTGCTCATTTGGCTGAACATTCATAATTATATGAATATAATTTTCATACCTGTTTTTATATTTAATGCCGGCATTAAATTAATGCAGTTTTTTTAAATTAAGGTCTGAAGAGTTTGGTCAGGGCCTGCAGCTTCCAATACATGTGGGTCCTCACTGCAGCCAGACGATGTTTTTATCTCAAACACTGGTTCTGTGTAGGTTCTCAGTAGCTGTGTCATGAGTGAGTGGGTGAGTATGGTTTTACGCTGCTTTTAGCCATATTCCAGCAATATCAAGGCGGGGACACCAGAAATGGGCTTCACACATTGTACCCATGTCGGGAATCGAACCTGGGTCTTCGGCCTGACAAGCGAACGCTTTAACCACTAGGCTACCCGACCCCCCTGCTGTGTCAAGGTTATCTCTCACAGACTTCCATTTGACCAAATGTTGTAACACCAACACATACTTGGCCGTGTCCATAGGAGCAGCTCATTAGTATTTTGGCCATCTTTTCTCACTGTACATAATGAAAGGACTTCATGACCAACTCTGAATGTAAGGTACATGTAGCTTTGGGAATCAAGACATATTTATGCAAAACAAAGATGGAAGGTACTGTGTTCTTATTACTTTATACATCATAACTTATACATACAACAGACATACTGAATGTACAGGTCATCTATATACAATACAAGATGGCTGACATGAAACTGATCTTGATTAACAATGCAATGACATTACATACACAGTATACAAGTGGTTTGAATAATATTATAATAACTCTGAAAGTAAGGATAAGCTATATGAATGAACAACTACCTTATTAGTATTAGGAGCGATGTTTTGGTGTAGATAAATTGGTTGTCAAGATAATGCCAATACAAACTGAAAATGACTACCGTATAGTATATCGCTGTCTATGGCACTTTATTTTACGGGCAGCTATCTGAGGTTGCACCTTGTCAACAAAATTGCAGCATGATCTGGAGCTATTCATGCGACAAGTCAAAGGAAAAAAATCACAGAACATATTTTATTGGTGTAGATAAATTGGTTGTCAAGATAATGCGAATACAAACTGAAATGACTACCGTATATCGCTGTCTATGCCACTTTATTTTATGGGCAGCTATCTGAGGTTGCATCTTGTCAACAAAATTGCAGCATGATCTGAAGTTATTCATGCAGCATGTCAAAGAATAAAATCACAGAACATATTTTACGTTAGCGAAACGTTTTCAACCCTGTATGATATGCTGAGTGGAGTAGAGAGGGATATATATTAGTACTGAAGGTTCTACAATGAGGGTTAGGTTTGGTGCATCATAGACAGCAATATACAGTAACACCAAGAGAAAACAAGACCTCAGACTAATTACAGTTCCTATATCTAAGCCCACCTCCATACCTATTCTAAAACTCTTACAATACTTTGGCAGAAGTAAAAAAAACCATATCTCTTCAAGCTGGGCATAACACCACTGTGAACAGTAATTCTGCTCCAGTTTCATGATGTCATAGCTTCTATTGGACAAAAGTCCAAGTGTTACAGATCTTAGAGGCTTATCCCATTGACAAACCATACAAATACGGACATGGTACAGACCAAGGCTTTAGGGCAGGGACGAGTCCAAATTTATAACCCGGGTACCCGAGCCCATATTACCCGACCCTTCCCGGTACGTGCTGTAGGTCTCAAGAGATGGGAACAAAATGTCTGATTGGGAATTGTTTTACTGCAGCCCTGGCAAAAACTATTTAGATACATGTATGAAATTATCAGATCATGTGTACACTGACGTTGATTGAAGCGTTGTCATTAAACAATATATCACGTGACTAACCATGGGTCTGGGTAGTACTGTGGGTACCCGGGTCCTACTCAGGACCCACCCGACTTGAGTACCGGAGTTACCTGCTCTAGCCCTACAAGGCTTATAATCAATATATACTTTCAAATGTACACAATGGTATAAAAACAACCTAAATGGATTACTACAAAACAAAAGCCAGATTTGCCCTAATGTCATGAAAAGTAAATTGCTATGGTAAGTTGGGAGTTCCATGTGATCTAGCAGTCCTATAACATGTAATCCTACCCTGTAATCTGATTCCATTACATCAATCTTACATATCAGATCTGAAAAATATCACATTACCAACCACAATCTCCACATTGCTATGCACAGTAGAAGTCTGGGCACCGACAGCCATGTCAGTACCAGAAGGCTTGTACACAGCTTTGAGAAGTATGTTGTTTTGCTACTGGTTTACCGGTCATCATAAACATAAATCTCATAATTCAGATTATTACAGTGTAAGGACCACCAGAAAACAATATGACCCTTTTCCTGGGCAATATGGGTCCCCTGGCCCTGTATATCATCAGTTTCATATTCATAGGCCATGTGTCAATGATCAACATCAATTTGATGTTCTGATCATAACCGTTCTTGCAAGTTGATGTTTGACTTAGAAAATTTCAAATTGTTACTCACACTGAACATAGAAATTGCAAGTATGTTTAAAAACTATCTAAATATTTATTGTGTTATAGATGCTGAGATTACACAGGAGTTCATTTGTGCCCTAGAGCAGCAAACAGCTCCTGACACAGCCATCTGTTGGAGGAAGTATTGTGTTCATGACATATCCAATTTACCTCTCCAAACACAGCCCCAGGTATTGACACTGGACAGGCATGTCACTACAGAACAGATGCTGTGTGTGGCAACTGATCCCCTTGGCTACACAATCAGCTGAGTCATCTCAGTCACAGAACGAGCTGACATCACAATAAATATCCTGATCGTAAAATTTTTAAGTCATACACTCATAATTTTGTTTTTTTCATTTGTATTGACTGGATTGAAGTAATGGACACAAAACAAACAATATCAATGAAGACTGCAAGTTTCTTTCAAGTCTAGTAACTAGATTTAATAAGATTCAGCTTACAGGAATAATGGTGATTGGGTTTGTTGTTTAACGCTGCACTCAGCAATATTCCAGCATTATGATGGCGGTCTGAAAATAATCAAGTCTGGACCAGACAATCCAGTGATTGAGATCATGAGCATTGATCTGTGAAACTGAGATACAAGGTACAGAGTCTGACAGCCATTTAGTCACCTCTTTAGACCAGCATGTTCTTTGGGAACCTATGACAACTAAAAGTAATGCTACAAAAAATGTCATACATCCTAACCAGATGCAGGGCGGTCAGGTAGCCTAGTGGTTACAGCGTTGGCTCATCACCTCAAAGACCCAGGTTCGATTCCCGACATGGGTACAATCAGTGAAGCCCCTTTCTAGTGTACCCTGCCATGATATTGGTGGAATATTGCTGAAAGCGGTGTAAAACCATACTCACTCACTCACTCACTAACCAACCAGATGCCTGGATAAACATGATGAAGGAACATAGTGAATAAAGCCCATGAAGCATGCTTGAGAAACTGATAACTGTATATAGACACTGACATACATCATGAAGAAGAGGATGAAGTGGGTTGCTCTTCAGGCTGATGGAGAAGGTGAGACTGAAGCAACATCTTGCTGGACAAGCTATAGAGGCTGAGTACATCAGTAACTAGCAGTACACAGGGCAGGGCAGGGACATTTGATTTGACAGAAGGTGGGAGGAAGGAGATGGAGGCATCTGAACTCACATCATGGTTTGACAATGCCCTTGGTCTCATGAGGCATACTACTCCACATTTGAAAGGGATATTTTTTTTATCTTTCCACAACACACAAAACTGATTCTCACAATATGTCAAGTGCATATATAAATAGAATGACATATCTGATGATCCCTATCAAAAGTTGAGTACTATATATGGTTTACACGACAGGATGAAATATCTCATGCGTAGACTCTACTCTATTCTGTAAAGCACTGTGACATGTGAGTTTGATAACAGCTTTGGGAGAGAAGATTACTTCATCCAAGTCTTGGATCTGTCGCTGTCTGAAGGTCTCCCTGATATCTGACATAGTTACAACAATGATACATTATTACTTCAAAAACCTAACAGATACTCCGGCTTGATAGACAAACTTAAATTTGGTCAGGAATACTTAGGGTTATCCCTTTGACAGCTACAACCATGGTTGTCAAGGTTATTGCATGAGGTCGATGAGTCTTCGCTACACGACCTGTAGCCACTTCACTCTTGTGATGCCTCTAGCTCAGTGTCAGGATGAATGTGGTCTTTATATCTTAATATTTTTTAAATAACTTTATTCATAAGAAATGACATTAGTTTGCTTTGTTAGATCTCCTACAAATTGCTCTTTTTCTGATTTGTTTTTAAATGCAATAACCTGTTTGTAAGAAATTAGTACTTTTGAAATCCATTCACTACTCAATAAGAATGTCCTCCCTTAAACAGACTAGACTGGTAACGTTTATTAATAAGTTGTAATTTTCTTGTCAGAGATACAGATGGACAATCTCTTTCAAAATATCTCACTTCACTTTGACAAATGACTGTAAGTTGATTCTGGCTTACTCAAGTTTCATCACCATTAAGGACATGAAAAATCTATGAAACAATTGTGAAACCATCAACAATTATTTCTCGTCTTCAAAATATTCATAAATTCAAACAATAGCAGAAAACACTCAACCACAGAAAGAATTTAACTTCACCCTACAGCCAGTGATGTGAAGGAGTGATCGTCAGCATCATGTCTCATTCAACAGTCACATACTTGCACATGCCCAGGGCATTCCGACCCAATTCAAAACTGATGTCAGTTATTCTCAAAATTAGCCCTAATTTGACCAACATCTTAACTAGTCACGTAATAAAATACAACATTATTGACACAGAAATTCAACTTGTTATCATGTACGCCATCAGAATGCAAGTCCAGTCTGTTTTTGATAAAATATAAATAAGACTTTGTAGCAGGTGTCCGTTTCACTGGTAGCCCTGGGGGTAGCCTCCCTGGGGGCGGGGGTAGCCTGATGCATAGCCTCCTCTGTAAGGGTTGGCACCCCCTGCGGGGCCGGGTCCAGAGGCTGGGGCGTTGAACTGCTGAGGGTGCTGTAGAGAGAAAGTACAGTGTTAGGAAGAGCAGGAAACATCAGATGGAGGCTCTTGAGAACATCTCTGTAGAATTATCATACTGATACCATGGTTCTTACCTAACAATGAAATAAAACAGGTATTATAGAGGTGTACTAAAATGTAAGTTGACTAGTCCGAGACGAGTGATCTGTTCAGAAAGGAACTTCATTATGAAATACTTGCTTCTATCATTGGTGAAACTACACTGAAAATTAAGAGAATTTTAACAAAATAACAATTTGACAAAAAAGGAAATTTTGCATAAAGATTCGTATTTAGTGTTCTATAAAACCATAAAAAATGATGAAAATTGTATTTTACTGAAGAAATTTAATCTCTACAACCTTAAACCCCAAAGTCTGATATCAATATTCAAAGGGATTTTAGTGCTATAAACTCTGGTGTCTGAACTTGGGACCATTGTAGTACTATATGTGTTATGGAATGGGGCTCTGGTGTAGTGAGCCTAGAAAGATAGTGTTTACACAAGGAGGTGAGGTGAGGTGAGATTAGGTTTAACGTCGCATCCAAGAATATTGCACTTATATATATATAGCGACGTGCATGCATGAGTGTGTGTGTGTGTGGCTGCTTGTACTAGTAAGGACTGATGCAGATTTATAGTGCTAGCCCACTGAGATACCATGCCGCGGTTTCAACATGAATATCCCACTCAGACACAGTATACTGACTCCGAGCCGACCAGTTCTTGTTTAAGCCCCTTAATGCCAAGCTCCAGACAGGGTAACAACAAGTACCATCTTTTAATGTCTTTTGGTATGACGAGGCCGGGGATTGAACCCTGGATCTTCCAGTGACCTGTATATAATCAAATCTGGACCAGACAATCCAGTGATTGAGATCACGAGCATCGATCCAAACATACAATCAACTAAGTCACCAAGCCTGACCACCCGGTCCATCTAGTCGCCTTGATTCAACTGTTGTGTTGAACTTTGATGTTGTCGAACCATTGGTTATCTCGAAGTAAAAACTTGGACCCTGCATATTCCTTTTCATTCATCATTTTTCAGTTGTCTCGAACCTCGGATAACTCAAATCATTTACGTAGGTCCCTTCAACTTCGACACAATGGTGCTTGTCTGTTTTTGAATCCAGGACCACCAAAAGAATAACATTCCTAAAATGTCTCATACTAGATAACAAACTAGTGAAAAAAAAAAAATCAAGCTAAAAATTCAGGCAATGACTTCAGGAATTGGGAGGCAGAGCACCTGCCAGGGATCAGAACATCACCATGCAAGTCTCTGCAGGATATCGTTTTGTTTGTTTGTTTGTTTGTTTGTTGTTTGATGCTGCACTCAGCAATATTCAAGCTATATGACGTCAATCTGTAAGTAATCAACTCTGGACCAGACGATCCAGTGATTGACAACCTGAGCATTGATCCACGCAATTGGGATCGATGACATGCATCAACCAAGTCAGCGAGTCCGACAACCAGATCCCGTTAGTCACCTCTTACGACAAGCATAGTCGCCTTTTACAGCATGGTTTGCTGAAGACCTATTCTACCCTGGATCTTCACGGGCCTGGAGGATATCTAGGGAATCCAGAATTTTGAGCCTCACATTTGTGGAAAGTTACATGATACACTTGCATTACAATTGTGTGAGAAATACTTATTTGTTAAACAGGATTTTGTAAATTAATACTGTTGAGTTTTGTTTAAATAGTTTGATGCACACACATGTAATGATTCTAACGACAAGTTCAGCCATTGATCTGTTTGTATTATCAAAGTAAAATCAACTGCTGAAGCTGACATTGTCCACATGACATCAACAATGATAGGCTGTCTTCAACCTCTGTTGTTTAATCACAACTTTTAATAATAGGACTACACAGTATTACCGGTATACCGCAATGCGTGATACATATTGCAATATTGATCTGTGTTTTGTTTTTTTTGGTAAAAACTATGTAACAAGTTTCGTTATTATTTGTATCGTTTAACCTAAAATGTTCAAAGAAATTTATTCACAAATAATGTTTCCCTTCGCAATTGATTGACAAAAGGGCAAAAATGCAAGTTTTGTCTCTCTCTCACATTGTTATCTCCCTTGTATACAAGACAACAAAATGGCGGCAACTGACCATGCTGTGTCACATTTACTTTCAAATGTAGAAAATAGGACCTGCATGTACACTCAGTGCATGTACAATCACTGTCAAACACTTCAGCTCCTAATTTATCCCAATACATATGGCAATATATTGCAATACCATTTTTTAATCGCAGGCCTAGGTGGTTTGTATTCCCTGCAGTGTTATATTGTACGATAAACAACAAAAACAACAAGTCGTTTATTTCTTATATGAAATATCTATCATACAGCCTCTTTAAAGAGTTGGTAAAAAGTACGCGCTTTAAAAATATTTTCTTATATTTAAATAATGATGACTCTCTGAATAGACATCCATTTTATGAACATGGGGGTTAAGTTGGGTATTTCCCGCATATTCTCACAAATTTCATGTCAATCATCTGTACCTTTTTTCCTAATACCAATTATCATATCTCTCTCACTTTTGGAAGCGATCGTTCGGCCATTGCGTTTATCTACGTTGCCCAGCTACATCTATGGGGAACAACTCACAAGACACTTCCCACTCCAAATAACGTCCAATTTATGACGCAATCTCATTAAAATCAGATCTTAGTTCTCGCTATCGCTAAACAAAGATCTGAGGACATCCCATTACGGGTCACGTCAGAACGGCCTTTCAACCAACCAATCAGAGCGTCGCTTACCAGATCATGAAAATGACAGTCGGAATGTGTTTTCTAATCCTGCAACCACGAAATATTTAACACGGGGTATTCCGAATGACAGTTACGGGTTTTATAATTATATCCATACACTCTAGGCCATCTATAAGTCATTCCAGAATGTTCTTCTTATCAGTTTTAAATTTTTTAATCGAGAACACGTCAAAAATGTTTCGAAGCGAGGTTGCCAGTTTGAAACTAGTGTCCTAAAGCTCGAGAAAGCTGCCTTCTGATTGGCTAATGTCGATTTCTTGTCAGTCATTTCATTGGACGGCCAAAATTCGCGAAAGGTCGTTCTGACGTGACCCGTAATGGGATGTCCTCAGATCTTTGTTTAGCGGTAGCGAAAACTAAGATCTGATGATTTACGACGTCATCAAGTTGCGAGAGCAATAAACCACGCTTTGTTCTTCATTGTTCTTTACGATTTATCGCAAAGCTATCTAATATAAATCATTATTACACACATGCTCTATAGCCGTTGTGGTAGCCTAAATGTTCCTGACTACAGCTTACAGTAACATTCAATCTCTGACATGCTTCATATGGTTTATCATCACATTGCTTATATTAAACCATATGGATAATACAAGTCTTATTGTCATGCAACCAACTCAAATAATATATATTGGCCAAATCATCCCTATTTTATCACCTGTCAAAGAAGGCAATGGAGAAAGATATATGTTATAGTAGCATCATCATATAGGTAGAGAAAGGACAAGACCCAAACACCTTGAGCAAAATCATTCCAAGATATACCCGAAAACATTCACCATGAAATAAAAGGCATCAGCTGAGACTAGATTTACCTTATTTCACCACTCAGATCCAAACAAGTGAAACTGTGATTAAAAGTCAAAATTTGATTCAGTATTTAGCCTATTCAATAGTCTCAGAAGAATATTACCTTGAACAAAAAAGACCTACCGTAATGGATTTATGTCATCAAGTCTTATCTAAAAATGATAACTGCCCCCTTTCCACAAGCAAGCACCAGCGAAACAAACAATTTGAGAAAATCATTTGAGGACCCATACACCCACACCACAAAGGGACAAACCGATCACAAGGAGATAATTTTGAATAAATGTGAAACTTTCAGTTTTGGTCTGATTACAGAAATACCAAAAACAGTATATATGTTTTTGAAGTTTTTACCTGCAATCTGACATGACTAAAAATCTCTGAATTCTTAAACAGAAGTTAAGCAAGTGAATAACCCAAATAACATCTCTGCCATCCATAAAAAGCTACACAACAAGATGGTCCCGAATTACTGAAAAAGCAGTTAGAAGATTTGTGAACTGACCTGTCCTGGTTGGTAGCCTTGCTGTTGCTGTCCATACATTTGCTGTTGTCCTGGCTGTGGCTGTTGTCCTGATAAGCCATAGGGTGCAGACTGAGGGGCGCCATAGCCTGGTTGTCCGGGCTGGGGTTGTCCCGGCTGGGGTTGTCCAGGCTGGGGTTGTCCGGGCTGGGGCTGTCCGGGATGAGGCTGGGCTTGACTAGCCTGGGGTTGACCTGGCTGGGGTTGACCTGGCTGGGGTTGGCTTGGTTGGGGTTGGCCTGGTTGGGGTTGGGGTTGATTATAACCTTGCTGTCCTTGTTGGTACTGAGCATACCCAGCTGAAAAATCAGATTATCATGATGAATTTTTTTAACATTTTGGCTTCAGCCAAAGTTCTTTTGAACAAATATAAATCTTTCAAAATAATTCAAACTATCAAGAGTCAAGTCTGTGTGTAAGTTAACTGTGTTAAAAAACAAAACATGGATATGGCACTCTTGCAGTCAAAAAGCCAAAGCAATGTCTAGAAATTTCTAAAACAAAAACAATATTATTATGTCTTTGAAAGAATAATGCTCAAAGCTTTTCCCTTAGTGTGACAGTAGCGAGTGAATGCATGTTGTTTTGTGGATTTTGGGCCCAGAAATTCAAATTGGTACGAGGTCGAAATTTAATAAAAAATAAAATTCAATTTCAAATACATTTTTTTAATTGCTCAAAATATTAAGTTGGAAGAAAAAAAGTGGGGGCCCGAGGAACAGCTTCATCATCATCATTTGTTCTGTTTTGAAGTTTTTAAGATAAATTACCAGCAGGTTTTATTATAGGATTTTAAATAATTCATATATATTAATAATGACTGTAAATGAGTTCTTTTTAAGATTTTACTTATTGTTTTCTGGTCAGTGGAATATCAGAACGCTTTTCATTCTTTCAAAAAATGAAAAATCCGGAATATTTTGGAGTTGACAGATAAGTGAACCAAGTTTCAAAAATATTCTGGCTAAGGTACTGCAAATGGTGGTCAGCTTGTGACAGGACACTTTACTTGAATGTACAGAAACTAAGAAACTGTATATCAACATGACAGTCTTTGACAAACAAATTTGAGCCAACAAGTTGGAAATTGTCTCTTGGTATCATTTTCACAAGTGTTTGGTTTTAAGATATGGCCTTTTCAAACCGATGCGTGCCCCTGCAGCATCCATCTTGTTCGGTGTATGGACCATATAACAACACAAATGTTCCTCACTCCAGCAATACTGAAAGAGTGAGTGAGTGAGTAGGGTTTAACGCCGCTTTTAACATTATTCCAGTTATATATCATGGCGTGTCAGCTAAATGTGGGAGGAAAGACCAGAGTGATGCAGGTCTAAGACATTTAACACTTCGGTGAAACCCACGAGCACGGGTATGGTGCTGACAAACCTAGAAACATAATTGGGGCGAACTGGGATTCGAACCCACAATCATAGGTTTCTGGCGTGCCCAAGGGACGCAACTCTGCACAGCGAATCGCTGCGCCTTAGACGACTGGGCCACCCGTGCCCCCAAATACTGAAAGAAACTGTTGGTCATGTCAGACCTCCACAGTACCTGGTCCTGGTTGTTGGTGTCCGGACTGTTGGTGTCCGGGCTGTTGGTATCCGGGCTGTTGTGTCTGTGGCTGCTGTTGACCCTGGGTCTGACCAGGGAATGTTCCCGGTTGTCCTGTAAACTGGGCTCCGGCCTGTGGCTGCTGGGAAGTAGGGGGTTGCTGGTACCCGGGCTGACCTGGGAATGCCTGCTGAGGGGGCTGTTGTGGAAAAGACTGGGGTGATGGTGTTGGTTGCTGCTGTGGGGTGCTGGGCTGTTGTGTTGGAGTTCCTTGCTGTTGGCGTTTGTATTGGTTACTAGCTGATGATCCTACACTGGAAATACTGTCAGGTGTACCGGGACGATCATTTGTTGCTGAAAAACAGAAACAATTACATGCCTTTTTCAGGTGTGCTCTAGTCCAAGGGGCTTATTTGCTCACTGATTTCAGTGCACGAGTGAACTCGGCCTAACGCTGCTTTCAACAGTTATTTGACAACAGGTGAATACAGGTATTGCAAAAGCAGAAGCGGCCCCTTCATCACCAATCTCATTAAAATCAGATCTTAGTTCTCGCTGCCGCTAAACAAAGACCTGAGGACATCCCATTACGGGTCACGTCAGACCGACCTTTGACCTTTACTGACAAGAAGTCGACATTAGCCAATCAGAAGGCAGCTTTCTCGTGCTTTACGGCACTAATTTCAAATTGGCGACTACACTTTGAAACATAATTTGACAAATTCTCGCTTAAAAATTTGAAACCTGAACAAAAGAACGTTCTAGAATGGCTAATATATGGTCTTGATTGTATAGATTCAGTCGTTAAGCCCGTAACTATCGTTCGGAATACCCCATTATAACGTTTTCGAGGCTGCATGATTAGAAATCACATTCCGACTGTCACTTTCATGATCTGGTAAGCGACGCTCTGATTGGTCGGATGAAAGGTCGTTTTGACGTGACCCCTAATGGGATGTCCTCAGATCTTTGTTTAGCTGTTGTGAGAACTAAGATCTGATTTTAATGAGATTGCTTCATCACCATTTCCTCACAAATTCAAATCCAACATACCACCATGTACATCCACTCTAAAAACATTACTTGAAGACCTTTACCTCAATCAATTCAACTTCTTTAGGTCCATATTTTAGAATGCACAAATAAAAGTGTAACAGTAACTGTTTGTTTGTTTGTTGTTTAACGTCGCACTCCAGCTATTCCAGCTATATGACGGCGGTTTGTAAATAATCGAGTCTGGACCACACAATCCAGTGATTGACATCACAAGCATCAATCCATGCAATTGGAATACGATGACATGCATCAATCAAGTCAGCAACCTGATTACCTGATCCTGTTAGTCGCCTCTTATGACAGGCATGGCTCGCTGAAGACCTATTCTAACCTGGATATTCAAGAGTGTAACAGTAACTGGCAATGAATCGTACAACCACAAATATCTCAAGATGACCTTGAACTTTGAAGGTTCAGGGAAGAAATCATAAAGTTCATGGCAATCAGAAATGAAAATTGTTTGGTAGACTGGACAAGAAAAGTCTGACAAAATAATCCAACTTACAATCACTTGTGATGCCAAACGATGACATGACTTTGTTCTGTGTGCTCTCTTCTACTGACCTCTGCGATGAAAGGGGGTCGAACTCCTTGCTGCTGGCTACCTGGGCTGGCCGCTGGAACCCTCCACCCCCAGGGGTTCCTTTCTTGGAGGGACTTGGCCCTAAACCAGATCCTTTAGGGAGAGAACAATGTCAAGCTGCTTACAATGCTTCCTCTATTGCCTCCTCCATCATCACGTGCATCATGTCTCCACTCTATGGTGACATACATTGGACCCATTCGCTACCATTGCTTTACTTTGGGCACACATGGCACAATGTTAAATATATATAGAATACGAAACAAGCTCCCGCGTAATACCAATTTTATGAAACAAGTGAATAGTTCTGCTATCTGACTCGCTTTCGCTCGTCAAGATACCTGAACTATTCACTCGTTTCATGAACTTGGTATCAGACGGGAGCTTGTTTAGTATTTTATTTATTACTTGCCATTTATAACGTTATTTAGAATTTAACTGTCGTGTGTGAATAGGCAGACACCTACACGATCCACGGCATAATCCAATTGAGTTGAAACAGAATAATACTTCAAACACGTCAAAAGTTGACATGTATTAACTTATTACCATACAACAGCCCACCTTCAGAATCCAGGTGCCCATTCCACAAAGTTATCATTAGCACTAAGATTATCGTCACTCACATACTTTAACATAGACTTACAGCTGTCCTTGTGCTACGGTGCGATCACCTTGTGGAACGGGGCCCTGCACCACAAAGTTTACAATCACATGACAATACCCTATGACGTAATTTGTGGAATTTTGTTGCAAGATCCACCAGCGAAACAATGCCATGTGACATCAGCTTAGCAACAGGGTTAATGAAGTCATGGAGCATGCATAAGCTCCTTTCAGTGATCTATCATCTCCACATGCAATGTCTTTGAATAAGCCAAGGGATGTTGAGAGCTTTCAATATTTCTTCATGAAACGTGTTCCGGCAGTTCACGAGCATGCGCTTTGGCATTACACAATGCATGTTTATTAAACGGGTGATCTCTTCACGGGCAAGTAATAAAGATATCTAATCAAATTACTCTCAGAGCAAATGAAATTTGCTTTAAGTCAGAGACTGGATTGATAGAGGTTGTCATGACACTTCCGAAACAAGGGTTGGTTTGGTTGGTTTGTTGTTTAACGCCGCACTCAGCAATATTCCAGCTATATGACGGCAGTCTGTAAATAATCGAGTCTGGACCAGACAATCCAGTGATCAATATCATGAGCATCGATCCACGCAATTGGGATCGATGACATGCATCAACCAAGTCAGCGATCCTGACCACCCGATCCCATTAGTCGCCTTTTACGACAAGCATAGTCGCCTTTTAAAGCATGCATGGGTTGCTGAAGACCTATTCTACCCCGGAATCTTCACAGGTACCGAAACAAGGGTATTTGGGCGAATTGATCCAAGGTATTCCTCTTCTTCATTTCCCAAGGCAAGAGTGTCCACTAGCCTGTACCAAAGCCAAGTGAAAACACTACTTGGTGGACTCACTTGCCTCGAGAAAATGAAGATGTCATCTTTTTAGAATGGTGAAACAATACAACAGATAATCAAGGATGCTCACAATGTAATTCTCCAACTTCAAATATAACTCTTCACACTGCAGGTTTCTTCAATGTTGATTATCACAATCCCTATCCATAGGTGTAAGTCAATTTATTAGTTGATCTATCAGGATTTTACATCAGAAAACACCGGGATGCCTTCAGTGTGGTTCAGGGTGCCGTTGTACAAAGCGATCTTAGCACTAAGATCGTAACTCCTATACCATAACATAGACTTACGACAGTCGTAGCGCTAAGGATGTTTTGTACAATGGCACCCAGAACTTTAGATCAATTATCACTAACAACATTATTATTACAATCAATTTTTTCACTTAAACGGTTGAAATGCTCACATTTGCAAAACAATCTTTATAAAAAGGCAACTTAAAATGATTAGTGTCATTCGTGTAAAAAACAAAAACCACTGCACAACTTTCATGCAAGGATACTGGAATAACATTAGTACCAACATGAACAACCCCATGCTTGTGACACATGATTCTTACATCATTCCCACATCCACAACAGCAATTGATGTGCCTCAGTTTCACCTTTCAAAATTCATTATTTAAAGTGTTTAATTGTGGATTTGTTTACACACCGCATCACTTTCTAACATACTGCTGCAGAAGAAGTAGAAATACAAGGATACTTTAAATATTTGTTTGATGTTTTTCTGCCAAGTTTGTGAAAAAACCCATCAAACCAGGTTGAATATTAGAAGGAAAGTAACCAGTGTCTGAAACAGTTTTTACTCCAACCAAGCCATGTGGGCTGGTAACTTATAAATGTAAGGCCAAACCACAGGCCCCTGAAGCAGGATATTACTGAAACACCAGACCCATATAAATTTAAGGGTCGGGTGTTTCAGTAATATCACTATCCTACTTCAGGGGCCTGTGGGCCAAACATTAAGAAAGCTTGGTTTAAGAATCTGCAAAATGTTGAAATGTGAAAAAATATAAAAACTTCAAATAGACAGTCAGACAGGTATGTTAGGTCAGGGAACAGGAGCTATTTCAGACACTGGCAGTAACCATTGATTTGCCACACACAAAAGTGATTTTTCTTACATTTCATTTTTTCTTTAAAAACCCTTTAAAAACACTTCTATTTTGACATATGGGTTGGGAAGATAAAATATAAAAACCAATCAATAAAAGAGAAAGGCCTATAATCAGAATACTGGTTTTAATTTTGAGACCTGATGTTTGAATTTTCCATAGGCATGTACATACGGTGGAGCTATTGGAGGAACAGCATTCTTGTGAACCCAAATCTAGACAGGATACAACATGCAACATACAGCTATAGCATTTGATTATTGTTTACAGGTTTTCTCTGACATTATACAGTGATGCCATTGTTACAAGTGCTGGTGTATTTACACATGCTCAGTCAAACATCAAACGAGCACCTGTTACTGGTGCCCATCCAAGTCAAGATAATATGACGCTTGCTATGTACAGCAGACAGTGTTACAGGTTCCTCTGACCTGGGTAGATCTACACGCTGATATCATGCATCATATCTATAAGTGTATGAACAGGGACGTATCTGGGATGTTAAAACTAAGAAATATTGGGTGAAAAACATTATTTTGGCAAAATTTGAATTTTTTTAAAGTCCTTATTTTCTTAACTTCAGCGGCATTGTATCGGTTCATTTAATGCAGTAATGTAAAACTAAATAACAGCTTCCTAACTTGATTGGTCCTCTTATGAGTGTTATACAAGCTAAAACATCCTTAATTCCACTCCTGTGTTCATATTTTCATAGAAATTGATGATTGTAATCATCTGTGAAAATACACAACTCTCTGATACAATATATCAAAATAAATGTAGCACACACATAAATTAAATGTAGATTGTAGTGTTAAAATATGAACTACTTTCAGCAAAACTTTCTGGAACAAAAGAATCTTACAAGACCTAGGCTTCAGACTTGTGGCTAAAGTAGCAGCATGAGCAATGTCTAGACATGCCGTAGACTGATAGACCGTATCACTACCCTCCTTCGTGAAATATTTACACGTAGTCCATGTTATGTCTATATGAAGCAATCCTGGAAATGATGTCTCAGACAGGTACACTAGTGAGTCTGATGACATACAGCATCATCCGGCTCATTGCTGACAGTTGCCATCTGGTGTGACACTGCATGGTACAAGCCAGTGTGGAGTCATAGGAGTGACCGCACGCTGGTGTCCGAAATAACTGCCGGCCACCTGCCTGTGGCTGGCAACTTTTCTGTTGGGCTTTCTGAAGTTTCCTCCACCTGGCCACTTGTCTGGCGGAAAGTCTTAACACTACTTACATATTCAGTTTTATTGTAACTTCTCGTAGATTTTCAAGTAAATTGTTTATATAATTTCAACAGATTTTACAATATTCATAATGTCTGAATGTGGGCAGGTAACCTTGAAGATGGGCAGGCAACACTTATGGGTCTCCTGCCCGACTGGCTTGTTGGGATTTAAATTTATTTCAAACACTGCAGAACTGTGCCCTTGGATGACAAAAAATGCACAAAACAATAGTCAGATAAAAAGTGACCTTTTATTTTTGATTATTATTTGATTAATGATCAAGCAGCCATCAAAAACAATCCACAAATGGATTTCTATGAATGACTTTCCTAGCCGATAATCAGAAGTAATTGTGAAGTTCGAATAGCTAAGTCGCAATTCAAACTGTAAGTTTGTGAGCCATGAAGTCAGGAAGTGACTATGATGTCATTCTTAAAATTGCAGAGAAAATCCTGGGTAAGTTTAGATAAAAAACAAATCCTATCTAAAAATGAATAACCCAGATATGATCATTGATAGTACAGATCTCCTTGAATGTTTGACTGAGCCTTGTTCACATCGTGTACAAAACACTGACAAAAGCATGCCACATGCTTAGTGAGTTGACAGTCACAGGGTATGTAGTATTAGAAGTAGCTCAAAACTGTAACCCTCTTCCATGTGTGAGAAGTGAATCAGCTGGGATTTATCCTGCAAATTTGACAATTGGCCAAATATCAACCTTTCCATACATTCAAATTGGGAAATGTTTGGGAACATTTGTTTAGAAATGTTAACTTAATGTAACCATGGTAAAATTTTGATTCTCCAGCTTAAATTAATGTCTGCTGAAGTAGTTGCAAACAAACATCCTTTTATTACATTTTAAAATGTGTGTAAAAAGACCAAAGTCTTTTGGGGATAGCAATACCGTCATTACTGGACATGGTGAAAATACACACAGATCCCTTGTGTCCAGAAAACTGAGAGACAGAAATCAAATTAATGCATCAAATATTTTTTATGAAAAAATAAATCTTGAATTTATATCCATCAAAAATCAGAAAAACAATACAAAACTGGAACACTAGCCAGTGTTTACTAAATGAAAACTGGGCACAAAAACACATCAATACCAAATGAGACAGAACCCAGATATGCACTATCAGTATTTGAGCCACTGGTTAGACAGGTGTTAGTGCTAGCTACCATCGAGTGTGTCACAGGTACTTGAAGGTGCAGGCGTAGGCTCCAGGCGGTCAAGGATTCGGTTCACTCGGTCACGAATCTGCTGCAGCTCTTTCCGTAAAAGTTTAACTTCATCTGTCTCCAGTGGCTTGGGCTGGCCATTAACTAGTGGACGAATAAAAAATGAAGGTTTTTTATTTCTGTTTCAGCTATTCTGTAGTAATACTTTGGCAACAAAATATAATAACTTCTCTATATGTTCGTGTGCTACATATTGAGTCAAGACTCTTGACAATTGAGCAAATGGATTAAAATATGCACAGTTCAGTAATTCCCTCAATCTCACTAAAATCAGATATTAGATCTTGCTACTGCAAAACAAAGATCTGAGGACATCCCATTACAGGTCATGTCAGAACGACCTTTCGCGACCTTTGACAGACCAATTAAACTACTAACAAGAAGTCGACATTAGCTTATCAGAAAGCAGCTTTCTCAAGCTATACAGCACTAGTTTCAAACTGGTGACTTCACTTTGAAAAAAAAATTTTTTGAAAAATTCTCGATTTAAAATTGAAATCTGAACAAAAGAATATTCTGAAATGTCTAACAGATGGTCGAGATTGTATGGCAGTACATCCCACGGGCAATGCAAAGTCTCTTCTGTTCAAATGTTTATCCCCTTGAAGTAAGAGATAGACGATGCTTTAGACGGATTCTATCTCGAAGCCTGTAACTGTTGTTCAGAATACCCCGTGTTAAATTTTGCAAGGTTGCATGATTAGAAAACCCATTCCGACTGTCACTTTCCTGGCCTGGTAAGTGACACTCTGATTGGTCAAATGAATTTATGTTCAGAAGTGACCTGGAACAGTGAGTGAGTGAGTATGGTTTTATGTCGCTTTTAGCAATATTCCAGCAATATCACGACGGGGGACACCAGAAATGGGCTTCACACATTGTACCCATGTCGGGAATCGAACCCGGATCTTCGGCGTGACGAGCGAACACTTTAACCCCTAGGCTCCCTGACCGCCCCTGACCTGGAACAGCATGTCCTCAGATCTTTGTTTAGCGGTAGCGAGAACTAAAATCTGATTTCAATAAGATTAGCGATTCCCTAAATTTCTAACCTAATATGCAGCAACATTCCACTGATGATATCACAAATGAGGTTACAATGTAACTACGTCATTACTTAAAGAATGTTGCGGCATCACTATGAATCACTTTTGCCGCTGCAATAAGCAGCTTATCTTAAAAGGGAATAAATTCACTTTTTGTTGAATATCTAATATCATATGTTTTGACATTTAGTCTATGATTCTGAGCTTCATCACGTAATCTTGGCGACAGAAATATGGTAACATTGTCAAAGGACTCTTGAGTTCGAGTTGCAAGGTGAACACAAAATCATACCCGCAGAATTCCTTAAGATTGTTTTATCCATTGTCAAGAAGTTAAGCCTTAATTAGAACCATGTGAGTGATAGAGCACAACTAATCTAGTTTCATCTAAACCACACTCAAACCATGTCAAACGGAAAGGAATTTCCATGTTTAAAGTAATATAGCATTGAAAAAGTCACACACTGCACAATATGTATCCCTATCACCAGACTACTTATCCTGCCAATGTGACTATGCAGAAAACAAACACTGAAATAGGACTTACCAAATAATGTAATTTTAAGTATTCGGCTACACTGAATGGCAAAGGAGAGGTCAGAACTGTCAAATATTGTTATCAAATCCCCATCTGAAAAAACAAAACAAACTTTTGTATCAAAACAAAATGAATGACCCTTATTCTGAACCATGTCATTTAGAAAGCATACAAAATTTCAAAACATTTGTGATTTTTAAAAGATTTACTCTGAAAAGCCAGCTTTTTATCACATGTTATCGTCTTCATCTTGATATACATCATACACCACTCAGTGGTTCAAGGCCAAACAGGAGCAGCTTTTGTCAACATCAGATTAAAATATTTGGTGGGACGACATAGTATTTAAGGGTGTCAGGATCCACCATTGATTGTGGTCAAACTGCAGTTCATCATCAAACCAACTTCATGTGTTTACCTTCGTCCTTATATTTAACAATGATGTCATCATTACTGTTGAATTTGCCGCGATAGACACGTTGCATCATGACCAGGAGTTCATCATATGTGATGTCCTCATTGTGAATGGGGATACGTCGAATGTCTTCACCAAGCTGAACTTTGATGATCAGCTTGCCACTGAGGTCTAGCTGTGGGTCCAGACTGTTCTGCATGTCCGCCTATATCTGCACATATACAATCATCAGGGATAACACAAATAATTATAAAATGCAAAGCTTTCCACCACAGTCATTAGCCACGTCATTCAACAGAAATGCATATTGACTCCAAGTCAAGGCTGATAATTTATGGTATTGACTTGAGTTATTAAAAATAGAATGGAATTATCTAGAAGTGCTAATCCCCAAAACTAAGCAATTCAGATGGGTAAGACTTCTGCCTGTATCCCCCTGACATTCCTGAAAAATATACATAATTAAAAGGACGGATCTGCAATGCATAAATATAACTTTGGAAGGGGGATACGGTCAGACGACTTTCCATCAGATGTCTCTGTTGAAAGATCCTAACGTAGTCTTAACAATATAGTTTCATATGTTGAATCTGCTTTTGTCCCCTTATTGTATAATAACAGTTTTATAAACCAATCATAGACTTTATATGAGATCAATACCATAATATTATAGACTTTATATGATGTCAATACTATACAATTATAGAATATGCATGATGTCAATACATGTTTTTTCATGGACCCGCAAAAAGGAATATCGGTATTGACTGATGATGACAAATGCGGTAGACAGTTTGTTTGGTTGAAATGTGATGAAATAAGATTACTAGGGCGTAATTTCCTGGTATAATATTAAGGCATACACAATAAAACTTGAAAAACGTAAACACATAATATTTATCACCTAATTCTCCTAAGTTTGTAATGAAGAATGAGTTTAGTTTAGCTCAGCAGCCGGAAATCGACGCCGACGCCGGCTACCAGTGTACGAATCGCATCACTGTAAGTGCGTTTTAGCTCTAGAGCAAACTGTGGCTTCATAAAACTACTATTTTTCAACAGGTAAACAATCGCTATATTAAAAAAACAACTCAAACCTTATACTGACTTTGACAACAAGTCACGAGAAAATTGAGTCAGTTCTGTTTGTCTCGATGTGGCAGACCACTTATGACACTGCAAAGACACTTGCAACAATAACAAATTTTCATCGAGAATTACCTCCCCTTGTTGAAACAGATTTCACGGACGATTTTAATAATTTAGGAGACGGGCCGTCACTCGCCCACGGGATACGTACAACTGCAGAAATGGGCAAAACCTTTACAAATCATTGTGAAGGTTATTAGATGTGTCCACATGAAAGAGAACTGAATGTGCCCGTTTAAAAAATTGCATGTTCGGGACTAAAAACAACAATAAAAGTACTGGAAATGTTGAATGTGCAACAATGGATCATTCTAAAAAAATTCAGGAAGCGCTATTCTAATATTTGAACACTAGCAAGCCGTTGAACCAAATTATTTTTTTAGAAGTTGTAGATACAAACAGTACACACAAATGGGGAAAAGTTCAACTTGGTTAACCCACTGGCTGATAGCAAGGAGTCTATGTAAGACTTCTCTTGAAATCGGCCTCTTTCATTCATTTTAGCCACACTTATGTACTTGATCACACCCAAAGTCACTGGACGTGTAAGAAAGAAAGAGAAAAGCTAATTGTGATATATTTACACGCTACTGTTTCAGTTTTTTTCAGCGAATCTCTCTAAAATTTGACATTTCAAGAGGGCCAATCCTGGGCCACAGTGTCACCACACGTCCTTTAAACGTTGGGACGTTGCCATAGTGAGTGAGTGAGTATGGTTTTACGCCGCTTTTAGCAATATTCCAGCAATATCACGGAAATGGGCTTCACACATTGTAACCATGTCGGGAATCGAACCCGGGTCTTCGGCGTGACGAGCGAACGCTTTAACCACTAGGCTACCAGACCGCCCCTCGGGGACGTTGCCTATCTAAAAACTGTCAGAATGTGAAAGGAGTTATAAATTCAGTTCAAACAGACAATGCTGAGAAATTTTTGTCTACAGAAAAAATGAAATTTTCAAATGAAACTTGGTTGGGTTTGGAAGAATAGACATTTTTCTGAACCTAAATCCCAATCTATTGATCGTTCATATAATTACATAATTTTACAGTTTAATTTTGCTTACTCTTCCCAATAATTATCATTCTAAACTACCGGGCAAAAAAAAGTATCCACTTGAAAAATGGATTTGACCCCCAAAATACAAACTGTATCAAAAGGCCAGAGCCTCTAGAAAGGTCGCCATGGAAGACTTTCTGAAAATCATGACCATATGTTCAGCGAATAGAGTACTTTGTAATCACATTCTTTATTCATCGTAATATTGTATAGTTAATTTTAAGACGGACATGCCTCACAGCTGTTTAAAATAAAAGGGGCCACGGGTGGACACAGACGTTTAAGTCGCTGCAGAGATCTATGATCTAGCCACCTGTGGTCATTGGTTCTAATCCAGGTTCTCCCCGATTATGTTTCTAGGTTTGTCAGCACCATACCCGTGCTCGTGTGTTTCACCAAATATTAAACTTCGGGTTTTTCTCCCACATTATACTGACATGCCGTAATATAACTGGAATACTGTTAAAATCGGCGTTAAACTCACTCACTCAGTCTATCGGTGAACCCTACATTCTTCCAGGATTGTTTTAAACACATTAAAATTCCAATTTTTCCCCCACAATGTTGTGTGTCCTTACCACACATACTGGGAAAATGTGTTCATTCCCCAAGTAGCAGACTACAGGTGTAAACCAGTTTGAAAAGGGAGAGACCAAAAAATCAGGTGTGACTTTCTTGTGACCGAAATTCGTATTAAAACGGCACCAAACTATCCTGTTCTGCTTGGATAAATGGTTCGTTGGGTACAGTTTGTAGAAAAACCGAACAAAGTCGTATTCATTATTCAAGAAATAGACGGCGAGTGGGATTTGTTTATTGAACAATAAAACACTGCAGGGAGAATAAACCATGAGGGGCGCTGCCCAGAGTGGTTTATTCTCCCTGTGGTGTTTTATTCTACGACAAACAACGAGTCGTATATTTCGCATTTGAGATATCAACATTATGTACAGTCTCTTTGAGGTTTATGATGAAATGTACATGCTTTATATAAAAAATATATTCACCCGTATTTTAATAATGATGGATCCCTCAATGGAATCCGACCTCGGCAATGTCGGACAAGTCCATTTTATGCACAGGTAGGTATTACCCGCATATTCTCACAATCCTCACGTCTATTACCTGTACCTTTTCTCTCAATGACAAGTGTCATATCTCTCACGCTTTTGGATGCGATCGTTCGGCCATCGCGTTATCTGCGTTGCCCAGCTACATCTACGGGGAACAACACAATATACATGCACTCCCCTCTAAAAAATAACGACGTCCAATATACGACGTCATTAAGTTGCGAGCGCATGTTCGAATATCCAGAAATGACGTCATGATAGAACAATGTTTTATCGTGAAATAAACAACACTTTGTTCTCCATTGCTCTTTGCGATTTATCGCGTAGCTATCTTACATTTCATAAAAATAATTTTAAATTATCAATCGAACCTTTGCGTTTCATTGTGTACATGCGAAGTAGCCTGCTTATGTTACAACTGCTGTAAGTCTCTGTGTGGCTGATACATAGAGAATCTCACCCGAGTGTCTTTTGATATCAAATATATGAACACGAGTTGATAAAAGTGGAAAAAATCCGAGGCTTGCCGAGGATTTTTGCCACTTTTATCAACGAGTGTTGATACATTTGATATCAAAAGACACGAGGGTGAGATTTTATTTATCATCCAACATCATTCTTCCAACTTTTTCAATTTGTAGTAATTAGCAGTGTTTTCAGTGTAAAAAGTACTGCTAACAGCTACAGTAGCAGAGCCATTAGTGATGTCATTTGATTGTGACGTCATGTAACCGGTGACGTCACAATGGTCTGCAAAGCATTGTGATGTAATTTCATTGCAGCGATATCTACAGTGTAGATATCGCTTGATCTAATCCAAGCGATATCTCCTGTGGGAGCCAGTTTTGGATGATAAAGCGTTTTTCAGAGTTAAAATGAAAACAACACTAGTATTCATATACAAATACGTATATAAGAAAAGGAACAATGAAATAGACCTCATTCATTTCAATAACAAATCTCGATCAATTCTTATATGACAGCTTATTCAGGTGTTTGTCATTAAAACAACAGAGAAACACTAACTGATTGGGATATGTGATTTTCCATTAACGACCATTGAAAGCTCTCAGCATCTCTTGGTTTATTCAACGACATTGCGTTTGGAGATGATAGATCACAGAGAGGAGCTTATGCACACTCAATGACCCCAGCAACCTTGTTGCTAGGCTGACGTCACATGGCATTGTTTCGCCGATGGATCTTGCAACAAAGTTCCACAAATTACGTGTTTGAAGTATTATTCTGTTAAACTCAATCGGACTACGTTGTGAATCGTGTAGGTGTCTGCCTATTCATACACGACAGCGGAATTCTAAAAAAAGTCAGAAATGGCAAGTAATAAATAAAATACTAAACGAACTCCAGTGTAGTACCAATTTTATGAAACTCCTGAATAGTTCTGGTATCTGACTCGCTTTCGCTCGTTAAATACCAGAACTATTCATAAAATTGGTATTCCACGGGAGCTCGTTTGGTATTCTATATTTATTACCTACGAGGGCAAACATATTGGGGTTCATAAAAATCATATGTGCCCTCGGGTCAACAGCGTATTGCTCCCATCATCCGGACGGCATTGTTGACGTCATTCGAATCTTATTGTGCTGGTGAGGTCGGAATGACGTCACACTAGAAACGACTTCATAGCTGAAGAGTGTTGACGTCATTCGACAAATCGTACTTCCGCTGCTGTTGCGACCTGCTATCCCTACAGTTAAACACTAAAATTCGTTTCTATATGTAGACATCTTCTTCGGAAATAAATAGATAGAGCTTATCACGCGAGTGTGTTTGGGGATGGTAAATATCCTGTTTTAGGAATAAACATTGTATTTAGCGAGCCTTGGCGATATTTACCATCCACAGACACACAAGCGTGCTAACCTCTTTATCATATAATATCATTCTTCAATTCTGTGCTGGAAAATCTCTTTCCATCTCTCACAAACATTACCCTAAACATTGCAATTTCCATGGAATGTTGCGCATTAATATATATTACGTCAGAGGGTAAGTGATGTGTCAATTGGACAGTGACAGTAGCCAATATAGTTCCAACAGAAACCTTTTTCTTATACAGTGGCGTAACAACATATATGCAAAACAATTGCCTACACAAATTGCTTTTACTTGCCTTTCTAGGCATCCGTCGGTCTGTTCGATACAGTAACTGCCCTTCATCAAAGGGAAGCTACTCGCGATCTAACCCTAGTCTATGAAACGTCACGGCCACAGGGTCAGACGTTGTTGACAGTCGGCCTGTCCTGTCATAATGTTACGAAATTCACTCAGATGTACAAACAACGACAAAACGAAACAAGTTAACAATTCGAACATATTTCGGCCAAATCCAACTGTTTTAATTTGTGGAAAACTTTCCAAGCCGCAGAGGTCTACAAGAACAGATATGTAAAGTGATCCCGCTTGGCTAGTGCCCTCGCTAAATTGTTTCGCAAATTCTATCTCCAAAGTTGCCCAAACTTGTAAAATGCCTTAGCTACGTCGCAGTTAGACACTGATTTTCAGTACATTAGACTATTCTTTTCATAGTAATAGCAATTATCCCTGTAGGTTCTCCACATACCCGATGGTTAATTCTGACTCGATCGCCGAATGACAAGGCCTACGCCATGTTTGTTTATAAACAGTGAAAGAAGTCCCTACTTGACCTTTGATATTTGCATATCTATCCGCATATAACCGCAACGGATATCGTATTTATCCGTTAGCTTCACCCTGCCGAGAAACCCACACATTATATGATAAAACATTATATTCGTGTTCATGTCCTACTATATTTACGGCACTCGTCCAGTTTCCACCCTTGCCGAACTAGGCTGGTATTATGGAGTTATATTTTGGTTGGACTAACGAGTCTATGCATAGTCCAATCAAAATAGCGCACCGAAATAGAAATCCGGTTCGTCAACTGTCGTGCAGATTTCGGTCGATTGCAGGATTTGCAAAGCATGTGCACCGCCATCTCGTTGTCAGCAGATATTTTCCAAATCTTTTCATGTTTTTAATCAAGGTGCTCGCGTGATTTAATGCATTTCGCGATGTAAGACACGTTTTATCACAATATATATCTTGATTATCGATCAGATCGTCCTGACCGGGCGCCACCATTTTGTGTGAAGCAAACGCAAGTGATACGAGAGGTGGAATCCCATTGGTCCATAGGCGAGGCTTAGACGGGACATAACTGGTAATAGCCACTGGGGGCGCTACGATCGAGCCCAGTAATTCCAGCCCAGTTCGGCAAGGATGAAAACTGGACTTTATAGTCAGTGAACTCTCTTGGCTCGGGAAGATGGTGTACACGCGAAGTAGCCTGCTTATGTTATAGCTGCTACAAGTCTCCGTGTGGCTCATACAGCGTTTTTCAGAGTTGAAATAAAAACAACACTAGTATTCATACAAAGACGTTTATAAGAAAAGGAACAATGAAACAGACCTCATTCATTTCAATAACAAATCTTAACCAATACTGATATGACAGCTTATACAGGACTTTGTCATTAAAACAACAGTGCCACACTTACTGATGGGGATATATGATATTCATAATTGTATAACTGTAAATGTGTGAGTTTGGGATAACCCCATTTTGATCAATATTTAAGTTATTTTATAACGTTTCAGCATGATGTGAGATGAAACCCACGAGAAGGGATATGGTGCTGAAACACCGAAACATTATCAACATTATTCAGAAACATTATCAGAGCGTATGTGGGATGCGAACCCAGGATCATAGGTTTCTTGCACGCCAAAGGGACGCAACTCTGCACACTGCATTGCGACGCATTAGACACTGTAATTAAGCCCTCCAATTATCAGGCTTTGTCTTTTTCCACACAATAGTGGTTTGGAAATCCGCCTTAAGTTGACATTGTGCTAATTATGCAGGTACAGATTCCTATGCATTTATATTTATCTGGTGTAGTTAGACAGGCAGACAGTGAGTTTCACCATTGCCATAATGTTGGTCAGTCTTGTACGTTGAATACCCTAGATCGCCTCCTTTGAAGAAGGGATACATCTACTGTCGGACCACTTTCCTTGTCACTTATGTCATTGGACCAATTCCATCACGTGGTGATACATCAATATCAAACATAACGTCATCAGGGGAGATACTTACAACACCGCCATCAATTGCCGTCGTCTCAACAGGGGAAGTTAAAAGGTCAAGGTCAAACATGATATCGTCAGTGTTTGAAGGCTCTTGAACGATTGCTTTTGCCACCTGCTGGTCGAACGACTGGATGTTCAGGTCAAGGTCCGTGTTATGTAGACTGCCTGGCTGATCCAACCCGTTAGACTGGGAACTGTACACTTGTAAGTCACCTTTCTTTGCCGACCCGCAAGATGATCTGCTGATAGAAGGTGGCGGCGGCAGAGTAGGGATGACCTCGCTTTTATCAGTATTTGACAGTGTGACAGCGTCAATGGTGAAGCGTCCACTATGAATAGTCCCAGGCCTGGCTGACGCTGCATCCAGCGTGTCACCTGACTGTGACGTATGGAATTCCTCCAATCTTGATGCACAGGGTGAGGATCTATGATACTCGTCCATTTTGAAAATACCGTCAACAACCTGTTGTTTGCCAACAGACGAAGAGATAGCGTTGTCCCTTTGGGAGAGTCGCGACGTAGCCATAGGCCCACCTGCTGGAACAAAGGGGTCCATTGCGAATATACACCCACCTTCAGTGTTGACTATCTTGTTCGGGCTGTGTTCTAGTATGGGGGGACAGGCCAATACACCCCTCGATTCAAGTACTTGTGATAGTGATGGCGGCGGCGGTGGAATCCGGGGTATTTCTTTGGGCGGGGTTCCATACGGGCTCAGAGGATCCATGGAAAACACCTCCAGATCCTCGGTCGGAACAGCAGATGTACTGGGGATATCCACAGGACTTGTTCCTTGTCGTAAGCCTTCATAATGATTTGTGGTGTTGGTTGAGGATCCCTGGGCCGATGTTGTGGATAGTTGCTGGTGAGGGGAGACAACGCATGATGGACTTCTCTCCTCGACGTCCGTCTCACACGTCTGTGTCCCTTCTGATCGAATGGAGTGCGCCCCTTTGTTACTACCTGCATACTGATTGCTCCCTTTAGAGGACGATGCAACGGACGATCTTCCACCTTGATCCTGATGTTCCCCCGAAATACTCTGCACCCAGCTGCTTGTTGATGGTGGGCCTCCCTCCTCACTTGGTCTAGAGGGACTTCTCAACGTATCCCTCAATCTTTCAAGCTGTTCCACCACAAACTCTTCCAAAAGCGGTGTTGTGGGTTGATTTCCACTCGTCATGGAACCCCTACTGCTTTCAGACATAGTGTTAGAGGCATTTTGAAGTTGTTGCAGGTTCTCCAAAGCTACAATAGCTTGGTAGAGAACACTTGCAGTTGGATTAAATGGATTAATGGATACGCCAGAATCGGCTCCAGATCTTCTTGAGTAAGCAGGTGATGGCCTTTGACTGTCCACTGAGATGAGATCGGCTTGAACTCCAATGTCACCATAACGCTTCCCTCCTTTGTCACACTTGCCCTTAGACTTGTCCTTCGTCCTTCTGGTGGATGGAGAGCTTGAAGATATGTTGATGACATCGCTCTTTCGGAAGCTTCCCTGCACAAGAATGAAATAATCTCCGATCTTTAAAACTGCCGCATTTGAAACGATCTTGTCAGATCAATGTCACAATTCTAAAACAAATGATATTTTATGTCAACAGGAACGTGAAAATGTGGTAAAATATATTTAATTAACATTCACTCATATTTTACGACAAAAGTCTTGTACAGGTATGCAAATTACTTAGGAACAACAACACGAATTTATGAACCGTTTAATAATTTAATATAATGGTGACATTTAAGTGCCATGCTTTACGTTATTGTAATTATGAGAAGAAACCTACCTTTGCTGTTGAGTTATTGGGAGAGCGCCTGATGGTTGACTGCGAAGGAATTTCTCGACATTGAACATGACCTTTACGTCCACCTCCAAGCATCTTGGACAGCACTTGGTCACTTTTCTGAAGAGCCGAAAGGGCAAAGTCCACCTCCCTCAGAGCCCGCCTACCTCCTGGTGATTTAGGCACCACTGTCACCTGGTTGATGTCACTGAAGGACAAAGCATCAATGTCGGTAAGGGACACGGGGTTCCCTAGAGCAGGAGGACTGTCTTCAGGGTCAAATACCGAGCCCTCCTTGGACAGGGTGATGAAGTCTACTATGGATTCCTCGTCTTGATCTTGAACTTGAGCCATGCTGATCACCTTGATGATGTTGGATGACTGGGATGTTCGCTGTGCCCAGGGGATGAGGAACAGGATCAGGGCTCCGGCCAGAACTGGGATGCCAGCAACGTGGAATGCAACGTTGTAGCTGCCGAGCGCATCGTACATGAATCCTGTCAGGATGAACATATGATAGATAGTATTAAAGGTAATCGATGGTGAGAATATATTGCTGTGAATCCTGTCAGGATAGACATGTTATGGATATTAATAAAGGTAATCAATGGTGAGAATATTTTGCCTTGAATCCTGTCAAGATGAACATGTGATGGAGAGTATAAAAGACAACCAGTGGTGAGGATATATTGCTGTGAATCCTGTCAGGATGAAAATGTGATGGGGAGTAGTAAAGACAACCTATAGTGAGGGTATATTGCTGAGACTCCTGTTAGGATGAACATATGATGGAGAGAAGCAAATGTAATCAGTGGTGTGGATATGTATTGCAGTGCAACATAGAACTGTTTAGTTATGAATAATTGTTTAATATTACCCATTTTCCGACATTTGCGTGTGTGTATTTTGACTATTCTCACGACTGAATGGTCAGATGACACGATATGACGTCACACTGCTTCATGGTCATGGAAATAGTACTCTCTCAGGTCATACGCAGTATGAAGTTGGGTATAACGCCACTTTAACAGTGTATGGCGTGAAAGCTTGATGTCGGAGGAATCCTCAAATGATAAATGTTTTGGACGATAACCGCTTTGGTGAACCCCAAGAGCATGGGCATGGTGGTGACAAACCAAGGGTCATCATCTGGGCGAATCTTGGATTCGAACTCACGATCATCGGATCAATTTTCACATAGATGTATTCACAACTACTATTTTCTAAAAGTCCACAAATATCATTGAGTATAACTGGTATAGGTCGAACCTCACCTTGCTGCAGGCGTGTAAATGTGCATGGTTGAACGATTTTGAGTGAGTCACCGATAAGGTTCATACCTTCGAGTGAGTAAGCTGGGTTTAACGTCGCTTTGTACAGTATTTCAGTTATATCACGGCGTGTCAGCTTAAAGTGGGAGGAAATCCCGAAGTGCAGGTCCGTTTACCACTTCGTTGAAACACACGAGCACGGCAGTGGTGCTGACAAACCTAGGAACATAATTGGGCCGAACCAACAACCATAGGTTGCTTGGCGTGCCCAAGGGACGCAACTCTGCACAGCGAATTGTGACGCCTGATAATGAGAGAAGGGAAAGGACATTGGGAGATATGTAATAATCGCAAGAAAAACACGCTACCTGCAACTGGTGGTCCCAGTGTGAATGTAATGGAAGACGCCCCAACCAGAAAGCCCCACGCTAAAACTGCTTTGTCAGAGCCCACCAGTGAACACGTCAACAGCGGCAGAAGAACGACGTAGCAGCCGTCCACGAGGCCAATAACGATCACGTAGGCTGCCAGGCCTCCAAACGACGTGATCATCGGCAGCAACATCGTCCCGGCTCCAGTGATCACCATAGAAAGCTGATGCATGTGCACGCGGTCAAGGAAGCCATACTGGACGATCTTGCCGAATAGAATCCTGCCTGTCGCCGTGACTGCTCCCAAGATCATGACCAGCATAGAACCCTGTTCCTGTGAGATACCGTTGTCTGCTGCGTAGGCTACCTGCAAAGATTAGCGTTGTCACACCGTTTCTTGTTATAGCTTGAAAGACGTATACAGTGGTAGAAACTAACAGTTTTAGTCCACTCGTCCTTATATTGATAGCATATAGCAAAAACCTTAAAAAGGGCAAATTTCTTCCTCGTCCTTATGATACCATAACTGCAGAGCTCAAGATAAAAGATCTGCGTAAAATACGCATCAGAAATGCAGAAATACGCAGTAATATCAAATCCAAGCGTATCAATACGCAACGAACATTACAGATACGCTACAAAAATAAAACTTGTACGTATCATCAAAATATTGTGAAGTAACATTGCGTATTCAATTAGCAAATCAGCAACTTTTTTTGAAATTATAAACGGGCAATCCGTAAACCTTGCCAAACTCCACGATGACAGGTACATCATGATCATTTGCCATCACACTTTTTTGTGGAAGTATCGTGGTATCGTCCTATAAAGCTCTCGAACCCACACGACACCAGTTTGCAGGGACTAGATGAATAGTGTTTTTAAATATTTAACTTAAATACCCACATGTGTAAAAACTAGTGGGTAACAGATATTTGAATACCCAAATAGAATTACTGATACCCAATGATTTTAAAATGCATGGGTAAAATACCCACAACACAAAAAGCTTATCTGGAGCTCTGTTAACTATTGGGCAGTTTGGCAAGGACTATATTACAATTTCTAAAGCTGCGTATACACTGGTGTTACTGGGTAAGGGGAAATGGGCATTAACGTCTCTTTCAAGATTATTGCACATATATATAGAGCATGGATGCATGTGTGTGTGTAGCTGCTTGTACTAGCACGGACCCCTGCTGAATTATAGTGCTAGCCCATTAAAATACCATGCTGCAGTTTAACGTGAATACCCCGCTCGGACACAGTACACTGACTCCGAGCCGACGAGTCCTTGTTTTAGCCCATTAATACCCATATTTTAGCGTCTTTTTATATGACGCGGCCGGGGATCGAACTCAGGACCTTCCGGGCGGACTCTCTACCACTAGACCACGGAGGCGGTCTATAATGGTAAAAAAATCCAGATAGTGCTAGCCCACGCAGGCACAGTATACTGACTTCCAACAGATCAGCTCTTGTGTTAACCCCTCAATGCCAAACGTCAGGTATGGTAACAACAAGTACCATCTTTAAACGTCTTTTGGTATGACGCGGCCGGGGATGTTTCTCCGCGCAGACTCTGCATCCACTAGAGGAGGCAGTCTAGTGTGACAAAATTGGCATTGATATTAGCGGATCTATGACAAGGGCGTCTAATCAAAACCTGATCGGGGTGTAATATTGTGTTCTAATAGTTGAATGGGGACTAGTCGGATAATAAACATCCCAAAAGCAAATTTGATCCATGTCCCCCAAATAACATTACTGTGTCTGTTAGTTCAAATTCTATAATATATACCAATTGAGCAGTTAATGATAACCCTTACAACACAGACAATGTTTTGAAACATATTCATGTTATATCACGGCGTCAACTTGCCATGGGAGGAAAGCCCGAAGTAATACAAGTCACTGACGTTTACCACTTTGGTGAAACCTACGAGCACGGGTAAGCTATTGACAACCATAGCAACTTAATCTGGGCGAACCGGGATTCGAACCCATGATCATAGGTTTAATTGGACTAATCATAGTCATAGGACTAATTGCGGTGTCTTAGGACCATCCAGACCACGGACTGGACCATCCGTGCCCGACAACGTCTAAGTGTTGCATGATGATATAAATCACAATGTCTAGACCTAGGCAGACCTAGGCAGACCATGGGCACAAGACCATTGAGCATAGTATGCAGCTATTTGTAGAGACATATCGAAGAACCATACAATATGCTTTACGTCCTATATATTTAAGTCTGAAAACTTGCCTCACTAACCAAAATTGTGTGTTTGTTTAACGCCACACTTAGCAATATTCCAGCTATATGAAGGCGGTCTGTAAATAATCGAGTCTGGACCAGACAGTCCAGTGATTGACATCATGAGCATCGATCCACGCACATTGGTATCGATGTCATACATCAACCAAGTCAGCAAGCCTGACCACCCGATCCCGTTAGTCGCCTCTTACGACAACCACAATTGAAATAAAATAGGTTATATCATTAAGTGATGATTATCAACCGTGGATCACCTAAGCCTGTCCCACAAATACTCACAAGATGGACGTAAGGTATGTAGTACCCGAACATGACACAGGTGACGGCAGCCGTCCACACAACGAACACCCTGTTCTTCCACAGGTTCAGTTCCTCCATCAGCCTCCTCAAAGGGGACCCCCGGATCTTCTGGATCGGCGTCTTCTTTGTCCCATTAATCGGCCGGATGAGGGTGTTGCAGAGAACTGTCAAGGTACACGTTCCCGCGAAGAACCTAAAGGTGTTCCTCCATCCGATCGACCTGATCAGTGCCTGGGCAAGAGGAGCTGTGACAAGTGTTCCTATCGAGCTCCCGGCTGTCATGATACCGACAGAGATGCTGGCATATTTGTCAAAGTATTCTTGTCCGATCGTCATGGTAGGAGTGATTGACATCCCGGCGCCGACGCCGAAGAGGGCGGAGAAAGAGATGAAGAGGACGGAGAAGGAGGTGACGAAGGAGGAAGAGAGGACAGCGATGGCGCATAGCGTTCCCCCGGCCATCATCACTGGTCTTCGGCCGAATTTCTCGACCATCATGCTGACGAAAGGTCCCACCGCCATGGACAGTCCATAGGCCACAGATCCCACCCATGCTGCAGAGAATTAGAAATTAGATTCAGAGACATTCATGTCTGTTATCGGTCCCTCCCTTTGAAAACTACTTTTGGTATCAATATAAGAATGGTAAGCCCATACGCAGCTGTAACAGCCCTGTCATAATGCAAATATAATAATTTACCGCCGCAATCAGCAGTATTCCAGCTATATTCAAGCAGTCTATAAATAGTGGAATCTGGACCAGACATCCCAGTGATTGACATCATGAGCAAGGGATGCTGAAGACCCCGAACATCTCTTCTAACCCGGATCTTCATGGGTTAAATAGATTTCATTATATAAAGTGTCGTGTACTCCTACATGAAGTCATCATGAACACATATTCAAAGACTCCATAATAGTCCGCAACAACCACATCAACTACACCTGTCATTTGACTAGAAGATTTTTGTATAAACTAGCTCACGCTAATGCAAACCTGCAGATGCTTTTGATGTCTTGAAATCTTCAATAAACTCCACAAAGAAAACCCCAAATGCGTGCAGTATACCCAAAATGAGAACTTGAGTGATCCAAGAACACACGCAGACAATCCATGCCCATTTACTGTCTTTAGGAAACCGCAGATCACTTCTTGCATTTGAAAACGTTATTTTATCTTCTGGATTTGGTATCAAAGCTCGTTCAGCCATCCTTTGGGCTTTTAGCCTGTTGGCTAAATAAATGCTTTGCCGAGATCCTAACAATATTTATGTGGAATTTCATCCATGTTGTGAACTAACAACCGTGTGTGGCGCGTTGTCATGGAGTATGCCCAATGACGTAATCGTGTATCGTATTACGTTATCATGCTATGACGTCATAATTATTGCCGCATTCATTTCTTGCATGTGCTTCCATTCATTGACACCCGATCCCATGTTTTCTTGTTCTTGTGTGAGGAGGGATGAAAGGAGTCTTCTCATCAGGTCTTATGCTTGTTTTATACTGCTAGCCCATTCCAGTTTAACATGGATACCTTACTCAAACAGATTACCGCATGACTTAAAACGGTGGGGTGGGTGTGGTGCATCAAGCAAAATACAAGTTTCTCAGGTACATTTATCCCCAAGTAGTCCTGCACCATGACCGTGGAATATATTTATTTTATGAAAAAACATAATCTAGAAATGCATACAAAAGCAAGTCTAGCCAGCTCAAGCTAGCTCTATTCCCCAAATCTGAAATCAGCATAGGAATTTTTTTTTTTTTTAGAGTCAAGAAGGATCTTGTGTAATATAAGATTTCAGAGACTAAATGTTAGTCTAATCCCAAAGGTGAGGAGGGAGATACGATTCTTTCATTATTTCCGTTGAAAACAAAAAGGGATGAGGGAGGAATATATTTTGTTTTATTTACTCCCCACCCGCAAAACAATAACATAAATACAATAACTAAAAAAGGATGGTGTGGGTACATGCCCATCATGCATCAAAGCAATGGTTCCCCAATGTTTTTGTTTTTTTTACCCAGAAAGCGATAGGTTTCCCAGAAAGAAAAATTCATTAATTACAGTTTACAATGAATTAGATTGTAATTTGTAACCGTCTCTTAAGCCAACGAAGAACTGAAGAATATTTGTGATTGGCGCTGATTCCTTTTTAACCAATGAGCGATCAAGTTGACATCAGGTGACTTACACCATTCACCCACATGTGAACGAAAGCCGCAGTGGTTAGAGAAAATGCGGAAACAGTTATCCAGAAAACGTGAATCTTTTCATTAGTTGGTTGACGTATTGAGAAAAAATGCAGAAGGGAGCATCTTGTCCGAGGTGCCAACACACGTTTGCAGTTAAATTTCGAGGTGTGCATTCACAAATTCAGTTCTGTGCTGTCGGCTGCCGTGCCAGCCATTTGCAAACGATGACGCTCGTCTCTTGATAATAAACAAACACTTTGACACACATTTTGGAAGCAAATCAAGCAGTGTCATTTGGAAAATATGAATGTCCGGGTTACTTTAGCACAAACTATACAATGTTTTGGCAATAAATGAGGTATGTTATGGACTAAAAGTTGGTGCACAGCTAATGACTTTCGATTCTCAGGCAGGCGTCTCCTGTTTTCGTGCAATCATTTCCCTTTGGTCGGATATGTCACAAACATTTAGAATAGATGAATATTTTCTGATTATTATAATTTTTGAATGATGGTTTAATTGGTTTGTGAATTAAACTCTTTAATGTAATTAACACTTGAACAATCATGGTTAATAAATTTATACATTTCTATATAGAGATCTATAGGTGTTTGACGTAAGTAGGCCTAAACCCATGTGATTATCGTTATGGTATGGGTTTTCGGACGCTTAAGAAACATTTGTAATTCTCTCATTAATCACAAAAAAAACTGTAAAACATCTCACTCACTTATCAAAGACAACTTTATCTTAAAAACAGGTCATCATCTGAGTATTTACAATGTCTGTGTGACGCCACACCCCTTGTTATAACGCCAGTGATCGCGATGACCATGGCCGTCAGAAAATGTATAATATCTGAAAACAAATGATCCATCAATACTTGAGTATTTTTCGATACTCAGAGCAGTGAGTGCAGTACCCGGACACCCACCAAACATTTATTTATAGCTCTTTTGGTAAACTGCTAATACCACAGAAAAAACAGGCAAGGATAATACTCTTTCCGCATAGGCCATTTTAAAATTCATCTGCTAGAGGTAACTGTCTAAACAAAACGCCTTATGTCGTCTTACATTATCGCTAAGCAATGTTGTGTCTCGTTTTAAGCTAGTGTATTCCACCCGACTCGCTTTAAACAAACTTTGGTGTAACAGCATTCCACAAAAGACAATGACTTGAAAATCAATCTATGATACCATGATGACAAAAAGTGGTAAGGGAGTACTTGGGCATTATTTTATCATCTCTACATTTCATCATATAAGATTTTTTATTGTACTTAGCAATATTAATATTTATATAACTTAAAGCATGTTTTATAAAATAAGATGGTAATGAAATCTTTATTTGCATATACACTGAAAGGCAAAAGAAAAGTCATGAGGATGTATCATATAAAATCTTTATTTTCAAATGCCTATATATGTAAGTAAAGACATCGGAGAAAGTCAGTGTTTGGAAATTAACAGTCTGGGGAATGTTTTTGCGAATCGTGAATTAGGCATGAGGCACCAGAAGACATCACAGCTGGGGGGTTCAAAATCAGTACCTGGTGTGGCCACCACGGGCGTTGACTACAGCCACACATCTGTACATGGAGTGGACTAGCCTTTTGATGAAGGCCATTGGGATATGGGCCCATATCCTCAGGAACGCTACACACAGTTCTGCTGCAGTTGTCGGCCTTGGGCGTACGTCGTTGAGTCGGCTTTGGATCTCATCCCACAAGTGTTCAATGGGATTCAAATCCGGACTGAGGGCAGGCCAAGGCATGATTTGGATGTTGTGCTGCTGGAGGAAGTCCCTGGTGACTCTGGCAGTGTGGAGACAGGTGTTGTCTTTCTGAAAGGTGTGGTTTTGATGACGGGCAAAAAAAGGCACGATATGGGGTCTGAGGACTTGGTCAATGTAGCGGAGAGCTGTGATGCCATTACCCCTGCTCTGGACCAATATTCTGAAAGACCACAGATCCCACTCTCTGATTCAGTCCGATTCCACCCCAAACCATGATGCTTGGGCCGCCCCACGGGTCTCATTTCATTACACAAGCATCAGCATAACGTTTGCCCCTCCTTCGCCAGACCCTGACTCTGCCATCCACCGTTGAAACACAGTAGCGACTTTCATCAGTGAAGATGATTCTTCTCCATTGCTGTTGACGCCAATTTTGATGCTGCCTGGCCCATTGCAGTCGGGCCTGTCGGTGACGATCTCTCAGGATGGGTACATGAGCAGGACGGTGGCACAAGATGTTGTTGGCAGTTAGGCGACGTCGGACCGTACGATCACTGATGGCACGCTGGTGGTTGCCAATGGTTTGCCGAGCTGTTTCAGTGGCCATTCGGAATTGGTTCTGCAGATGTTGGCGTATCATGAACCGATCTTGTCTGGGAGTAGTGACTCTAGGACGACCACTATGTGGTCGGTCGTCGGTGTTGGTGGTGTTGTGGCGATGTTGCAAACGATATATCGTTCTGACCTTGACATTGAATGAATTTGCAACGACTTGTGCACTTTGGCCTGCTTGCAGTCTTCCGATCGCTTGTTGTCTCTCATTTCCTGATAATCTTGGCATGGCTGATGAATCGAAATAACGAAAACCAGCTTAACAATGTTAACAGTTTTGGGTGTCTTTTATACCCATACCATCCACGATATGCACGTGCATTGTGTTTTTGACAAGACTTTTCCGCAACTGAGTCCCATTGCTCTTTTGTAGGCTACTTTTGGGCAAAGCACTCCATTTTAAACTCAATTGTTAAATGGACTTTAAGGCAACAAAAAGATGCAGTAGAACGTTAAATGAGTTTATTGACCACAGAACATGAAACTGCCAGTGTCTGTTACGTTTTATCAGTATTTTCAGAAGTAACGTTTCTTTTGCCTTTCAGTTTATATCATAACAAACAATTCTGTTTAAGATGTCTACATTCAACCTATTCATATAATATGTAGATACTCTCCTGGGGATGTAGTGAATATGTACACATCAAATTTTTCCTAAATTTTTGCATCAGTTTCCAAATATACAGTTACTTTTTTACTCAAGCATTATTGACATAATATATGCAAAAGATTGGTGAAAAGCTCAAGGAACACCCAGATGAAATTTACAATAGAGTAGATATTCATAATCATTGAATAATCTCCCAATTTTTGACAAAATAATGGCTTTTCGCAAACACCTGGTGTCATCACTTATTTTCAGTGATCCATTAGCATGATTAGTATAATTGTCACCACTATTTTGCATTTTATGTCCCATGGAATCTGGGAGTGCGTGAGTATGGTTTTACGCCACTTTTAGCAATATTCCAGCAATATCTTGGAGCGGGACACCAGAAATGGGCTTCACACATTGTTCCCATTTCGGGAATTGAACCCAGGTCTTCGGCGAGATGAGCGAACTCTTTAACCACTAGGCTACCCGACTGCCCCTCCCATGGAATCTGTTTCGCCAGATAATCAATCTGTTTCGCCAGATAATGAAACCTGAATATTCTGTGATTCTTGGGTATTGATGTTTTGAATTTGGCAGGATCATCATTACTACACAGCATGTCTCAGGAAGCAAATGCTTAGATTTCACTGAATATTAAAGTGGTGTTAATCCAACTCGCAAGGAATGCAGTCAGATGCTTGTTTTCAGTTAAGTTAATTTTTGACTATTTCTCTGATATTTTCAGATCATCGAGGTATTTCACGTCAGCCATTACTGCTGAAGTGTTCCCATACCTTTTGTGAGTCTTGCCTCTTGAAGTTGGCCCGTGAAGGCAAGAAGGGCATCACATGTCCAACATGCAAGGTGGGTTAACTTTTAATATGTTAAATGCAAGTTTCTTGACAGCTGTTTCCAGCTGTGATTAAAAACAATTGGTTCACAAATGAACCAATGGGTCTTTGGGTTACCTGAAATGCAAATATTTTGTGTTTTTCTTAACTATGTCAAACCTCAATCTCATTAAAATCAGATCTTAGTTCTTGCTCTCGCTATTGCTAAACATTACAGGTCGTGTCAGAACTACCTTTCATCTGACCAATCAAAGCGTCGCTTAGCAGATCATGAAAGTGAATGTGTTTTCTAATCATGCAACCTCGAAAACGTTAACATGGGGTATTCCGAACGACAGTTACGGCCTGTATGACTGATTCCGTCAAAATCAACGTCTATCTCTCACTTCCGTGGGATAAACATTTGAACGGAGGAGGCGTTGCGCAGAATATGGGCTTAGATTCCGCTTGGACCCTCAAAATACATAACCCAGGTAAATCAGTATTTGTATTTTAAAATACAGTATCCTTTATCAATGGTTCTTGACCACTGTGGACAGCTATATAAACTCAGTGTTTGTATTCAGTGGCAGATAAAGCACTGGGTTTGTAGACTAATACCATGGCTTATATACTGCAGTTTTAGGCATCATATTTGAGGTGTTGCTGCCATTTACCTGTATTTGTTGCTGTAGGATGTTACCGACCTACCCCAGGGGGAGACAGGTGTGCGACGCCTCCCCAGCCATTACTTCCTGTCCGGGTACCTCATCTGCAGCCAGAAGGCTCTGCTGGAACAGTGAGTACCACACACCGCATGAAGTATTCTGTCTCTAATTCCGTGAGGGCGGTCGGGTAGCCTAGTGGTTAAAGCGTTCGCTCGTCATGCCGAAGACCCGGGTTCGATTCCCGACATGGGTACAATGTGTGAAGCCCATTTCTGGTGTCCCCAACTGTGATATTGCTGGAATGTTGCTAAAAGCGACGTAAAACCATATTCACTCTCTCTCTCTAATTCCGTGAATAATGGAAATGATTAATAATAGTCAAATGTTCCTTAACAATCAGTACTGGCAATCATGTCCACTGTAAATCAACAGATCAATTCTCCTGTGCTATTACAGAGGTCTCAAACTATCAATAACTCATTTACCATGTTTACAACAATGGGTATCTTTGAGGCTATAAATCTGGCAGTTGCTAATACGGTATGGGACTTTACAAAATTTACCACTGCTGGTGCACCTGACTTCAGTATAAGTCACTCATGAAACTGGTTGAAATTTGGATATTTGGGTGTTGATTGTGTTTCGAAAACCAGCCTCGAAAATGAATTTGGACAGTTATGTCATTTATGGGATCTTTTGCTTCACACTTCATTGAATAATTGTTTCTTGTAACATCAAGATAATGGTTTTACGTTTAGAAAACGAAGATGGTTTTGAAAACAATTATAATATTAGTGCCAGTCACCCATCAGGACCCATCTTCCCGAGGCAAGAGAGTTAACTGGATTATAAAAGTCCAGTTTCCACCCTTGCCAAACTAGGCTCGTATTATGGAGTTACATTTTTGGCTGGACTAACGAGTTTATGCATAGTCCAATCCAAATCGCGCACCGAAATCAAAATCCGTTTCGTAAAGTGTCATGCAGATTTCGGTCGACTGCAGGATTTGCAAAGCATGTGCACCGCTAACTCGTTGTCAACAGATATTTTCTAAATCTTTTCATGTTTTTAATCAAGGTGCTCACGTGATTTGATGCACTTCGCGATGTAAGACTCGTTTTATCACAATATAGATCTTGATTATCCATCAGATCGTCTTGACTGGGCGCCACCATTTTGTTTGAAGCAAATGCATGTGATACGAGAGGTGGAATCTGATTGGTCAGTAGGAGAGGCATAGAAAGGACATGACTCGTAATAGCCACTGGTGGCGCTACGATCGAGCCCAGGAATTCCAGCCTAGTTTGGTTAACTCTCTTGCCTCAGGAAGATGATCAGGACCAACATAGTTTAAAAGCTATAAGCCCTGACTAAACTCTTCTGGCCCTCATTTAAAAAAACTGCTGCTAATTGTGGCAAATGAACACGTACCCTCTGGAATTACATCATAGTCTTGCCTCCCTACCCATTGCCCCAGAATGCGAGAGCATACTCTATGCCCATTTCTCTGCATACAAATTTGAAACTGCAGGCCAAACACAAGATCTGCCAACCCTAGGCCCATGGACAGGCGCTTATTTCAATTACAAAGTTTAATAACCGGGATATGCTGTCCTTTTCACTCAGTCATTGTGTACATGGTTAATGGTTACATGGTCTGTATTCTGTGTATCCCTCCTTAAGCTGGTAACTTGTCATTCCTCTTTGAACAGTGAGCTGAGCAGGATGGCTCCTGCTGGCATGGCATCTGTCAACAAAAAGGCAGCTGTGGCAGAGGCGACAGGTACATTAGACTGTTACTTTGTTGCTGATAACATGCTTCTATTTTGACTACTATTTTCTGTCATATAGTTGCCCTGGTTACAAACAGTTGGCTATCAATTGATAAAATAGCCACATTTTTATTTTTTAAAGAAATGGTAATACCAAGTATTGCATAATGTGAACTAATGGAGCATTTATGTTTGTTAAACAAAGTTATTCCACAGTTTTATTAGACAGGGTCCCATTCCACAATGTGATCTTAGCGCTGATTATAGTAAACCTATGTTATAGTATGGGAGTTAATGATTATCATAGCACTAAGATAGCTCTGTGGAACATGGCCCAGGGTCCATTGCAGAAAGTGATCTAAGCGCTGATTATAGTAAACCTATGTTATAGTGTGGGAGTTAATGATTATCATAGCACTAAGATAGCTCTGTGGAACATGGCCCAGGGTCCATTGCAGAAAGTGATCTAAGCGCTGATTATAGTAAACCTATGTTATAGTATGGGAGTTAATGATTATCATAGCACTAAGATCGCTTTGTGGAACATGGCCCAGGGTCCATTGCAGAAAGTGATCTAAGTGCTGATTATAGTAAACCTATGTTATAGTGTGGGAGTTAATGATTATCATAGCACTAAGATCGCTTTGTGGAATGTGGCCCAGGGTCCATTGCAGAAAGCAATCTTGGCGCTACGACTAGCGTCAACCTGGTTAAGTCTAGTGATTATGATCGCCTTAGCACTAAGCATGTTAGGAGAGCTAAATGCAGCGGGACCCAGGTCATTAAAATATTTTCTATTGATTCTGTAGTCGTGTGCTGTAATGAATGTGCTCATGATCTGTCTCTTGCAGGCCGTGTTTGCAGTGAGTGCAGGCTCAACAGGGCCACCTGTAAATGTGTGAAATGTGACTGTGTGATGTGTGGCCTCTGCTTTGACAAGGTACGGGGATGTGGCTCCCAGTGTAGACAGGTATAGCGTAGTGAAGGCTGACATACAGCCCCAGTTGTCGTGTTGACTCACTGGTAAGGTTACTCATACTCCATTGAAACTCTGTGTTACCTTTGTGTGTAACTATGATTCATTCAGCACTGTCTCACTGTCAGTTTGGTGGCTTCTAAGATAGTCCTGCACCATGACTGTGGAATATCTGCATTTTGTTTGATTAAAACGACAGAGATTATTAAGTATCCAGTCCAGTCATGAAATCATCATTGAAAGCAATTCAAACAATGTTTGGAAGATAGAAATATGCTGTTTGACCAAATGTTAGTCTGCTACTAAGAGTAAGGGGGTATGGTTTTACGCCGCTTTTAGCACTATTCCAGCAATATCACGGTGGGGGACACCAGAAATGGGCTTCACACATTGTACACATGTGGGGAATCGAACCCGGGTCTTCGGCGTGACGAGCAAAAGCTTTAACCACTCGGCTACCCGACCGCCCCCTGCTACTAATACAGGTGACCATGTTTGGTAGCTTGTCTCCTGAGAGTTTCTGGGGCTTCGGTCGTGCCCCACTCTCGAGCACACTGTCATAATGGACTGTTATTGTTGAGTGTGCCCTTACCATGTGAATGTATTCTCTGTGTGCCCCAGTGGTCAGGCTAGCTGACTTGGTTGATGCATGTCATTGAATCCCAATTGTGTGGATTGATGCTCATGATATCAATCACAGGTTTGTCTGCTCCAGACTTGATTATTTACAGACTGCCATCATACAGCTGGAATATTGCTAAGTGCGGCGTTAAACAACAAAAGACAAAAACAACCCATGGTTTGTTGTGAACACCAACTGATGAGGATTGGGTGATTATAGTGTGGCAGTTGGTTAATTGGGCATCATGCTAGGTTACTGTTAATTATTGTTCAAGCTGACACACCCACTGGTTTGTCTGACTCAGACTCAAATATTTCCAATCTAAGACATGATTGATATTTCTGACATAGTGTAGAACAACATCTTTCACTACTGTTGATTTACTTAACAACTGACTTCAATAATGTTTGCATTTATGGAGGTATGAATGTAAAAACCAGTGTGCATCCGCAAAAAGTTATTGAAGTCAATTAAATAAGTCAAATAAATAAATCAACAATAACAGCTTCACAGACTGCTTATTTAATCCTTCACACACACTCGCTGACTTGGTTGAAGCATGTCATCGATCCCAATTGCATGGATCGATGCTCATGATATCAATCACTGGACTGTCTGGTCCAGACTTGATTATTTACAGACAGCCGTCATATAGCTGGAATATTGCTGAGTGCGGCGTAAAACAACAACCCAACCAACCAACCAACCCACATTCACGCACAAAACTGTAGACAATACAAACCTGTGACATCATTCAGTCCAATAATGCAACACAAACTCTGCCATTCTCTTATCAGGCCAAGTACTCTGTTCGTGTGCATGGCATATTTGTTGGTTTTATTGAATTGCTCACATTGTATGTGTTTTAGTACAGATCAACATATAACATATCTACTAATGGTTTACCAGAACTGAACTTTCAGACCCTTTCTCAGTGAGACGTAGGCTGCTGTGAGTCATAGGTTACAGTATTATGTTCAGAGTGTTATGTTATCTCTTGTGATAAGCTTCATGTGCAGAAGGGTTTTTGCACAGATTAGTTTTATGGACAGTTCAGGAAGACTGCCATGGAATTGTTTTGCTGTTTTGCTAATTGTTGAACACTAATATTTCAGAAGTTTCGTTTAATGTCAGGCCTGTGAAAATCCGGGGTAGAATAGGTCTTCAGCAACCCGTGCTTGCCATAAAAGGTGATTATGCTTGTCGTAAGAGGCGACTAAGGGGATCGGGTGGTCGGGCTCGCTGACTTGGTTGATGCATGTCATCAAACCCAATAGCGTGGATCGATGCTCATGTTGTCAATCACTGGATTGTCTGGTCCAGACTCAAAAATTTTCAGACTGCCGTCATATAACTGGAATATTGCTGAGTGCGGCGTTAAGCAACAAACAAAACAACTGATATTTTGGTTTCGGGTGGTGCTGTGACATGATAATGCTGTGCTCATTTTAGTTGCCTAAAATGGTAGGGCCATTTGGACACATGAGCAGCCAAAACGTGACGTTATCTTAAAAAACTTAGGCTTATTTTCAAAAGGAAGATAGCAATACCAAGAAATCTTCTTCTTTTTTAACTAACTATCAGAGATGATGCTAGGCCCATAGTAACAGCAGAGCTGTCATCGGCTGCTCTTGTTCAAATCTCTGATCTTCAGAATCATGAATGGAAGTTTGTGATAAAGTTTATGCTTCATCGAATTGTCCCACAAGTTGTCAATTTCTCTAGTTCGATTGTACTGAAAAAGTGCTGTAAATCTCTTGTCACCACTGATAATTTGTTGTTGACTTGTCGTGATGGTGGGAGATTCACCTATGTTGCTTCAAGAACCAAACAAACTGCTTGAAGGTGTCTGCACAATGTGATGAATCTTGCATCTTAACATGATGTATGGCCACACTTCGCATTTCCGACATGGACACACTGCCATGTAGACCATGTTTATGTAATGTTACAAGTGTGTGTTTAGTTACAATATGAGATAAGTTTGTGTTTGAAACCGTGCATCCAACTGCTTCATGTCATTAACAATTCTTGTCATATTTGTTTGTTTGTTGTTTAACGTCACATTCAGCAATATTCCAGCTATATGCGGCGGTCTGTAAATAATCGAGTCTGGACGAGACAATCCACTGATTGACATCATGAGCAATGGGATACGATGACATGCATCAACCAAGTCAGCTAGCCTGACCACCCGATCCAGTTAGTCGCCTCCTACGACAAACGTAGTCGCCTTTTACGACAAGCATGGGTTGCTGAAGACCTATTCTACCCCTGATCTTCACGGGTCTCTTGTCATATTTGTAGAATGAACACTGTTTAAGTCTATGAAACATCTGATGTTTTAGGATGAAAAGTGTTGAGATGTATAAGCAATGTTTTGATGTAATCAATGTAAAGATTCACATTTGTCTTGTAGGTACACTCCTTGTCCAATACTCTGAAACAGCACCAGGCAGCACAAATCACCGATGAAGATGATTGGTATGATATTAATTTGGTATGCTTGGACAGAACATATAGCTAAGTAAGAAACACAGGTGTAGGTAACAATGGAAATGCCAAGATTATGAATATATATTCAAGAATGTTGTGCTACCCAGAAAAGATTGTATATGTGTTGCTTGCATGTTGTTTAAGAACATTTTCTTTTCTGTGTAATCTACTTGGATAGGCTATAGAGTGGAATATATTCCCTGTGTTGCCAGCCCCTTCAAGGACATGTCCCCTCTGTGTAAGCTACATGGCAAGCCTATAGAGTGGAATATAATCCCTATGTTGCCGGCCCCTTTGAGGACATGTCCCCTCTATGTAAGCTACATGGCAAGCCTATAGAGTGGAATATATTCCCTATGTTGCCAGCCCCTTTGAGGACATGTCCCCTCTGTGTAAGCTACATGGCAAGCCTATAGAGTGGAATATATTCCCTGTGTTGCCAGCCCCTTCGAGGACATGTTCCCTCTGTGTAAGCTACATGGCAAGCCTATAGAGTGGAATATATTCCCTATGTTGCCAGCCCCTTTGAGGACATGTCCCCTCTGTGTAAGCTACATGGCAAGCCTATAGAGTGGAATATATTCCCTGTGTTGCCAGCCCCTTCGAGGACATGTTCCCTCTGTGTAAGCTACATGGCAAGCCTATAGAGTGGAATATATTCCCTGTGTTGCCAGCCCCTTCGAGGACATGTTCCCTCTGTGTAAGCTACATGGCAAGCCTATAGAGTGGAATATATTCCCTGTGTTGCCAGCCCCTTCGAGGACATGTTCCCTCTGTGTAAGCTACATGGCAAGCCTATAGAGTGGAATATATTCCCTGTGTTGCCAGCCCCTTCGAGGACATGTTCCCTCTGTGTAAGCACATGGCAAGCCTATAGAGCGGAATATATTCCCTGTGTTGCCAGCCCCTTCGAGGACATGTTCCCTCTGTGTAAGCTACATGGCAAGCCTATAGAGTGGAATATATTCCCTGTGTTGCCAGCCCCTTCGAGGACATGTTCCCTCTGTGTAAGCACATGGCAAGCCTATAGAGTGGAATATATTCCCTACGTTACCAGCCTCTTCGAGGACATGTCCCCTCTGTGTAAGCTGCATGGCAAGCCTATAGAGTGGAATATATTACCTACATTACCAGCCTCTTCGAGGACATGTCCCCTCTGTGTAAGCTACATGGCAAGCCTATAGAGTGGAATATATTCCCTACGTTACCAGCCTCTTCGAGGACATGTCCCCTCTGTGTAAGCTACATGGCAAGCCTATAGAGTGGAATATATTCCCTACGTTACCAGCCTCTTCGAGGACATGTCCCCTCTGTGTAAGCTACATGGCAAGCATATAGAGTGGAATATATTCCCTACGTTACCAGCCTCTTCGAGGACATGTCCCCTCTGTGTTAGCTACATGGCTAGCCTATAGAGTGGAATATATTCCCTACATTACCAGCCTCTTCGAGGACATGTCCCCTCTGTGTAAGCTACATGGCAAGCCTATAGAGTGTAGTTTATTCCCTGTGTTGCCAGCCCCTTCGAGGACATGTCCCCTCTGTGTAAGCTACATGGCAAGCCTATAGAGTGTAGTTTATTCCCTTTGTTGCTAGCCCCTTCGAGGACATGTCCCCTCTGTGTAAGCTACATGGCAACCATATAGAGTGGAATATATTCCCTACGTTACCAGCCTCTTCGAGGACATGTCCCCTCTGTGTAAGCTACATGGCAAGCCTATAGAGTGTAGTTTATTCCCTTTGTTGCTAGCCCCTTCGAGGACATGTTCCCTCTGTGTAAGCTACATGGCAAGCCTATAGAGTGGAATATAATCCCTATGTTGCCGGCCCCTTTGAGGACATGTCCCCTCTATGTAAGCTACATGGCAAGCCTATAGAGTGGAATATATTCCCTATGTTGCCAGCCCCTTTGAGGACATGTCCCCTCTGTGTAAGCTACATGGCAAGCCTATAGAGTGGAATATATTCCCTGTGTTGCCAGCCCCTTCGAGGACATGTTCCCTCTGTGTAAGCTACATGGCAAGCCTATAGAGTGGAATATATTCCCTATGTTGCCAGCCCCTTTGAGGACATGTCCCCTCTGTGTAAGCTACATGGCAAGCCTATAGAGTGGAATATATTCCCTGTGTTGCCAGCCCCTTCGAGGACATGTTCCCTCTGTGTAAGCTACATGGCAAGCCTATAGAGTGGAATATATTCCCTGTGTTGCCAGCCCCTTCGAGGACATGTTCCCTCTGTGTAAGCTACATGGCAAGCCTATAGAGTGGAATATATTCCCTGTGTTGCCAGCCCCTTCGAGGACATGTTCCCTCTGTGTAAGCTACATGGCAAGCCTATAGAGTGGAATATATTCCCTGTGTTGTCAGCCCCTTCGAGGACATGTTCCCTCTGTGTAAGCACATGGCAAGCCTATAGAGCGGAATATATTCCCTGTGTTGCCAGCCCCTTCGAGGACATGTTCCCTCTGTGTAAGCTACATGGCAAGCCTATAGAGTGGAATATATTCCCTGTGTTGCCAGCCCCTTCGAGGACATGTTCCCTCTGTGTAAGCACATGGCAAGCCTATAGAGTGGAATATATTCCCTACGTTACCAGCCTCTTCGAGGACATGTCCCCTCTGTGTAAGCTGCATGGCAAGCCTATAGAGTGGAATATATTACCTACATTACCAGCCTCTTCGAGGACATGTCCCCTCTGTGTAAGCTACATGGCAAGCCTATAGAGTGGAATATATTCCCTACGTTACCAGCCTCTTCGAGGACATGTCCCCTCTGTGTAAGCTACATGGCAAGCCTATAGAGTGGAATATATTCCCTACGTTACCAGCCTCTTCGAGGACATGTCCCCTCTGTGTAAGCTACATGGCAAGCATATAGAGTGGAATATATTCCCTACGTTACCAGCCTCTTCGAGGACATGTCCCCTCTGTGTTAGCTACATGGCTAGCCTATAGAGTGGAATATATTCCCTACATTACCAGCCTCTTCGAGGACATGTCCCCTCTGTGTAAGCTACATGGCAAGCCTATAGAGTGTAGTTTATTCCCTGTGTTGCCAGCCCCTTCGAGGACATGTCCCCTCTGTGTAAGCTACATGGCAAGCCTATAGAGTGTAGTTTATTCCCTTTGTTGCTAGCCCCTTCGAGGACATGTCCCCTCTGTGTAAGCTACATGGCAACCATATAGAGTGGAATATATTCCCTACGTTACCAGCCTCTTCGAGGACATGTCCCCTCTGTGTAAGCTACATGGCAAGCCTATAGAGTGTAGTTTATTCCCTTTGTTGCTAGCCCCTTCGAGGACATGTCCCCTCTGTGTAAGCTATATGGCAAGCCTATAGAGTGTAGTTTATTCCCTGTGTTGCCAGCCCCTTCGAGGACATGTCCCCTCTATGTAAGCTACATTGCAAGCCTATAGAGTGTAGTTTATTCCCTGTGTTGCCAGCCCCTTCGAGGACATGTCCCCTCTATGTAAGCTACATGGCAAGCCTATAGAGTACTTCTGTGATGACGATGATACAGCCATATGTTCCCGGTGTGTGATCATGGGCGACCATAAGGAACACTCCATCACCTCTATGGAAGAGAAGGTGAGTGCTTATGTTTCACATGACTTGGTTAATGGGACAGAAATACATTGCATATATGTATGTATCACAAAGCTGGAAGCTTAAGGGGTTACTATGCCTGTGTCAGCTGTCAGTCACAGCAAGTTTGATCCAAGTCCCCTAAGCACCACTTTGTTCATGAGACCCGGGTTAGAATAGGTCTTCAGCAACCCATTCAAACCAGGCGACTTTGCTTGTCGTAAAAGGCGAATAAGGGGATCGGGTGGTCATGCTCGCTGACTTGGTTGACAATTCCAATTGTGTGGATCAATGCTCATGATATCAATCACTGGATTGTCTGGTCCAGACTCGATAATTTACAGACTGCCGTAGTATAGCTGGAATATTGCTGAGTGCGGCGTTAAACAACAAACAAACAAACAAACTTTGTTCATGAATCCAAAAGTTTATGATTACCCCAATCACACAGATATGTCCAATAGTGACCAGTGGTGACCATGTCTAAGATCCTGACAGGGGTTTACGGCTAGACAAATGTAAATATGTACCTGATAATGGAGTGGAGCCTTCTGGGGACCTGGCTTATAGTGGGCAGCCAGTACATAGCTGTGTGTCATATTAGGCGACTCCTGTGTATCAGGTGGTCAGACACGGTGGCTTTGTGTTTCTTTGTACCCTGACAACATGGGACATTGTTCACAGTATCAATCGCTAGTTTGGCTGGCCCAGACTTAGTTATTTGTAGACCCTCTTGATATGGCTGGAATATGGTTGACCTGACAAAGAATTGCAGTGAAATGCTTCAGTTATTAGTGTATCAGTGAACGAAATTATTGTAAGCCCACAATTCCTAGACTAGTATTTAGAAAGTACTTGCAACATTTCCTCAGTGCCCACCACATTCTCAGTGTACTGTTTAATACCTTGCTGTATGTTGCAGAATAAGGTGTTGCTAGGAGACATGGAGCCTGCCTTACAGTTTGCATCACAGGTTGTGAAGAAGCTGGTCAAGGCAGATAAGGTAGACTGGAAGTAGTTGATCTCAGTTACATTCTGTCTTCAGGGTGGGTGTCTTCTGGGTGGGTGTCCACATGGAGGGTGTCTTCAGGGTGTATTTCTAAGTTCTATCTTCAGAGCGGGTGTCTTCTGGGTGGGTGTCCTCATGGAGGATGTCTTCAGGGTGTATACTAAGTTCTATCTTCAGGGTGGGTGTCTTCAGGGACGGTGTCTTCAGGGTGTGTAACTTCAGGGTGTGTGCCAAGTTCTAGCTGAAGATTTGGGTGGGTGTCCTCATGGAGGGTGTCTTCAGGGTGTATGCTAAGTTCTATCTTCAGGGTGGGTGTCTTCAGGGTGTGTAACTTCAGGGTGTATGCTAAGTTCTATCTTCAGGGTGGGTGTCTTCAGGGTGTGTAACTTCAGGGTGTATGCCAAGTTCTATCTTCAGGGTGGGTGTCTTCAGGGTGTGTAACTTCAGGGTGTATGCTAAGTTCTATCTTCAGGGTGGGTGTCTTCAGGGTGTGTAACTTCAGGGTGTATGCTAAGTTCTATCTTCAGGGTGGGTGTCCTCACGGAGGGTGTGTAACTTCAGGGTGTATGCCAAGTTCTATATTCAGGGTGGGTGTCCTCACGGAGGGTGTCTTCAGGGTGTATGCTAAGTTCTATCCCCAGGGTGGGTGTCTTCAGGGAAGGTGTCTTCAGGGTGGGTGCCAAGTTCTAGCTGAAGATTTGGCATCTTCAGGGTAGGCGTCTTCAGGGTGTATGCCAATGTTAAATGTAATTTAAATGTTTCATAGACATTGTAGAATAAACATCACAATTGTCTTGTGAAAAATATTTTGAAATCAGTTTGAAAAAGTGTACTGAACAGATGGAATAGAAGCCCACGAAAAGTAGTAATACTCCTATAATTTTACTGGAGACAGAATAATGAGCAGTTAATTCATCGACTGTCTTCGTAGTGATATTATGCTTTTTATCTCTTTTCTATGTAAAATACATGGATATTTCACTGACTTCATCTTCAGAGAATTTAATATATGTTTAATTGTACCCAGGTTGTCCAGGTTTCACTGCATGTGTCAATCTGTTTTGCAGATATTGTCACAGTCTGTACCGTCGGTGAAGAGTGAAACGTCCAGAGTCATTGATTCCATCAGAGCACATTTTCAGTCTTTACATGCAGCATTACAAGTCAGGTATGTTGTGAGCAATCTGCTGGCTTTGTATCTTTCAGTGTTGCCTTGCACCCCTGTATTGTTATGGATACTTATGCAGGACAAGTCCCAATGACTGCATGGCAAGCGACACAAATCTGGATCTGCTAACAACATTGCATTCAGGCATTGTTTTACCCAGATGACTGTCACCTGTGACAAAGATAAAAGACTTCCTGGGCCCATTTGCACAAAGCTATCTTAAGTAAGGATAAGAATTTATGGATGAACAACTTCTTTATTACAATTAAGAGCAACCTTTTGGTGTAGGTTCTAACACCGTTATCAAGCAAGTGATTTAAAGAGTGTGGTTGGCAAGTATATATACAAGTAGGAGGCAATGTTTATACAGTTGAGTAGATATTGTTATACTGGAGTAGAGAAGCCTGTTATGTACACACAAGGGTAGTAATGACAATCATCGGTGAACTCAGTGACATAAACAAAGGATGAAGCCAGTAATATCAACAATGGGATTATGGCTGATTGGGGTCTTTGATGAGTTGATGGTACGCCAGGGGTATGGAATAGCCTTGGTCACGGTTGATTGACGGCTGGAGTCTTTTGATGTTGTTGGCTTCTTGTAGTTTCCTGATCTTGAAGTCTTTGAGGTTGGTGCCTATCAAAGAAGTTATTGTAAGCTTATTTTAAAGTATGAGAGTTAACGATAATCTTAGCACTAAGATTGTGTTGTGCAAGTTGGCCCAGGACATCTAAAATTTAGATAAATCTGGAATAATGTTTTGGCCAATCTTCCATTTGTATTTTGGTCACCCCCACCTCATATATGACAGATGCTGGACGTTCATGTATGAATAAATAAATAAATAATAATAAAATGAAATCAAGGCTCATTTTCATAACATATACTGCATGTTCTTGGGGATAGTGCACACTTTCTTCCATTAACAGTAACACAAACTGAAGACATTACCAGGAACACAGAACACTGGAAATACAATGTCTATGTCCTAGGATGCCCATTAATGGCAAAGTCTTGTTGACACATGACTGGCCTTGGACATTCAGGACATATAACTTACAGCTGTGACATATTCATATGATTGTTTCATTACCAGGGCTTAGACATTTATGGTCGACTGTAGAAACATGTCATCTGGAATATGACTTCTTTGAGTAGCAGTATAGAAGTTGGTTCAGTAACAGAGAACATATTTCAGATTCAGAGAACATATTTCAGTTAAAGAATAGATTAGTTACAGAATAGATTTCAGTTAGAGAAAATGTCCCAGTGAAGGTCTGGATTAGAATAGGTCTTCAGCAACCCATGCTTGCCGTAAAAGGTGCCTATGCTTGTCGTAAGAGGCATCTATGTGTGTTGCTCATAGGCAGTATTCCCCAGTTTCTGGTGTGTTGCAGGGAGGCTGAGCTGATAGAGGAGGTGTTCACGGTGTACCAGGATGGGGTAGCTCCTCTTGTACAAATGGTGAGTTACTGTCACCTCTGAATTGGAATTTTCAGCACTGCTGAACTTTCACCTTTCTGGTAATGTGGTATTGTATGGATTTATGTTTCTAGGTTTGTCAGCACCGTACCCATACTCTTTGGTTTCACCAAAGTGCTAAATGTCTGAGACCTGCATCACTTCAGGCTTTCCTCCCAGGTTAAGCTGACATGCCGTGATTTACCTGCCATAATGTTCAAAGTGGTTTTTAACCGTACTCATTCACTATTGTGCAAAGATTTCTTTGCAAAGTAATGTACAGAGGTATTTTCTATATATTATAGGATGTGTAACAGTATTTTCCTTTATACTTCAAGTTACCAGTTTTTTTTACCGATTTAGTAAACCTTAGACAATTTTAGATACTGTGAATTCCTTGGACCTGCATAATTTCTGCTAAAATAAATCAGATTACATTATAGCTGAGTATTTGTTGTCTTATCCTTACTAGAGCCTGGTGTGAGTATTTCGCACATGCATGCAAAATGGTGGGGGTATCCAAGCCTCTCCCGAAAGACAAACATCCGCAGTACTAGAGCTTTTTACTGTTCTCGAAGCAGGGCTGTATAAAACATCCACCAGTGCAACCCATTATTGAAAAATACAACCTGATATTTACACCTACATGCACCAAGTGCATGTCAATCTTTCAAAGTTATATCTAACCCTTACATGTCCACACAACATCGGTCTTTGAACACACCCAATACCGCTAGGCTTGTTAAACATGCCAAATCAATAACCCCATTTTTATGTGTAATTTATCTTGCTTTTTGGATCTTGACATCATCAATATGTGGCAACTTCAAGATTATGTGTGCATGTTTCAAATTAATTACCAATTTTGATACATTTATTGGTACAGGGTGCAACCTAGTTTTGTCTGGTGCAACTAGGTTTTCAAGTCAACATGCACCTGGTGCAACTTAAATCCATTTCCTTAAATCGAGCCCTGCTAAGTAATATTTGTTACTTTTCAAGTTGAAATATGTATTTATGTGTACCGAGACAGCATGTTTTTAAGTCCCTTGTTATTTTGCTCATAGGCTTAAAACAGAAAAATAAAACGCTTTTAGGCCCATAGGCTTAAGTTACCGGGGTAAATTGAAAAAGTGATTAATTTCCTTTGCCGGAAGTTCAACAGGTGTTGTACCATGCTTCTTTACAGCCAATTAGCACCAACATTGTACTTTAAGGGCTGTTAGGTGTCCACATTTACAAGGCAATTTAGACCCGTTACGTAACACTGGTTATATTCTGGATACATTTTAAACGCATGTGACAGACCCGGATAACTACGATATTGTTTGACAGCCGTCAATTAATGTTTGAAAATGTTTCTTGCTCATGCTCTTTTTTCAAGTTAAAAAAGAAAATCATGTCTTATGTTAAGGTAGTGCTATTTCATTCCATCTGTGAGTATTGTTTCGTTAAAGTTGTTCGTCATGATATGACTGAAATATTGCCGATGTGACATTAAATTTTAACTCGCTCGCTCATTAAACTTGGGATATTCGGATTATTCCTTCTTTCTATCATGTTTTTGTTCTTTTTCATTTATAATCCCTGGGCTTAAGTTTGGATAAAATATTACTCAATTTAAACTTGGCAAAGCATGTACTTAAGCCCAGGGCTTAAATCTGCAGTACTTTCATGATGCTTAACGTAGTGTCCATTTTCCAGAAAGCAGAGATGCTGAATGAAAAGAGAAAGCTTGATTTATCTATAAAAGGTACACTTAGTTTTCATTCAAAACTGATGTGACTGAGAAATGATTTTTGCAAATACTTTTCTTCATAGTGAACTAAAGATTCTTACATGATGAAAATGGTTCCCATGAAATACCATATATCATGTATTTTGTGTATAAACTGACCAAGATGATTCACCATTCGCAAAAAGAGTCATCTTAAATTTGTTTGACAATTACATACTGTTGGAAACTGACAAAATTGTTCACCCTGGCCACACAAATAATCCTGCTTGTCAAAAATATTCTTATGACATAGACAAATGTGAAGATATTAATAAATTATTAGCGCTTTTGAGCTTATTGATGTATACGTGTTATGTTCATGTTGGGATAATGTCTCCAGTTCATTTGTTGCAGCTGCCCAACGTATTATGAACAATAACAATGAAATGATCCTGAATGCCAAAGACATTTTAGACAGTTTGAATCGTGCCAAAGATTTGATGTGTGTTTTGTCAAGCTCTGATCCAGGGTCGGAATCGGGGATACGGTGAGTGCAAGTATATTGTGCCTTTTGCCAACATTAAGCTAGCTTACAATCAGGTAGTTATGACAGATATTATTACCGTATTTTCTTGAGTATAGTGCGCACTTTTTTTCGAAAAAACACAGCATTGTAGAAGGGGGTGCGCATTATACACGAATTATGAGTTTGGATGTTTTTTTCCCCCATGGAAAGACATTACCGTGAGCACAAAACACCGGGAATACCATGTCAACAAATCCATACTGAAGTACGCAAAATAATTATGTAATTACACTGTCTGGCTATAAAAAGTGTTCTTTGTATATCTGAACTTATGTTTGTTACTTATGTCATTGATTTTATTCAAAATTCCTTATAATATTGTTTTTATTAATTTCGGCGAAATCGTGTGTGAAGCGATTTTTTATCTCAAATTTCGAATTTGTACTGACGAAGTTTCTCAGCGCCCGTTCGTTTGCCGGACTTCGCTGAAAGGGTACGGTGTAAAAAATTTCTGCGCATAATATTCAAATTTCTTTTTTTCCAAAATATTGAACCCGCTAGAGGGGGGTGCGCATTATACATGGGTGCGCACTATACTCAAGAAAATACGGTAGTTGTAGCAGGATCACGAGGGGAACATGGGAGGCGAGTGGTATAAACCCTAACGAGGGACGCATAAAACCCCATGTACCCTGAGTGATCCTGCTACAACAAATTTATCTTACCGACATGTTTTAATATGACGTGAAATAATTCAAATAAATTCCAAATTGATAGAAAACATGGAAAAGAGCTGTTTGATTGAGCTGAGGTTTGCTTTCGCTATGTCACGTGACATCCATTGGCTTGGGAAAAAGCGGGGTATAAAGGATTTATTCTGTCTCTCAGAAATGCACATGCAGCCTGTAGTGCTTGTGGTGGTGTATAAAAGATTTATTCCCCCTCTGAGAAATTTATTACCCTCCAACGCGGGTTACACAGTGTTTTATCAAGATCATGTAGACCAATCAGATCTCATCATCCTGACATGGAGGTGTGATAATTATATTTAATACCTATGAGGGCAAACATATCGGGGTTTATAAAAATCATATGTACCCTGGGGTCATCATGTCATGAGACAACAGTGTATTGTTTCCGTCATGTGAGCGGTATTATTGATGTCATCGAATCTTATTGTGATGTGAGGTTGGAATGACGTCATACTAGAAATTAAGATTGTTGACTTCATTCGACAAATTGTGGTTCCTCTGTTGTTTGCGACTTGCTGTCAATATAGGTAAACCCTAAAATTCGTCTCTGTATGTTGACATCTTGGGTAATAAATGTAACATATTTGTGTTCATGTCGTACTATGTTTACGACAAAATTGTTGCCTAAATTCTGGTATTTAGATATTCATGTCGTAAACATAGTATGACATGAACACAAATATAATATCTCTCTCTATATATATACCCCAGTCCATTATCATGCTGATAATAGAGAAATTTACTTTAATGGCGTTGGTTCCATCAAACCATTTGAGGATTCGAATACAGTGATCGCTCGCTATTGCGCTCTTCGATAAAGCGCTACCTCAGTTACTACCCGCAGTAACACATGGCTCCCCAAATTTATGTACACTTTTATTACTGAGAGTTTTACACAGACATAATTGTATTGTTGTTCGTTGTTCATTTGCACATAACGCTTCTCATTGCATAATCAACCGTTTATCGCTGAATGGAGTTCTAATAATCTGTTTGAAAACATCCGCGGCAAGTCCCGGAAATACGATTGTTCAACTAGTTAATTTTTCACACTATACATCCTTTGATCTTAGAAGCGCATGCATGCAATAAAAGAGAACCACAAGCGAAGTTTATATTCTTAATTAGTGGGCAATCCAATTTAAGGCTAAACTGTCACACACATGTAGTTGCTGTCACAACACGGCGGTCATTCATTTCGTAATCGCGCTTTCGTAACATCGCCTGTTTTTTTTCCGTAGTTATAACAAGCGATTTCATTGGATTAAAATTTGTTTCTAATGACGCTTTCTTGCCCAAATCTGCTACAAGTTTCGTGATTGGTCAATTTTGAGCACGTGACCTCAGGCAGCCAATCAAATTATAGCTGTGATACCAAGCTCGTGTTTGATAAATTTCAGAAGTTAGCGAAAGATTTTTTGTTAAATCGTGTTATTCTGAACGATTTAAGCATGTACGTACAAATACTTTTGCGTACATTTGTGTGTGTGTCATTTGGAGCCCGCCATTGCTGCTTGCAGCTAAATTTAAACATTATTTTAATTTTTTTAATGATGTGATGAACATAACTTTCACATTTAAAAACAGTACGATTAGACCTTTGAAATTGTGTACGACATGTAGTCGCAAAGATGTTTTACACGCTGATTATTTCCTGATAAATGTAGGCTTCATCTATCACCACTGAGTCTCTGGGAACTCGTGTGATGGCAGTAAAAGCTTTTGGTTGACTGGTTGTGTTTTGTAATTTATATTGTATGTCTCCCTGCTTCAGCTAATATGTTTGGGACTACAGTTTTTCCACTGGGTCTACAGTTTTTCCTCTGGGCCTACAGTTTTTTAAATGGGACCCTTAAGACAATCAGTTTACTCTGCTAATTTTCAGTCAATGGCATCCCCAACGCTCTAGTTGTTGTAAGCGGAGACTAATTTGTATTGGATGGTCAGACGAGATGACTTGGTTAATTGTGTGTCTTCATCCCCAGATGGCATGGGTTGTCGTTCATAAACACTGTCAATCACTGGTTTATCTGGCCCAGCCTTTTATACACAGAATACCATGATATAGCTGGGATATGTCTGACTGGTGACAGACAACAAACAATGAAAATAAACAAAATGAACCTATGTGTGTATGGCCTGTTCTTTTGTCTGATGGTAGATGATGGTAGTATGGACATAGTTTAACGGTTATTGTTTTCTGTATGTTCTGTTCCAGGTTTGAAGGAGGAGACTCGCTGTTTAAATCCTTCAAGAACTATGGTTCTGTGAAAGGAGAAGTGCCTAAAAGGTCAACATGTGTTGAATGTATATATACCATAATTTCTTGTGTATAGTGGGCAATTCTTTTAGTATTGTGATTGAGCACAGCTTAGTTATTGTCACAGTACTAATGCTATTGTGAAAATGCCCCGATAGTTGCCTCGAATTATGAGATTATACTCCCACTGCATAATTTTATCGTTTTACTTAAATGGTTGATTAAAAGATTCGGCTCAGGCCAGTTTCAGTGTTGATGTCACTTTGACATTCCTTGTTAGACTGTTGAGAATCATTGAGGATGTGACCTGTGAAGATCCGGGTTAGAATAGGTCTTTAGCAGCCTATCCTTGCTGTAAAAGGCGCCTATGCTTGTCGTAAGAGGCGACTAATTGGATGGGATGGTCAGGCTCGCCAACTTTTTTGATGGATGTAGTCATATCCCAATTGTGTGGATCGATGCTCATAATGTCAATCACTGTATTGTCTGGTCCAGATGCGATTATTTACAGCCCGTCGTCATATAGCTGGAATATTGCGGAGTGCAGGGTTAAACAATAAACAAACAAGTAAACATTGAGGATGCTGGTGGCCCTGACAGTTCTCTATTGTGCCTCAATTCGCTGTGCAATTAATTCGGTAGCTCAAAATGTTACCTTATTAGGATATAAAGGTTGGATATTCACTGTGCAGTATGTTCCTTACCAATAGTTGGACCCGTGAAGATCCGGGGTACAATAGGTCTTCAGCAACCCATGCTTGTCGTAAAAAGCGACTATGCTTGTCGTAAAAGGCGACTAATGGGATTGGGTGGTCAGGCTCGCTGACTTGGTTGATGCATCCGCAGCAGGTCATCGATCCCAATTGCGTGGATTGATGCTCATGATGTCAATCACTGGATTGTCTGGTCCAACCTAACATAGATGTATTGTTAGGATTGTCTGGTCCAGCCTAACATAGATGTATTGTACCTTATTTATTTCAGAGTGATGTTCCATACTTTGAATGATGCCCCTGAGGAGGTGCTGAATGACGACACTGACACTGCAAGTGTCGTCTCCTGCAGCTCTCTGACATCCGGCACCGATGTCACTTCAGTAACTGATACAGGCGAGGATGTCATTATTGAAGGTAGACCTCAAGCTTGTCACATTCATTTGTCTTTTGGAAGTAAATAGAGGATGTTATATCAAAACTCAAATGTTATGTTCATTACACCAGTTCATCATGCAAGAAATGGGAAATAGATGTCATGAACTGGCTGGAAGGGTTTGGCAACTCAAAAATGTTACCATCTTATTAAAAGGCTACCAGTCCCTTACATAAAGATTTGCTTTGCAGAGTTGCTTCCCAAGCGTCCCAGCAACCTACGATTGTGGGATTATATTTCTAGGTTTGTCTGTGTCATACCGGTGCCACTGAGGTGGTGAAAGCCTAAGACCTGCATCACTTTGGGATCCCACATAGAATTGTTCAAAATGGCATTGAACATGTCAAACCCAACTCATTCTCTCACTGATGTAAAGTTACCAATGTACTGCTAGACTCGTGAAGATCCGGGGTACAAATAGGTCTTCAGCAACCCATGCTTGCCATAAAAGGCGACTCTGCTTGTCCTAAGATGCGACCAACGGGGTCAGGTGGTCAGGCTCGCTGACTTGTTTGATACATATCGTATCCCAATTGCATGGATTGCTGAATGCGGTGTTAAAAAACAGACAAAAAAGAAAAATCCAATGTTCTGCTTGAGAATACCCTTAGCCATCATGGTAAACTGTGTTCAGACATAAGGGGGGATCCTTGAGGTTTAATACTATGGTATTTGAATTTAGGGATTTCATCAATCTTAAATATTCAGCATTAGGTTGATGCCAAGGACCCCTTGACTTTCACTCTTAATTTCGGACACAAGTAAGACATGCAAAGATGTCAATCTGGCTGTGGACCTGCCTATCTGTTTTTATACATTATTTGAAGTTTACAGTCATCTTTACTTGTTCATATTTCAGATGAGCAAGACATCCTTGTAGAAGATGAAGATGGGAATAAGAAATCAACATACGTCCTTAAACCTGTGCCAGGTCGTGAGAAAATGACTGGTAGGGATGTATGGCTAACTGGGATTTGAATTTCCTTGTATTTTAGGGGCTGTAGCATGGTAATAATTGTCATGCCATCGTTAAAATAAGTTCCTTGTCCCCTGAAGGGCACACTTAGCAGTTTGATTTTTTTAACAGTAGTATCCAGTGACAATGTTTAATGTTTTAGGCCACAAATAAACATGACAAACAATTGGAAAATGAACATGTGAACACATGTAATGCAGAGTATGATTAGCAAAATGGATGTTGGTGTTCAGAAATGAAAAAAGGATAGGATCATTCTCAATGAAAAAGAAGGGTGAAAAGTTTCAAAATTACAACAGCTTATTGTCTAGCCTTGGTGAAACAACATTTATAGATCATTATTATTCTTCTGTTTGGCATACTTAAATTCCAAAGGGCACACCTAAACATATCCTGAAACACAGTGAAAACACATATTCAACTTGAACTTGAAATTGAATAGATGTGTTCTTGTGTATCTCCAAACACATAGAATGAGATTCAAACCCATATGACGACATTGTATGTTTGATAATCTCATGCCTAGATACCACAAAGAACTTAATTTGATTTTTGTGGCCATTTTTACCACATGCTTTTGAAAAATTGGAATATGCGTTCTCAAGGTGCGTCAGTAAATTTGTGAGTGGCCGGTGGCATACTTGAAGTAACAAGACCCACTTCTTTCCCTACTATAAGGTCTCAGATATTTGTATGGGATAGATATTTCAAATATCTTATATTGTCACAACTGTTAGAATGCTTGCTCTTTGATACAGAGTAATCACAGACCGCCTCCGTAGTCTAGAGGTAGAGCATCCGCCCGGAGAGTGGAAGGTCCGGGGTTCGATCCCCGGCCGCGTCATACCAAGAGACGTTAAAAGTAGTCAGTATACTGTGTCTGAGTGGGGTATTCGTGTCAAACTGCGGCATGGTATCTCAGTGAGCTAGCACTATAAATCGGCATCAGTCCGGACTAGTACAAGCAGGCACACAAACATACACACACGTACATGCACGTCGCTATATAAGTGCAATAATCTTGGACGCGACGTTAAACCCCATTTCACCTCACCTCACAGAGTATTCACGCTTTTCCCTTCTTTTTCCATGCGTTTTAACAACCTGTGAAGATCCAGGTTTAATTTGTCTTTAGCAACCCATTCTTGTCGTAAGAGTCTACTATCGAGATTGGGTGGTCAGCCTCGCTAACTTGGTTGATGCATGCCATCTCGTCCCAATTGCATAGATCAAAGCTCATGATGTCAATAATAGGATTTTCGGGTCCAGATGCGATTATTTACAGAGTGTGTGTTGAATAACATACAAATACACAAACATTTTAACAGTTCCATATTTCCCACTTTCCATTGTCAGGTCACTGTGAGAATGTGCTGGTAACTCATATCCGAAGCCCATGTCAGTTTTATGTTCAACGTTGTGCTCTCAATGCCAAACTGGTGAAGATGTCCAAAGCCCTTAAGACTTGGTGTAAAGGCCTGGCCACAGAGAAGGACATTCCCACTGATGTCAAGAAAGGTTGGTTTGGACAGTATGGTTGCCCAAGCGGGTAGTTAGATATTTGTAGGGTTGACTAGTTTGGTATCGATTGGGCCAAAAGAAAAGTAGCGAGTCCATGTATTCTTCAAGCCAATTTGAAATGCTCCTATCCTTTGTATAGGACTAAACTCGAATGAGTATATTTTCAGGCAAGTGTACATTGTGGATTATAGATAGAATGAGTGAGTGAGTGAGTGAGTATGGTTTGACGCCGCTTTTAGCAATATTCCAGCAATATTATGGCGGGGGACACCAGAAATGGGCTTCACACATTGTACCCATGTCGGGGATTGAACCCGGGTCTTCGGCGTGAAGAGCGAACACTTTAACCACTGGGCTATCCGACCGCCCCTTATAGATAAAGAGCGCCATGATATAAGTGGAATACTGTTTAAAATTGGGTTAATTTAACTCACTCCCTTACTCACTCCTGATGAGGATTGTGTGATTACACTGTGTGGCCTGGCGGAGAGTGAGTCACTATGCCCCTATGGTGTAGATCGTTGCTCATGCTCTCAACCACTGGGTGGTCTAGTCCAGACTTGATTATTGATAGACCACTGCATTATTGTGGACTGTGGTATAAGACGACTTACACTCATTCTAGTGATATTCCTGGAATATTGAAAATATTGCTGACTTTTTATTCAACTGTTGGTGTTTGTGTCAGTTTGAAGACATCATTGTTTTACCCTGTTGGGTTAATGAGTGAATGAAAGTGGTTTTACGCCGCTTTGAGCAATATTCCAGCACTATCACGGCGGGGGACACCAGAAATGGGCTTCACACATTGTACCCATGTTGGGAATCGTAACCCGGGTTTTCAGCGTGACCAGCGAACGGACCTGTGAAGATTCCGGGATAGAATAGGTCTTCAGCAAACCATGCTTGCAGTAAAAGGTGACTATGCTTGTCGTAAAAGGCGAATAACGGGATCGGGTGGTCAGGCTCGCTGACTTGGTTGATGCATGTCATCGATTCCAACTGCGTGGATTGATGTACATGATATCAATCACTGGAATTGTCTGGTCCAGACTCCAGAATTACAGACCGCCGTCATATAGCTGGAATATTGCTGAGTTCGGCGCTAAACAACAAAACAACAACAACAACAACAACAACCAGCAAACGCTTTTACCTCTAGGCTACCCAACCGCCCCTGTTGGGTTAGAATTGCATGCCAGCAACCTATGCTGGTAGTATGAGCTGACTTAGTGGATTGAGTGGTCAGACTCAGTGACTTGGTTGACTTTGTTCTCATCTAACCCCGACAGCATGGATCGTCGTTCAAAATACTGATCACTGGACTAGATGAGATTGTTTTTTGGTTGCAGTCATATACTGGAGTGTGGCTTTAACAACAAACAAACAAGACTTCAGTGTTGTTTTGTAGGTGACTTTGTACTGTGTCAGTACTCTGGGGACAAGCAGTGGTACCGTGCCCGTGTCCTGTCAGTCATGACAACCACCGAGACCAATCAGAAGAAGGTCGTCACCAAGAAACATGTGGAGGTCCTGTACTTTGACTTCGGCAACCATGAAGTGGTCACCATGGATAAGTATGTAGATATACTTATCGTGAAGATTTTACCTTGCTACCTTAGTTGGAATGGATTTTGAAGCTATTTCTTGAACTTTCAGTTTAATGTGTGTTACTCTTGTAAAAATATAACTTTGGTTTGTTTTAATAACATATACAAAAATATGCATATGCTATTACCTGTATATCAATAGGCTTTGGGTATTCCACTGTGGCTTTAATCGTTGTAAATTTCTCAAGCAGTTCAACTACGGCATAGTATCTCAGCACTATGAAACTGGCCTTAGTCCGGACTAGTATCGACATCCACTCACACATGTACAGTTCTCTATATGATAATAATCTTGAACACAATGTTAAACCCCATTTCACACCCCCTGTTGTATGATGAAATTCAAGGTTCTGTGTTGGTCTCTGTGATATCTCTCACCAAATAATCTAAAAGTGCTGTCAAGCAGGTTGTAAGGTGGCACACTGTGTTGAACTGATGTTTTCATTGAAGTGAAAGAAGACAATCACCAACATGGAGAATCTCTTTACTTTCAGATTAAAGAATATGGAAGCTAGGTTTATGAAGCACCCTGAATTCCTCATGGAATGTGCTCTGCATGATATTGAACCTGCAGAAAAGGTACTGTGCAACTCTGTTCTGTTGACGCGTCTGTTGTGTGCACGCTTGTTTAGCTGGTGTTTTGTGAAGAATAAACCGTGCTGGCTGAGATTGCAGTTAATGCGATACCCTTCTGCCATTTGGGAAGGGTATATGCTTCCCTACACTGTACTTGTGGCTGGTTAATAATCACATTACATGTTTGTCTTGTACATGAATGAATAATCTTATTATAGAAGTTGTCACCATTTAAAGTCCTGTCAAGTTCATTGATATTTTGACATAGTGGTATGTTAGGATACCATTTTTTATTATCCTGTGTATCATTCCTCCATTCCATTCCACGATGTTCTTTCATGATTGTAACGAGCAGCGATATCACCAGTACAAGATCTCATCCTAGTCTACAACTATCACAAGAAAGTTCATTGACCAAAATAATTGAATAAACAGCCTTGTCCTGTCATATGGAATCGGATTATCTGAGCATTACTGTTTTCAATTTATTGTGACCATGAAGATCTGGGTCTTCAGGAACCCATCCTTGTTGTAAGAAGGGACTAAAGCTGGTTGGTCAGTCTTATTGACTAGGATGATGCATGTCATTGTATCCCAGTTGTGTAGGTTGATGCTCATGATGTCAATCACTGGATTGTATTGTCCACACTCTATTATATACAGATGGTGTCATAAAGCTGGAATATTGCTGGGTTCCGTGTTAATCATCAATTTATTGTGTGTCTTGAAGATATGAGGAAAGGGAGATAACTGTTTCCTGTTTTGCCAGGATGGTGTGTGGAGCCTGGAATCAGCCAGTACAATGCAGACGATGATCGCCAATAAGCCTATGTTGATGAATGTGAGTAGCTCATTATGTGCACTGTCCTTGTCAGCGGTAGAAAATTACCCTTGCCTGCCGCATGAGTCAAGCATGCTATCATAACCAATAGTACACAAGAGTCACTCATTCAGGACCTGTGAAGTGCTGGGGTAGAATAGGCCTTCAGCAACCCATGCTTGCCATACCAGGCGACTGTGCTTGTCGGAAGAGGCGACTAACGGGATCGGGCGGTCAGGCTCCGTGGATTGATGCTCATGTCAATCACTGGATTGTCTGGTCCAGACTCAATTGTTTACAGACCGCCGTCATATAGCTGGAATATTGCGGCGTAAAACAACAAACCAACACTCATTCGGTTCTTTCTTGATCAGTTATAGTTGCCATTACAAACATATTTAAAGTGTTACAATTTTGATAACATAGAAGTGTCGCATTGTAATGTCAGTGCCTTATATTGCCGTGAGATCCAGGTTAATTGACCTTTGCTTAAAGTAAGGGAGGCCTCTTTTTTTTCAAGGTATTAGGCAAATCAATAAGTATGTAAACCAGAAGCTCTGTGTTAATCACCTTTTGTAGTTCCCATGTATACCATGGTATATGCAGTCTCTGTTAATGTTGGCATGGTGTGGTAACATGCTTATTGACTGTTGACGTTGGCCTTCTATCTGGGAGTCAGGTGATCCGTGAGGTGGGCAACGTGCTGCAAGTAGACCTCCACAAACCGTCTATAGATAACATCCTAGATGACAGACCCATCTCCCTCCGAGACAGCTTGGTCTTTCTCGAACTGGCCAGATTTGTCACATCATCAGAAAGAATTTCAAAATCAGGTACAATATGTTAACAGTGAAACCATCAGTATCATGCACTGGTAATTGTATAGCCATGCCAGGTTAAAGAGATTGGAATTTATATCAAAGGAAATGTATTTTGACCTTGTATTGTATCATAATATCTTTTTAGTATCACTGTGCATTGGTGAATCTTATCAGCCTTCGGTAGTTGAAAAACATACCATACCCTCTTCCTATCCCAATGTTTGGATGTCCCAGTCATCTGGGGTACTGCTCATCTTGGCTGTGTTGTCTTATGGACAAAAATCTATGATTGTGAGTTGGAATGCCAGATTCACACTGATTGTTTAAAGGTCTGTCAGCACAATACATGCTTGTGGGTCAAAGAGACTTGCATCAATTTGGGCTTTCCTCACACATTAAAAGAAACTCACATTAAAAGAAACTCACATTAAAGTGTCTGTTTCAAACCAGCTGACTTTGAATGTTCGCACAGGGTCCACAACTGTGCGTGGAAGAGACTTCATGAAGCCTGAACCTCGACAACGAGGGGAAACATTTGAAGCTCTGGTGACGTACTCGGGGGTTCCGTCTAGCTTCTGTGTGCAGCCAGTAAGTCACCTTAACACTTTAGCTCGTACAGACACGTCTTGTGACAAATGTCTGAGGAATATGTTCCTTATGGAAGCATGCCCCATGCTCATATAAATGTCTCGACTAATGTGAATGTAAGTGTTTCCGATGTGTTACCAGGCTGATGCTGTGTCCTTGTTTCTTCTTGGCATGGATTGTTGCTGAAGCTGTACACCACTGGCTAGGCTGGCCCAGTCTGTCGGCTACTAGCAACCATGATATACTAGTATACCACTTAAAAGTTAAAGAACGCCTGATTCTTCATATTACTATAGTTAACCTGTGCCGTCATGAATAGGTCCCTACAAAGAGAATTTGTTCCTGATGTAATGAATAACACTCACAACAAATAGACACAGAAACTGATGTGACTTAGTAAATAAAACTTTTTGATTGATGGTTTTTGTAGATTTAGAAAGAAATTCAATGTGAACCTGTGTTGCAGATTGGTGACGAGGCAGAGTACCTGTCTGCCTTGATGAATGAGATGGCGACCACATATTCGGATGGAACAGACCTCTACACAGTGTTTTGTCCTCAAGTTGGTTCGTGATTAATCTGTGTTCTCTCCATGTTGTTAGCAGCAGTTGTTACTTGGTTGAAGATTGTTGTCGTTGAACACTGGACCACACAATTCCCTAGTGTTGTAGGGCTGAAAGTTTAGCCTTTTTTTTAAGTGTTGGAACGTTATGCCGAAAACCTAAGTTTGATTCCCCACATGGGTATGATGTGTGAAGCTGATCCATTTCTTGTTAACCCCAATCACTCACCTAGTGCTGCTTGTCTATGTTGATAAGGTCAGATACTTGTCTTCAACAACCCATGTTTGTAGCGAGAGGTGACTAACAGGATTGGGTGGTCAGGATCGCTGACTTGGTTGATGCATGTCATCTTATCCCAATTGTGTAGTTTGATGCTCATGATGTCAATCACTAGATTGTCTAGTCCAGACTCATATTGTCCTGACTGCTGTCATATTGGAATATTGCTGAGTGTGGCGTTTGTGTTAATGCAGATTACTGTGTTGATGTCACGTGCATGTCGTACATGGGTAGTCAACTACACAAAGGCCTATTTTTCAGACATGATCTGTGTGGTGCAGAGCATGACGGACCAGTTGTGGTACCGGGCGCGTGTGATAGACTTGCCAGGAGGAAAACAGGTGGATGTGCAATATGTGGATTTTGGCAATATCGAGTGTGTGCCGTATCAGAGAATCAAGAAAATCCTGGATGGACACCTGAAGTTACCTCCCTTGGTTGGTACTCCTTCAAATAAGACTTTGAAACATTTCTGTGACATTTTCACATGATTCAAGTTTTTGTGTTGAAATGATGTTGCATGATGTTGATAGTTTCAGAGATGATGTACCGATGGCTTGAGAGGATGAATGATGTACCGATGGCTTGAGAGGATGCATGATTTACAGGTGGCTTGAGAGGATGCATGATGTGGATTGAGAGGATGCATGATGTACTGATGGCTTGAGAGGATGCATAATCTACCGATGGCTTGAGTGGATGCAAGATATACCGATGGCTTGAGAGGATGCAGGATATACCGATGGCTTGAGAGGATGCAAGATATAGCGATGGCTTGAGAGGATGCAAGATATACCGATGGCTTGAGAGGATGCAGGATATACCGATGGCTTGAGAGGATGCAGGATATACCGATGGCTTGAGAGGATGCAAGATATAGCGATGGCTTGAGAGGATGCAGGATATACCGATGGCTTGAGAGGATGCAAGATATAGCGATGGCTTGAGAGGATGCAAGATATACCGATGGCTTGAGAGGATGCAGGATATACCGATGGCTTGAGAGGATGCATGCCGACCGATGGCTTGAGAGGATGCAGGATGTACAGGTGGCTTGAGAGGATGCATGATGTACCGATGGCTTGAGAGGATGCATGATGTACAGGTGGCTTGAGAGGATGCATGATGTACAGGTGGCTTGAGAGGATGCATGATGTACTGATGGCTTGAGAGGATGCATGATGTACTGATGGCTTGAGAGGATGCATGATGTACTGATGGCTTGAGAGGATGCATGATGTACCGATGGCTTGAGAGGATGCATGATGTACTGATGGCTTGAGAGGATGCATGATGTATTGATGGCTTGAGAGGATACATGATTTACAGGTGGCTTGAGAGGATGCATGATGTACCGATGGCTTGAGAGAATGCAAGATATACCTATGGCTTGAGAGGATGCAAGATATACCGATGGCTTGAGAGGATGCATGATGTACCAATGGCTTGAGAGGATGCATGATGTGCGGATGGCTTGAGAGGATGCAAGATATACCGATGGCTTGAGAGGATGCAAGATATACCGATGGCTTGAGAGGATGCATGCCGACCGATGGCTTGAGAGGATGCATGATGTACTGATGGCTTGAGAGGATGCATGATGTACTGATGGCTTGAGAGGATGCATGATGTACAGGTGGCTTGAGAGGATGCAAGATATACCGATGGCTTGAGAGGATGCAAGATATACCGATGGCTTGAGAGGATGCATGCCGACCGATGGCTTGAGAGGATGCATGATGTACAGGTGGCTGGAGAGGATGCATGATGTGCGGATGGCTTGAGAGGATGCATGATGTACAGGTGGCTTGAGAGGATGCATGATTTACAGGTGGCTTGAGAGGATGCATGATGTACTGATGGCTTGAGAGGATGCATGATGTACTGATGGCTTGAGAGGATGCATGATGTGCGGATGGCTTGAGAGGATGCATGATGTACAGGTGGCTTGAGAGGATGCATGATTTACAGGTGGCTTGAGAGGATGCATGATGTACTGATGGCTTGAGAGGATGCATGATGTACTGATGGCTTGAGAGGATGCATGATGTGCGGATGGCTTGAGAGGATGCATGATGTACTGATGGCTTGAGAGGATGCATGATGTATTGATGGCTTGAGAGGATACATGATGTACAGGTGGCTTGAGAGGATGCATGATGTGCGGATGGCTTGAGAGGATGCATGATCTACTGATGGCTTGAGAGGATGCATGATGTACTGATGGCTTGAGAGGATACATGATGTACAGGTGGCTTGAGAGGATGCATGATGTACTGATGGCTTGAGAGGATGCATGATGTACTGATGGCTTGAGAGGATGCATGATGTACTGATGGCTTGAGAGGATACATGATGTACAGGTGGCTTGAGAGGATGCATGATGTGCGGATGGCTTGAGAGGATGCATGATGTACTGATGGCTTGAGAGGATGCATGATGTACTGATGGCTTGAGAGGATGCATGATGTACTGGTGGCTTGAGAGGATGCATGATGTACTGATGGCTTGAGAGGATGCATGATGTGCGGATGGCTTGAGAGGATGCATGATGTACAGGTGGCTGGAGAGGATGCATGATGTACCGATGTCTTGAGAGGATGCATGATGTACAGGTGGCTTGAGAGGATGCATGATGTACAGGTGGCTTGAGAGGATGCATGATGTACAGGTGGCTTGAGAGGATGCATGATGTACTGATGGCTTGAGAGGATGCATGATGTACAGGTGGCTTGAGAGGATGCATGATGTACAGGTGGCTGGAGAGGATGCATGATGTACTGATGGCTTGAGAGGATGCATGATGTACTGATGGCTTGAGAGGATGCATGATGTACAGGTGGCTTGAGAGGATGCATGATGTACAGGTGGCTGGAGAGGATGCATGATGTACTGATGGCTTGAGAGGATGCATGATGTACTGATGGCTTGAGAGGATGCATGATGTGCGGATGGCTTGAGAGGATGAATGATGTACAGGTGGCTTGAGAGGATGCATGATGTACTGATGGCTTGAGAGGATGCATGATGTACCGATGTCTTGAGAGGATGCATGATGTACAGGTGGCTTGAGAGGATGCATGATGTACTGGTGGCTTGAGAGGATGCATGATGTACTGATGGCTTGAGAGGATACATGATGTACAGGTGGCTTGAGAGGATGCATGATGTACTGGTGGCTTGAGAGGATGCATGATGTACTGGTGGCTTGAGAGGATGCATGATGTACTGATGGCTTGAGAGGATGCATGATGTATTGATGGCTTGAGAGGATACATGATGTACAGGTGGCTTGAGAGGATGCATGATGTGCGGATGGCTTGAGAGGATGCATGATGTACTGATGGCTTGAGAGGATGCATGATGTACTGATGGCTTGAGAGGATACATGATGTACAGGTGGCTTGAGAGGATGCATGATGTACTGATGGCTTGAGAGGATGCATGATGTACTGATGGCTTGAGAGGATGCATGATGTACTGATGGCTTGAGAGGATACATGATGTACAGGTGGCTTGAGAGGATGCATGATGTGCGGATGGCTTGAGAGGATGCATGATGTACTGATGGCTTGAGAGGATGCATGATGTACTGATGGCTTGAGAGGATGCATGATGTACTGGTGGCTTGAGAGGATGCATGATGTACTGATGGCTTGAGAGGATGCATGATGTGCGGATGGCTTGAGAGGATGCATGATGTACAGGTGGCTGGAGAGGATGCATGATGTACTGATGGCTTGAGAGGATGCATGATGTACAGGTGGCTTGAGAGGATGCATGATGTACAGGTGGCTGGAGAGGATGCATGATGTACTGATGGCTTGAGAGGATGCATGATGTACTGATGGCTTGAGAGGATGCATGATGTACAGGTGGCTTGAGAGGATGCATGATGTACAGGTGGCTGGAGAGGATGCATGATGTACTGATGGCTTGAGAGGATGCATGATGTACTGATGGCTTGAGAGGATGCATGATGTGCGGATGGCTTGAGAGGATGAATGATGTACAGGTGGCTTGAGAGGATGCATGATGTACTGATGGCTTGAGAGGATGCATGATGTACCGATGTCTTGAGAGGATGCATGATGTACAGGTGGCTTGAGAGGATGCATGATGTACTGGTGGCTTGAGAGGATGCATGATGTACTGATGGCTTGAGAGGATACATGATGTACAGGTGGCTTGAGAGGATGCATGATGTACTGGTGGCTTGAGAGGATGCATGATGTACTGGTGGCTTGAGAGGATGCATGATGTACTGATGGCTTGAGAGGATGCATGATGTACTGATGGCTTGAGAGGATGCATGATGTACAGGTGGCTTGAGAGGATGCATGATGTACAGGTGGCTGGAGAGGATGCATGATGTACTGATGGCTTGAGAGGATGCATGATGTACTGATGGCTTGAGAGGATGCATGATGTGCGGATGGCTTGAGAGGATGAATGATGTACAGGTGGCTTGAGAGGATGCATGATGTACTGATGGCTTGAGAGGATGCATGATGTACCGATGTCTTGAGAGGATGCATGATGTACAGGTGGCTTGAGAGGATGCATGATGTACTGGTGGCTTGAGAGGATGCATGATGTACTGATGGCTTGAGAGGATACATGATGTACAGGTGGCTTGAGAGGATGCATGATGTACTGGTGGCTTGAGAGGATGCATGATGTACTGGTGGCTTGAGAGGATGCATGATGTACTGATGGCTTGAGAGGATGCATGATGTATTGATGGCTTGAGAGGATACATGATGTACAGGTGGCTTGAGAGGATGCATGATGTGCGGATGGCTTGAGAGGATGCATGATGTACTGATGGCTTGAGAGGATGCATGATGTACTGATGGCTTGAGAGGATACATGATGTACAGGTGGCTTGAGAGGATGCATGATGTACTGATGGCTTGAGAGGATGCATGATGTACTGATGGCTTGAGAGGATGCATGATGTACTGATGGCTTGAGAGGATACATGATGTACAGGTGGCTTGAGAGGATGCATGATGTGCGGATGGCTTGAGAGGATGCATGATGTACTGATGGCTTGAGAGGATGCATGATGTACTGATGGCTTGAGAGGATGCATGATGTACTGGTGGCTTGAGAGGATGCATGATGTACTGATGGCTTGAGAGGATGCATGATGTGCGGATGGCTTGAGAGGATGCATGATGTACAGGTGGCTGGAGAGGATGCATGATGTACTGATGGCTTGAGAGGATGCATGATGTACAGGTGGCTTGAGAGGATGCATGATGTACAGGTGGCTGGAGAGGATGCATGATGTACTGATGGCTTGAGAGGATGCATGATGTACTGATGGCTTGAGAGGATGCATGATGTACAGGTGGCTTGAGAGGATGCATGATGTACAGGTGGCTGGAGAGGATGCATGATGTACTGATGGCTTGAGAGGATGCATGATGTACTGATGGCTTGAGAGGATGCATGATGTGCGGATGGCTTGAGAGGATGAATGATGTACAGGTGGCTTGAGAGGATGCATGATGTACTGATGGCTTGAGAGGATGCATGATGTACCGATGTCTTGAGAGGATGCATGATGTACAGGTGGCTTGAGAGGATGCATGATGTACTGGTGGCTTGAGAGGATGCATGATGTACTGATGGCTTGAGAGGATACATGATGTACAGGTGGCTTGAGAGGATGCATGATGTACTGGTGGCTTGAGAGGATGCATGATGTACTGGTGGCTTGAGAGGATGCATGATGTACTGATGGCTTGAGAGGATGCATGATGTACTGATGGCTTGAGAGGATGCATGATGTACTGATGGCTTGAGAGGATGCATGATGTACCGATGGCTTGAGAGAATGCAAGATATACCTATGGCTTGAGAGGATGCATGATGTACAGGTGGCTTGAGAGGATGCATGATGTACAGGTGGCTTGAGAGGATGCATGATGTACTGATGGCTTGAGAGGATGCATGATGTGCGGATGGCTGGAGAGGATGCATGATGTACAGGTGGCTTGAGAGGATGCATGATGTACTGATGGCTTGAGAGGATGCATGTTATTGGAGCATGTTGAGTGTAGCTGACTAACAGTGATGTACCTTGTTTCAGGCAGTTCAGTGTGAGCTGAGTGATGTGGAGCCTGCAGATCCAGATGGCAGCTGGGTGGCGGATGTAAGTTGTCATCCCACCAAGTGTCTCAGTTGGTAGAACCGCAGACACTGGCTTGATTGATATTATGATGATTAGTTTCTATGTTAGCCGAGGTAACCTCAGGTGTTAATTATTTGTTTACAAATAGTGTCTTAAAATGATTTGTTTTTTATTTTAGTTATTCATTTAAGAATTGACTTTCATTTTGTGTGAGTTCATTTGAGTATGAACCTTTCCATAGAGTGAGGGCCAAACTGTATGAATGTCAGACCCATTCAGTACAAGAGCTTCGCTTTGTGCCTGATTATAATTACATGACATTCATAAATGATCGTTCAATTCAATTACATACATGAGAGAGAAATTCTGTACCAAGTTGAGAGACATTGAGATGTCCAAAATGTAGGGTCCAGGTTATTTATCCTAACAGAATGGAGACCTGAATACACGTAAAGTCTTGGTAGTTTCTCGTAAACAGCAGGCCAGTATTTCTGGGGTGTCTGTTTCAGGGCCTGGAGTGGTGGACAGACCTCACAACGTTCCAGTCTTTCCAGGTGAAGATACTGGGTAAGATGCATTCTTCTTATTAGCTCTGATGCTTGATACTTTGAAAGCCTTTTAATCATGACACCTGAGGTCCAGGCTATTCGTTGGAGTTGACGTTTCTTCAGTGTTGAAAATTGAATATAGACATTGTTTGGGTGAAAATCTAAATTAACTTGGCATCTGTTTATATACTAGTCAAATAAAGATAAGCTGATGTATCAATGAGTGTGGTACGTGAACACTGATGTATCATTGAGTGTGATACGTGAACACTGATGTATCATTGAGTGTGATACGTGAACACTGATGTATCATTGAGTGATATGTGAACACTGGTGTATCAGTGAGTGTGATACGTGAACACTGATGTATCATTGAGTGATATGTGAACACTGGTGTATCAATGAGTGTGATACGTGAACACTGATGTATCATTGAGTGTGATACGTGAACACTGATGTATCATTGAGTGTGATACGTGAACACTGATGTATCATTGAGTGATATGTGAACACTGGTGTATCAGTGAGTGTGATACGTGAACACTGATGTATCATTGAGTGATATGTGAACACTGATGTATCAATGAGTGTGATACGTGAACACTGATGTATCATTGAGTGTGATACGTGAACACTGGTGTATCGTTGAGTGTGAAACGTGAACACTGATGTATCATTGAGTGTGATCAGTGAACACTGATGTATCATTGAGTGTGATATGTGAACACTGATGTATCATTGAGTGTGATACGTGAACACTGGTGTATCATTGAGTGTGATACGTGAACACTGATGTATCATTGAGTGTGATCAGTGAACACTGATGTATCATTGAGTGATATGTGAACACTGATGTATCATTGAGTGTGATACGTGAACACTGATGTATCATTGAGTGATATGTGAACACTGATGTATCATTGAGTGTGATATGTAAACACTGGTGTATCATTGAGTGTGATACGTGAACACTGATGTATCATCGAGTGTGATACGTGAACACTGATGTATCATTGAGTGTGATACGTGAACACTGATGTATCATTGAGTGATATGTGAACACTGATGTATCATTGAGTGTGATATGTGAACACTGATGTATCATTGAGTGTGATACGTGAACACTGATGTATCATTGAGTGTGATACGTGAAAACTGATGTATCATTGAGTGAGATATGTGAACACTGGTGTATCAGTGAGTGATACGTGAACACTGATGTATCATTGAGTGTGATACGTGAACACTGGTGTATCATTGAGTGTGATACGTGAAGACTGATGTATCAGTGAGTGAGATATGTGAACACTGGTGTATCATTGATTGTTATTTGTTATATGTAGAGGTGCAAGTGGATGCTGTGGAGGTGGTCCTGTACCGTATCCTTGATGACAGCCCTGACAACCTCAGTGTCAACTACCAGCTGGTTGCTAATGGATATGCCAAGAGCACTGGAGTAGGGTAGGCCATTTTGATAAGCTCGAGGAGGACACATCAGGAATGCCCCTGTGAAGATCCGGATTAGAATTGTTCAAATTGCTTGGTGAAAACTTTAAGAGGCGACTAACAGTATTTGATGGTCAGACTCACTGACTTGATCGTTGAATGTCATCGTATCCTAATTGATTAGATTGAATCTTATGGTGTCAATCACTGAATTGTCTGGTCCAGACTTTATTGTTTACAGACGGACGTCAAATAGCTGGGTTATTGCTGATTGCGGCATTAAGCAAACAAAACTTGGATCAGGAATGATCTCCCGTCAGCTAACAAGCTTTAGGCCAAATGTCTCTCGTTATCCAGACAACACTTTTGCAATCTGTAGACCAAGGCTCCAAAAGTTACTGTTTTGCTTTGATTTAAAATAAACTTCAAATGGAAATGACATTTTTCCCCTCATAGACGTTTTAGACCAAAGAAAATGTATCAACAGTTTTATGTCATGGACTGACAACAGTGTGTGTTTTGTTTTGGTGTACGTGTTGCATCCAGTGCTTACAGATGTTGTTTAATCTAGGGAGACCATTTCTGCCTTAGACACTTAAAGTTAAAGTTAACTAGAAAAATCACAGACACTTGATGTGGCACTTGAGCAATATTGACTTCCATTTTCTGTCTATTCAGATCAACAGTTTTGGGACCATCAAAGAACCCTGCTGCAGAGGCCCCTAAAAAGATCTTCACCTACAGAGCTTCTAGACAGGTGATACAGTGCTTGACATGGACTAGAATTTGTCAGAGATCCAAAGGACCAGCACCCAAAAGAATATATTGGTTCTGTTGGATCTCTACTAGACACAATGGTGCTTAGAGTTTTAGAGTCAGGTTCTCTCACTTGGTTGATGCATGTCATTGTATCCCAATTGCATAGATTGATGCTCATGATGTCAATCATTCAGTTGTCTGGTCAAGGCGATTATTTACATTTTGCAGGAATTTGCAAAATGCGGTATTAAACAACAACAACAAATTGAGTCATAAACTAATGATGGTTTGGCAGCAGTCAATCAAAACACAGTCTGTTTCACTGTATTTCCTTTTCATACTTCATGTCTTCGTTATGTAAATGTGGATTATTTTATACAAATACATGACTTGATACATTACTGTGCAGTGATACAAAGTATTGAGATGTACTGATAATCTGTATCCAATGGAAAACCTTTGGAAAGACAGGTGTTCAGTTCCTTATGTTGTGATTTCAATGAGTGAGTGAGTGAGTTTGGTTTTACGCCGCTTTTAGCATAAATCCAGCAATATCCTGGTGGGGAACACCAGAAATGGACTTCACACATTGTACCCATGTCGGGAATCGAACCCGGGTAACGAGCGAACGCTGTAACCACTAGGCCACCCGACCGCCCCTGTGATTTCAATGACCACAGAGTATGGATCGTCCTGAATGGAGTCCTGTCTATGAGTACTCTTGGTTGAGTTAATGCATGCTGGTATCCCAGTACCTCCCATGGAGCAGTCAGGGGAGTGAGGCCAGTAGATAGATGCAGGCACCAGTCTGTTAGTCAGGGGAGTGAGGCCAGAGATAGATGCAGGCACCAGTCTGTTAGTCAGGGGAGTGAGGCCAGAGATAGATGCAGGCACCAGTCTGTTAGTCAGGGGAGTGAGGCCAGAGATAGATGCAGGCACCAGTCTGTTAGTCAGGGGAGTGAGGCCAGAGATAGATGCAGGCACCAGTCTGTTAGTCAGGGGAGTGAGGCCAGAGATAGATGCAGGCACCAGTCTGTTGGTCAGGGGAGTGAGGCCAGAGATAGATGCAGGCACCAGTCTGTTAGTCAGGTAGTGAGGCCAGAGATAGATGCAGGCACCAGTCTGTTAGTCAGGGGAGTGAGGCCAGAGATAGATGCAGGCACCAGTCTGTTAGTCAGCTAGTGAAAATCTACAGGGACTAATTTGTTTATCTCAATGTTAGTTATTTCTCATAAACCACTTGGCTGGATTGAGCTGCGAACTAGTTGGATATGACCAATGGTGACTAGCCCTGAAAGTTCTCATCCCAGAGATAGTCTATGTGACTACTGGATAAGAATAACACCTGGATCAAGATAAACATTCAGCTGTAAACTGACCGAATTTTTACTTATCCTGCATTACTCCTTAATGCATTCACTGCTTACCTTACACCAAGAAGAAGACAGCGCAACGGCAATGGGGGAAGATATAAAGATGGCTGCTGGCTTGTTGCTTGCCCTGTTACGGGACAGAGGGGTGAGTAAATAGCCACAGGGCCGATGAAATGCCAAATGGGAGAACCGCCCACTGGTAGTGAATCCGCTGAACTGGAACCTGAGGAACCTGCGGTCGGAGGGATGGATAGGTATACGCAGGTTGGCATCCTGCAGGTCGAGACTGATCAAGGAATTGATCGCCTTATCAGTCTCAATGTGGTGAGGCAGAAGTAAGGTGGACGCTTGAGGTAACATTCATTGAACACAGAGAGATTGTGAATCCTTCTCATCTTGTCTGAGTCCTTCTTGGGTACCAGGAAGATGTGAGAATAGAAGCCCGATTTTAACGCTGGAGTGCATACAATCTCTACAGCCTCTTTACCAACAGTGTGTCTGTTGGATTTTAATAGCAGATGTTGCTTCCTTGGATATTACCAAGTGAGCTGTGGTCAACGGTTGAAGTTCCTCTACTTCTAGATGATAACTGTGACGTAGTACGTTGAGAACGTAATCATCCTTGAGGATGCTTCAGTTCTGCCAGTCTCCTGCCTACAGGGGTGTCGACCATTGGGACGGCTGGGGGCAGGAGTTCCCAGTCGTGACTGTCTGACACTTCATTGTTTAACCCTCTTTACACCTCCCCTGGCTGGGTATTTACCACGACAGGACTGATAAGAAACTTGAGGTTTTGCTCTGCCATGCCCTTTCCCACAAAAGGAATCCTGGTCTTGGCCTTCCTTGAGAGGCGCGTGACTAGGCTTATAATTGCGTGACTTGCCGACAGTGATGTGGAGAAGGTGACTTGTCATCAAGGTCACATAACAGGGCGATGGTCCTTATAAAAGTAGGATTTGGAATCCTCAACATCTTTATTTCTTCACCCAAGACCGTCGCTGTTGTGTTGTCTTCTTGTTGTCACAAGTTAGCAGTGAATGCATTAAGAAGTAATGCAGGATAAGTATACAAATGTAAAAAATATTTAGTTTGTGCTAAATTTATGTGTGGATCATTGTTCACACATTCAACTAAGGGATTGACCACAAGTGATATCAGTTTGTATGCAACCAAGATACAGTTGTAATAATGCATCTACTCATCCCTCTGTCCCGTAACAGGACAAGCAACAAGCCAGCAGTGACATCGCTGCCTCCTACATGACGACCTCTCCTGTGAAGGGGGACTTCCAGTGGGGCAATCCTCCTAGCAGGTCCTACACCCCAGGAACAACAACGCCTGTTACATCCAAACCAACCACCCCAGCCATCACACCCACAAAGACCCCGCCCCCACAGAACACAAATCGGAACAACATGAATGTCAATGCAGCTGCTGCACAAGCACAAGCAGCTGCCACCGCAGTGGCAGCCACACAGAAGCAGGGGGAGGCGGAGTCTCATGCAGTCAATATCAAGGTTAACATCAGTGCCTATGAATCTCCAGCTAACTTCCACATACAGCTTGAAGAAACTCGGGAGCGGGAAGGGTGAGTCTGTCAGTGATCCGACAAGACAAAGGTGTAGGTGTCATCTGGAGAGTTAGACAGAGATAGGCTTGGACTTTCCAACTGACCTTGTTCTGTTATGCTGAATGTTGATAACTATGACTAATTTCAGAAAGTCCCCAGACAGTAAAGCGGTGAAAATTTGCTTGCTTCTGTGTTAAACAACATTGCCTCTACATGTTTCTGATAAAACTGACCACACTGTCGTTCCACTCCAGAATAATGAGGCTGCTTCAAAGACAGTTTCAGACTTCAGAGCCAGCACACCGGATATGGAAGGTGAACGACTTCTGTGCAGCGAGATACAGCAAGGACAACCTGTGGTACAGGGCCAAGGTGTGCCAGATGCTTGACACGGACGAGATAAAGGTACTTGCTCTCCTGTTTCTACCCATTCTGGGAGACCGCCTCCATGGTCTGGTGGTAGAGCATCTGCCTGGAGAGCGGAAGGTCCAGTGTTTCTACCCATTCTGGGAGACCACCTCCATGGTCTGGTGGTAGAGCGTCTGCCTGGAGAGCGGAAGGTCCAGTGTTTCTACCCATTCTGGGAGACCGCCTCCATGGTCTGGTGGTAGAGCGTCTGTCTGGAGATCGGAAGGTCCAGTGTTTCTACCCATTCTGGGAGATCACTTCCGTGGTCTAGTGGTAGAGTGTCTGCCTGGAGATCGGAAGGTCCAGTGTCCGATCCCCGGCTGCGCCGTACCAAAAAACGTTAAAAGATGGTACCTGTCTGGCACTCGGCATTAAGGGGCTAAACAAGAACTGGTTGGCTCGGAGTCAGTATACTGTGTCTGAGTTGGGTATTCGTGTTAAACTGTGACATGGTATCTCAGTGAGCTAGCACTATAAACAGGCATCAGTCTGGACTAGTACAAGCAGCTACACACACAAACACACGTGCATGCACATCGCTGTATAAGTGCAATGATGGTGGTTAGAATAGGTTCCCGACTATATGGATCAGGTGGTCAGGCTCGGTGACTAGATTAATTGCATATCATTGTATCTCAACAATGTGAATCAGTACTCATAATATCAATCAGTGGATGGTCCTGTCTTGATTCTTTTATTTAACAACAACATCTCCCCCTTTGTTTATCTCCTTGTAAGGCATCATGACAGGCTGAAAATGATAAGAAATTGCCATTAATGAAGATTTGGTGACAGTGGATAAAGTACATATTAAATAGTTTTGAGTGCAAGATAAAACTTAGAAAAATTAGAGAACAAATGGTTGTCATGACAAGTATGAATACATCCCAATTAACAGAAGTTGCTAATATTTTGGATAATCTGTTTTCATTGTACTGATTGAAATTCATCTGTAAATCCATTCAGTTTGGAGGGGAACTTATTCAAATAAGTCATTAGAAAGGGGTAAATTATCAGAAAAGGTTGAGAATAAGGGCTGTTGATTTAGCGAGTTCATTGTTGAAAGCTCGAAATTTCAATGTTTATTTTATGAAATCGTGTTCTGCTTCCTCAGGTGTACTTGGTGGACTTTGGGTTGGTGGATACGCTGACCAGTGCTGATCTACGGGTGTTGGACGTTAAGATGAGGGCCCCGAACTGTTGTGCTATACAGTGCCACCTGGCGGACATAGTGTCTGCCGGGTGTGCCGACCCGCTACAGTGGTCAGCAACTGCCTGCGAGTTCATGGCCGAGATGGTGAAGAACAAAACTCTCTATATCAAGAAAGAGGTGAGTGTGAAGGCACATTCAGGACATGTAGCTCTTAGACCAAGTATCTCATTGATGTTTCAAGTGTTGTCAGAATGTTTGCAATATGCTGTGCAGATTATGTAGGAATGCTGCCCATGTTATAAAGGAATGCTGTGCAGGCTATGTAGGAATGCTGTGCAGGTTATGTGGGAATGCTATGCAGGTTATGTAGGAATGCTGTGCAGGTTATGTGGGAATGCTTTGCAGGTTATGTAGGAATGCTGTGCAGGTTATGTAGGAATGCTATGCAGGTTATGTAGGAATACTGTGCAGGTTATGTGGGAATGCTGTGCAGATTATGTAGGAATGCTGTGCAGGTTATGTGGGAATGCTGTGCAGGTTATGAAGGAATTCTGTGCAGGTTATGTAGGAATGCTGTGCAGGTTATGTAGGAATGCTGTCCAGGTTATGTAGGAATGCTGTGCAGGTTATGTGGGGATGCTGTCCAGGTTATGTAGGAATGCTGTCCAGGTTATGTAGGAATGCTGTGCAGGTTATAAAGGAATGCTGTGCAGGCTATGTAGGAATGCTGTGCAGGTTATGTAGGAATGCTGTCTGGGTTATGTAGGAATGCTATGCAGGTTATGTAGGAATACTGTGCAGGTTATGTGGGAATGCTGTGCAGGTTATGTAGGAATGCTGTGCAGGTTATGTGGGAATGCTGTGCAGGTTATGAAGGAATTCTGTGCAGGTTATGTAGGAATGCTGTGCAGGTTATGTAGGAATGCTGTCCAGGTTATGTAGGAATGCTGTGCAGGTTATGTGGGGATGCTGTGCAGGTTATGTAGGAATGCTGTGCAGGTTATGTAGGAATGCTGTGCAGGTTATGTGGGAATGCTGTGCAGGTTATGAAGGAATACTGTGCAGGTTATGTAGGAATGCTGTGCAGGTTATGTAGGAATACTGTGCAGGTTTTGTAGGAATGCTGTGCAGGTTATGTAGGAATGCTGTCCAGGTTATGTAGGAATGCTGTGCAGGTTATGTGGGAATGCTGTGCAGGTTATGAAGGAATGCTGTGCAGGTTATGAAGGAATGCTGTGCAGGTTATGTAGGAATGCTGTGCAGGTTATGTAGGAATACTGTGCAGGTTTTGTAGGAATGCTGTGCAGGTTATGTATGAATGCTGTGCAGGTTTTGTGGGAATGCTGTGCGGGTTATGTGGGAATGCTGTACAAGTTTTGTGGGAATGCTGTCTGGGTTATGTAGGAATGCTGTGCAGGTTATGTAGGAATGTTGTCCAGGTTTTGTAGGAATGCTGCCTTGGTTATGTAGGAATACTGTCCATACATAATAAGGCCTGAATTTCTACTTTCCCTGATGGATGCTTTTAACAATAAACAATGGGACATTAGGGGGACAGTACATATTTCTATCCCACTGTTGTCAGAGTTTTATTGGAATTTTGTCAGGGTTTTATTGGATTGTTATCAGGCTTATTTAGGCATGTTCATTGACTGTAGTTATACATTATATTGGAGGTGTGGGGAAAGCGTTGGCTTGCCACATGAAGACCAAAGTCTAAACGCAATGTACATCACTCATCACAAACTAGCTCCCTCCCAAGTTTTGATGTATATGATTACAGGGTGACATGGAGAATGAAAGACGGAGTCTGCCCATCGACCTGCTGGTAGAGGAGATTGTGGCGGAGACAGCCCTGGAGCCTTGTAGAACCAGCGTGAACAGCCTCATCAAGTCCATGAAGGAGAAGGGGCTGGCCATCCCATGCAGAAGGTCAGCCTTCATTTACTCTTAGGCGGCACAGGTGGCCCAGTCGTCTAAGGCGCTCCGATTCGCTGTGCAGAGTTGCGTCACTTGGGCACGCCAGAAACCTATGATTGTTCGAATGCTGGTTCGCCCTGAATATATTTCAAGGTTTGTCAGCACCACACCCAGTGCTCGTGGGTTTCACCGAAGTGGTAAACATGTGAGACCTGCATCACTTCAGGCTTTCCTCCCTCATTAAGCTGACACGCCGTGATATAACTGGAGTTCTGTTAAAAGCGGCATTAAACCCAACTCACTCATTCTTCATGCTGTTAGTGTTGTGAAAATAACAGTACAAAAATTTTTGTGTGTTTTTTTTATCTCATTACTTACTATTACCAAAAAAATGTGGCTCTGGTAAGAAATAAATATAATGAAACATTAAGAAACATTTTTGTGTATTGTTTTCTGGATAGTTGTCATTTGGATGAAGTAAAGACTAATTGAAATAAACGAACAATGTTTGTATTGTTATAAGTAAAAGTATTAGCTCCTTTCACACCCGTACCTACTTTAAAATCTTTGACAGGAATAAAAAAAGAGGCATTTTTATTTGATTCCCTTTTTGTTATAAAATTTGAGTTGGCAGATCCATTACCCATGTGACTGAAAACAGTACACCCTACACTGTATTGACTCTCCTGAATTTCCAGGAAGAAGCAAGAGTCTGGGGATAGTTTGACCTCCAGTGAAGCCTCGGAGGTGAAGGCTGATGAACCGTACGTGGAATGCGAGGTGCTCCATTACTCCCGCCACCCTGTCCCCGAGACGTCCCATCTCACTGTGATACCCACCTACGTGGACTTTAATGGGATCATGTACTGCCAGTGCCTTGACGATGGTAACCATACTTTACACGATCACCTGTCCTCCTTGGCACTTGACTTTGTTTTAAGCTGAACATGTTAACCACCAGTTTGATTCATATTGTCGCCTGTCATCATTTGTCTGTCTGTCCCTCCATCATACTGTTGATGTTTCATCTCGGTCAAGTCGAGCATTTTTATAATATGGTTACAATTTTGTACCATGCTTGAGTGAATTGAATGATGGGTCCCTGGAGATACTCTTTACTTTAATCATACTTAGAATTTATCTCATTTGAACGTATACTACTTGAAATTGCCCCGTGAAGATCCGGGTAAGAATAGGTCTTCAGCAACCCATGCTTGCCGTAAAAGGTGACTATGTTTGTCGTAAGAGGCGACTTGCTGGATCGGGTTGCTAGGCTCGCTGACTTGATTGATGCATGTCATCGTAATCCCAATCGATGCTCATGATGTCAATCACTAGATTGTCTGGTCCAGACTTGATTATTTACAGACCGCCGTCATATAGCTTGAATATTGCTGAGTCCTGCGTTAAACAACAAACAAACAAAATGTTGAAATTAGATCTAGATCACATGTAAAACATGTGTCCCCTGAGGTGATATCACCCGTCTAAGGCGGATTTATCTCCACCTACTCAGAGACTGGTATTTGGCCCCAAGTCTGTTGCAATTTTCAGTACAAATTTGCAGATGGAAATTAAAAAATTCCTGTTTTATGTAAACATAGTCATATGTTTGAAATCTTTTTCTGTTTTACAAATGTTTTACCGTATCATAAATTATGGTATTTTTCAACCACAGAAACAGATTTGATGACCATGACAGATGACATTCAGACCATGTACGTGGAATCGAGTCCCCAGCGAGTGCGCTGGCAGATAGGCCAGGCTTGTGTCTCCTACTTCAAGACAGATGACCTTTGGTTCAGGGCCAGGGTTGTCGAGCTCAATGACGATAAAATCAACGTAGGTTGGCTTGATTTTGGAAATATTTAGTAACTTACAGGCATGTTCTGTCTTGAATGTTTGTTGTATCAGATACAAATCAATATGTTGCCAGTTCAGTGGAGGCAGATCACATCAGGCTTTTTTACATTCTGCAGTGCCCGAGTTACAGTTAAATGTCACAACTATTTACCGTATATCGCTGTGTATAAGGCGAGTTTTTCGTACCTAAAATGGGGGGGCTAAGAAGGGGGGTCGTCTTATACACGGAGTCAAAGATCTCACATTTTTTTCCAATGGCGATGTCAACCGGCGTCCGATAGCCAGCCCAGCATTTGACAATAAAACTTCGCATTTCGTCCTAAATAACTGTTCCAATAACTATTTCCATACATAAACATGATTTGTATCTCTTTTCCTTGAATAAAGTTTAATAATTTCTGCAAATAAAGTTGAAATGACCCTTGCCTCGATGCAGATTGTCAAACCACCTGACACGGTAAAACAATCAACATCCGTGAGCAGAGAGCCGGAAGTACCGGTAAGCATTTGCATATTGCACATGTGACCTAACATGTGATAACCGGTGAAGCTGAAATCAATTCCCGCTGTTTTTACAGTTGTATTAACAAGTGTTGGAGACGGTGTGTACAAGTGATTGTGGAATATACACGCTGAATGTGAAGCAAACATAAGCCTAGTTAGTTACAACATAGTTAATTGGCGATTAAATTACTCACCATTGTCTCTTATATGTTATTACTTCATAAATGAATTTTATTTTACGGGCACCAATTTGGTGTCGTACCGTGTAAACACGAAATGGCGACGTGTGCTGGAGTTACACACGCGACCTATCATTGTAGAAAAAAAACAACGCAAGATAAACAATTGCATATATAAGGTTTGTGTGCGCACTTGTGATGTGTGCGAAATACGCATCAGTCGGAAAGCGCATGTTAAATCTCCAAAGTAACTAACTAACTAACTAACTAACTTGTGATGTCCGTGTGCGAAATACGCTACAGTTGGAAAGCGCACGTTAAATCTTCTATATCAGTCAGACTTGTGATGTGTTTCATTCCCGGTCGCCTTATACACGGAGTATAGGATTTTGGGTTGATTTTTAAGGCGTGTACAGGGGGGTCGTCTTATACGTGGGGTCGCCTTATACACAGCGATATACGGTATGCATAATTCAAAGAACACAAGGACTCTTTAGCTCAGAATAAATGTATGACTTTCATTTGTGCCTTATAAAAAATATTACTACTGATACAGATTTATTTTTTGTCTAGACTGGCATAATATGTTATGGCAGACACTAGTTAGTCTTATTTTGTACATGTGGATCATCTGTCCATGTACCATTTTACATTTTACAAGAAATCCAGTATAACACAAAATGAGAGGGTATGCTTTTATATGTCATTGGAAGAGATAGTGGGGTAGCCATATTGTTGAAGCTTTGGCCCATTTTGCTGAAATGTCTTTGATTGGGTTCCCTGTATTCAAATACTTTTTATCCCCTTGATGTGATATGGTCAGTGTATAGCTAAACGTGGTGTAAAAAACAACTAGCTCATTGGAAGGAATTGGTTTAATCCCGTGCCCCATAAGCCAAAATAATTCAGCCTTGTCACCCATCTGAAAAGATTCTGCATTTGAACAATTCTACTTGGGGGGTTACTTGGCAAAGGAGGTTTTAATGATTATATACTGACAACAGTCACAATTTGTATTCTGTCAACAGTGTACGAGATGGTTGATCTTCATGAAGTAAATCCGTAAGTTCTGAAATTAGACCCTCTTTGGTTTCAGGTGCAATATTGTGACTATGGTAATTCTGAACTGCAGTCCGTGGATCTGGTCCGCCTTCCGGAGGCGAGGTTTGTGGAGAAGCCCCAGCTGTGTCTGGAGTGTGTCCTGCATGGCGTCATCCCTGTAAGTCGTTCAACACTAAAACAACAATCTCATCAATATCAGATCTTTCAGGACAGGACAAGTGTATGTCCTATTTTAGACCTTGAGGCCCACTGTACAATTTGGTGGATTTCAACATTTTCATGTTAAAGAGCACCATGTAAACACTAAACACAGTAATACATGGTATCTATGCAGCATGTCTTGACTTAACATCTTATATAAAAAAAGCTAAATTTACACAATATATTTTTGTTTTGTGTACACATCAATTCCACATACCGTATTCAACGTAATAAGCGCCCAGGGCGCTCTCAAAATTAGAAATAGGGGGCTCTTATTAGAATATTATTTTGGTGAAAAAAACACGGAGTTGAGAGATGGTTTATGCTGACAGCCTGAAATGTTTATGTATTAATTGCCCATAATTAAGGGTGCATATAACACACGAGTGCGGATTATTCGCGAAAAAATAAGTCTTGTGTACATTGATCAATCGGAAGGGGTGCCAATTGGGATTGTTCACTAGCCAATATATTAGCAAATATCGCTGTGGGCGATTATTAGAGCAGGGCGCTTATACGGTATTTCCTGCTGTTTGGAAAGTTGTAATAATACATGGGAACACACATTTCTGTACAAGGTCATGCCAGGTGAACTTTCTTATTAACCTTTCAGCCATTCAGTGTTGAGGTTACTAAATTCTTTCAGCAATGATTCGGATGGAATTTGTATTTTAGGCTATCAACTCAATAGTAATAATATGTGGATAGCCTCAGTAATTATCACTTCTGATGTAACATCTCATGCATTTTGTCATGTTTTCAAAGTATCAATTGAACAGCACAGTTTAGCAATGTTTGAGTGTAAATGACGACAATGATCTTAGCTGCTTGGTCTGGATCAATATAGTAAATTTTAATTGTAGCTTGCGATAATCTTAGCCTTCAATCACAGCTGGCGAATTCCCAGAACTTGCATTGGGATTACCCAACGTTCCATTGTTGTGAAAGTGGTCTGTCTTTGGTGTGTAAGTTGCCCATTTATCCACCAGAAACTTTAGTTATAATACTTTGAACATGTAACTGTAGAGTCCTGTCTGTTCCAGGTGAGTGAGGATGGAACGTGGCCTATGACTGTGCTGGACTACATCCACAGCATGATTGTCAACCATCAGTGCCAGATTGAGATCATGGTAAGCTTTGAAGGAGACCTTCAAGGTTTCTTTGATCTGTTGGGTAGCTGATTGCTGATTGGCCAGCAGAGTGTATGTCTGTGACCATGAAGTGCAGGATTTCCAATTTTAATTCCCTCATCGATATGAAGAGATGCCAACCTTTATTATTCTGAAGGAATCAGTACAATATTTTGATCCAAGTTCTGACGAAATAATATGAAGTAAGATATCTTTAGAATGTTGTTAAAAAAACTGCCAGCAATTTACATTAAATAATGACCTTGTTAAAGGCATTACTAATTACTAATTAAATAGAAATAGTAATCACTTTTCTAAGCTCGTAATGGGAGGGCATCAGTTTCAGAAAACACTGACTGGCAGTGGTTTATTTCCATTTGTTTGTAAAAATACATTTGTAACCTTGCAGTTACCATGTTTAGAGGTATCAAATCAAGGATTCACACCTTATATCCTGATCTGGTCTATAGATTTTATTCAGTGTACATATATGCTGAAATAGCTAAATGAACGTATGGTGTGGATGGAAATGTGTCTTCAGTAACAAAGCTGTGTTCTGAGTAGGCAAACATGGTGATGTTGCAGAAGGCGGAGGAAGGCAGCTCCGTGGAGGTACGACTCAAGTTGCCAGATGGGTCTGACCTCGGCAAGACACTCATACAGATCGGGGCAGCTACACCGCCTGATGATCTTGCAAGAGAGTATGAAACAAGTCGCAAAATATCCGATGTTATTCAGGTGAGATATCAGAATTATTTTGCTTTGATGAGCTGCTGTTTCAGCCGTGTGCTTATAACATCTACTTGTCATGCCCAGTGAAAAGATGTATAGGGCTTGTGAATGGTTCGTCTCGGTGAAACTTGCATCACCCAGACAGAACTTTCTTCGATTTCCATAATGTATGATACGTTTGAAATATACTAAGTAGAAGTATTTAAAATAATGTTTATTTCTAGATGTTATGATAAATAGGTCCAATGTTGAAATTTAGAGGTATGTGTTTGTGGAAAAACCTATTGGATAATTGGAATGAGATTGATTATCAAATTATTTATTATTCCGCCCCAACAAAGTGGGGCAGGGGATATTGGAACGGAGTTTGTCCGACTGTCCTTGCTTCCATCTGCCCTTCCTTCCATCTGTCCTTCCTTCCTTCCATCTGTTCGTCCACTTCTCAATTGGGACAAATTTTCTCAAAAACTATTCAAGTTAGAGGAATTAAATTTTGCACACTGATGTTGCTGGTCACGACCTCAAATGAGTTCGAAAATTGGTGTTTCACATTCATAATTTACAGACTTGTGGCCCTTGCCCCATGCTTTTCAACTTAGTGCATACTGAGTGAAATGGGGACAAGTTTTTTCAGCATCTACTGAAGCTACAAGAATGAAAGTTTGCATGCTTATTTAAGAGATACTTGTCAAGACTGAGTTCGAAAATTGGTCCGTCAATTCATTGTTTACTGAGTTACGGCCTTCAATCCATGTTGTGATGACAAGTTTTCAGAGAAAATGCATTAATTTCACATTTATTCTTTTTTTTCTGCGAACATAAAGCGGCCCAAGTGCCTATTTCTTCTTTAAGTCTTAATGGGGCTCTTTTTTATAGTTTTTGTTCACTACTATATGAGCAAACACACTTCTAATGTGCCTCATGGCGGGGGATAGTGATAAAGCTGTTTTCTTGTTATTTCATGTAATTGAAAATAGGATATTTCATAAAATGGATATGAATACTTGTCGAATTTTGCATTTTGCTTTAGTCTGGAGATAAGTATGATTGTGTAAATTGTGATTGACGCCCTGTTTTTTTTCAATAAAACAGAAGCGCTACCCATATAAACAGCCTTGCCTGGCACCAGTTGGAGAATACTTCCCTGTCGTTGTCACCCACATGGAACTGCCTAATATTGTAAGTAGAGCATTTTGTCTGTATTGTGTCGCCACTAAGTACTCATCTGTTTCATATTGTACAGCTTCTAAACAATGTGACCTAGTTACTACATTCCATTGTCGGGTCAGAGATGGTTTTTTACATTTGATTGTCACAGAAAGACTGACAACTTGTCCAGGAGATGGTCTTGGTTGGGTTACTTGTCAGTTTGGTCTTTGGTTGATTGCTTGTCACAGTGTTTGTTTGTTGTTGTACAGTGCCATACTCAGAAAAGTGACCGCTGTCTGTAAACTATCAAGTCTGCACCAGACTGGTGATTTGTATCGTGCAATATCCCATGCTGTTGAGGTACGATGATGTGCAATTGACCAAGTCACCAAGCCCTGACAACTCATCCATCTTTTTGTCCCTGACAACCTGCATAGGTTGCTCGGGAAGACTTTTGAGTTAGTCAGAGAAGGTACATGGTTTCTGCTTTTGTCTGAGAGTTGGTCTGAGTAAATGTTCTTGAGTGTAGTGCACACTTTTTTCCCCCAAAAACACAGCTGTTGATATTCCCTGAAGATTCTGGGTGTTGCTTCAGGTGTGGTTCCAGCATGTTGCCCAGGAACCCCGTGATATAGATGACGAGGTGGTGAAGCGAGTAGAACAGGTGAACAGTGACCTGGCAGCACTCCTCAAGATGTCCCCCGAGCTGGCACAAGCAGAAACCATGGGGAAGTCGTTCATCAAAGTCCCAGCACCAGGTAAGTTGAATGTTGGACAGTTCCAGGCCCAGGTAAGTTGTATATCAGCTAGTTCCAGCACCATGTAAGTTGTATGTTGGCCAGTTCCAGCACCAGGTATGTTGTTTGTCAGTTGTTTGTCAGCCAGTCCCAGCACCAGCCAAGTTGTATGTCGGCCAGTTCCAGTACTAGGTAAGTTGTATGTTGGACAGTTCCAGTCCCAGGTAAGTTGTTTATCGGCTAGTTCCAGTACCAGGTAAATTGTCGGGCAATCAATGATTACTGACATATAGATGTGAGCGAGTGATTAAAATAACTGTATAATGGTTTGAGTAAGTTGAATATGTGCTTGCAGTGCTTAGACATCTAAGGATTAGTTCTGGGGATTTGTTAGACATGTGTTTTCCCAAATGGAAGTGAAGTCATTGAACCGGACGTGATATCATGGCAGTGCATATGGCCTAAGGTTCCTTATTGTTTTGTCTTGAGGCCAGATGCTGGTATGAGGTTGTGGTAGGCATGTATTTCACCGAACCAAAGGTCATGGTGTCCTGCTGGAAATGCGTAGAGGTGTGGAATATTTCTAGAAATTGTAGTGATGGAGCTGCATCTGTTTTTCAAGTGCTTCAAAACGTTTTAGCTTCTATCCATTTTAGCTGTAGTTTTGTGTTCTCCATTCCCACTGACAGCAAGCAATGAATCTCACCCACTGTATGTCTGTATGCTTGTTCTATTCCGTCAGGTCAGATGTGCAGCGCCCAGTTCAGCTATGATGGCTGCTGGTACCGGGGCCTGGTGATCGACAGGGATGAGGACACACAGCTAGCGCTTGTTGTGTTTGTAGATTATGGGAATGTGGAGTACGTCCACCTGGACAGGTTTGTGTTTGGTAGTGTTCTCATGTATTTGTTGATGTGTCTGTTCAATGCTTAATGTGAGGTTTTGTGAGTGGTATCGAAGTCATGAAAAAAGAACAAGTATGTGTGTATTCACGAAATATAATACATGATGGTGAGGACCCCCGACTATTATTTTCACAGCTACACACTTTTGAGGTCTTACATGACAGAACAGGCAGATGTATATGCAGTTAAGGCTTTGCATGATGACACTGGAATAGTTCATGTTCAAAGTGTTTTTTTTATTATCCACGGTGGTTTTCTGAATCATATCAAAGCAGTTTGACAGATAGTCTTCAGGTGATGTCACAGTTAGCTTATACTCCCACTTGGCACAAAGGACATCGAGTGAGTTGGCTTGTACTTGACTTAAAACTTTTTGTATGAATTTACAATTGTTAAATAACAGCATAACTAAGAATATTTGATGATATGGGCTGAAATTGTCAGTGTGTCCGTTCTCCGGTTTATACCGGATATTGACCGGTAAAATATGACCAGGGCCGGTAAATTTGAGTTATTACAGTCCCTGTGTCTGGTCAGATGTAACAAATGTTATATTTGGGATTACACTTCTCTTTCTAAAGTATAGATTCTAGTACTGTTTTGGGTTGTCCCATCCATGATACGAACCCACACTCTCAGAGAGTTAACATTTGTTACATTTGACCACTTTCGAAAAGCCAGGTGTATTCATAGCTTTGGGCTATGGGAGCTGTGCAAATTTACACTTGTCAGAGAGTTGTCTGACTCATTTTTTTGGGAAGCCTTGGTGTCTGAGTGGGTTAGGTAACTGACTTTGTGTGCTGGCAAGAAGGTGCCTCAATCTTGAGTGTGTGGGTTAGAATCCCAGATGGGACTCAAGCCCCATAAATATTAGGATCTTGTGCTTTACAAAGTATGTGTGAAGATCCGGGTTAGAATAGGTCTTCACCAACCCACGCTTGCCATTAAAGGCGATTGTGCTTGTAAGAGGAGACTAACGGGATCGGGTGGTGATTCTTGACTTAGTTGATGCATGTCATCGTATCTCAATTAAGTGGATAGCTGCTCATGATATCTATCACTTGATTGTCTGGTCCAGACTTGATTATTTACAAACCAACATCATATAACTGGACTATTGCTGAGTGTGGCGTTGAACAAAAAAACCCAAACAAACCCAAACAAACAAACAAACATGTGTTTTTAAACTTATTTTGAGTGATGTTGACACGAGGATGTGTTTATGAAAGATTTATATAAAACTATTTTATATCTAACAAATGTTATGCTTAGGATTACACTCTCTTCATAAAGTTTGTTTCATCTACTTATAGTCAGGTATTTATATTAAATTTGCAACAGCTAACATCGGGGCAAATGACTTACCTCCTTGGAGTAAGACTGCTGAATCGATAGAGCTGAACTTTTTGTTGCAATTAATACTTCTTTAGCCAGGACCGGTACTTTTGTTTGCACCCGGCCCACATGACCGGTAGATAAACACTGATTGTTCATGGGCAATAATGCACAGCTAGAACAATAGAGTGATGTCACAAAAATAATTTAAGATCTTGGAAGGTGAGAGACACCTAGTGTCTGGTTTATGGAAAGAAATGTTGAGTGAAGTTGCTTGTTGTCTGTTGTAGGTTGCGGGTCCTGACAGCATCAGCTCGGGGTCTGGCAGGGCAGGGTGTGAGGAGCTATCTCCACGGGCTGCAACCTGTCGGCGGGCCGAGGCAGATCTGGTGTAAGAACAGCATGGTTTTAAACCTGCAGCTGATCGGAAACCAACCGCTTGTGGCCTGTATAAAGGTGGGTGTGTCAGATAAACAGCTTGTCGCCTATATAAAGGTGGGTGTGTCAGATGAACAGCTTGTAGTCTGTATAAAGGTGGGTGTGTCAAATAAACAGCTTGTTGCCTGTATAAAGGTGGGTTTGTCAAATAAACAGCGTGTTGCCTGTATAAAGGTGGGTGTGTCAGAAGAACAGCTTGTAGCCTGTAGCATGTATAAAGGTTGGTGTGTCAGATGAACAGTTTGTCGCCTGTATAAAGGTGGGTGTGTCAAATAAACAGCTTGTCGCCTATATAAAGGTTGGTGTGTCAGATAAACAGCTTGTAGTCTGTATAAAGGTTGGTGTGTCAGATGAACAGCTTGCAGCCTGTAGCCTGTATAAAGGTGGTTGTGTGTCAGATAAACAGCTCGTAGTCTGTATAAAGGTGGGTGTGTCAGATAAACAGATTGTAGCCTTATAAAGGTGGTTGTGTGTCAGATAAACAGCTCGTAGTCTGTATAAAGGTTGGTGTGTCAGATGAACAGCTTGTCGTCTGTATAAAGGTGGGTGTGTCAAATAAACAGCTTGTCGCCTATATAAAGGTTGGTGTGTCAGATAAACAGCTTGTAGTCTGTATAAAGGTTGGTGTGTCAGATGAACAGCTTGTAGCCTGTAGTCTGTATAAAGGTGGTTGTGTCAGATAAACAGCTCGTAGTCTGTATAAAGGTGGGTGTGTCAGATAAACAGATTGTAGCCTTATAAAGGTGGTTGTGTGGGAGATAAACAGGTTTTCTGTCACTTTGTGTTTGTTCTTTACCTCAACAAACATAGAACTGTTTGTGATGAAAACCAATGGCAACCCCCAACCTTGACTATAGATGTTCTTTACTTCATCAAACATATAGTCCAACATGTTTTCATCTGCCAGGCCTTGGAGCCACTAAGTGTGGAACTGTACAAGAAAAGCTGTGATGACTTCGATACAGAACATCTGGAGTTAGCCTACCAGCAACTCATAGAGTCTGGCCTTGCTCAGATTGACCCAAGTCTTGCTGAGGAATCGGAGCTGTAAGTAGAAGAATGTCTTGTATCTGTTGATTGTATGATGGTGTTTTCCTATTTGATTCCAACTAGTATTAGGTACTATTCAAGTCATCAGCTTACAAGTACAGCCTGTTCAGTGAGATATGAAACTTGTCCCTTCTCTTTGTACAGTTCTGTGTGATTGTCCTGTTGTAATTAGATGTAGATGTATCTCAAAGGATGATACTATTAATTCATACTGTGATACACCACCATATTAATACATAACAATGTACAATATGCTATATACTATTTTGATAAATTTTGATACAGATATGCTTTTTATGAACAGTAACTGATTAGCATTTATTTGTTGATTTTTCAGTATGATTGTGTTGAAACATCAGAACAAGATAAGAAAAACAATTTTCTGCATCTTCACATTGTCCAAGGGGTGTGTGGTAGCCTTGTGGTTAAAGCGTTCTCTTATCACCCTGAAGAACTGGGTTCGATTCCCCACATAGGTACAATGTGTAAAGCCCATTTCTGGTGATCTCCGCCTTGATATTGCAGGAATATTGCTGAGAGTGGCATAAAACCATACTCACTCACTCACTGTGAATTGAGTATTGCAATACGTATCATATCGTGAGATAGTTGTATCATGACATCCCTAGTTAACACAAACAGGATCACTTGTTGCAGGTTTGACTTGGCTGTGACTGCAAGCTTGAAGGAAGCAGAAATAGGGGCAGATGTTATAATAGAGGAAGACACAGAGCTGAAGGAGGATGAACGGGTCACGGAGTAGTACAACGTGGATGTTCCTGGGAGCTTACACTAGGAAGAGAGGGGACACAGTCCAGGAGTATCTGTATGTTCAGCATCTGTGTGGGTTGGATGTGTTAGCAGTGTTAATGAATGGAAACTGCCCTGGTCACAAGTCATTGTGTCTCGGTGTAGGTTATGACCATCTTCACAACTGTTGACTGGATGAGAAACCAAGGCATGGGTTGTCAAGACAACTTACAGAACTAAATTGTATTCTTTCTGGAATTTGATTTCTCAAGGCTATTATTATTTCATACATGTCATTTATGAACATATAATTTGTCAAGCCATGTTTTAATAATAGCTTTTGGAAGCTACCCTCCAGTGAAGGATAATGATTTCTTGACAGAGTTCAAGAAGTACGAAGTGCAATGCCAATCCTTACAACTATCTGACAAAATGGAGGGAAGAGATGCACTGCATAGGGAAGTAAATTTCATGGGCAGTGGGGGCGGTCGGGTAGCCTAGTGGTTAAAGCGTTCGCTCGTCACGCCGAAGACCCGGGTTCCAACCCCGACATGGGTACAATGTGTGAAGCCCATTTATGGTGTCCCCCGCCGTGATATTGCTGGAATATTGCTAAAAGCGGCGTAAAACCAAACTCACTCACTCAACTCATGGGCAGTGATTGGATGAAGATATGAAACAAGAAATTAAGATACATGTGAAACTGAGGACATGTGAAATGAAGATACTTGTGAAACTGTTAAACATGTAAAATTAAGGTACTTGAACTGAAATACATGTGAAATTGGGTAGTTCTGAAACTTAAAAACATGTCAAATAAAGGACTTTGTGAAACTGAGAAACGTGGAATTGAGATAGATTTGAATCTGAGAGTGATGGGAAATTAATTGGAGCATGTATGAGGAATGTGTGGTTTCATGTGAAATGTTTAAATTCTGTGAACCGGGAAAGTTTTGCGAGCACAAATGTACTGTGAAAACTGCAAGTGACACACACTTGCAATAGTTTCATGATGCTAAAAACGTACCAGTAAGGGTGCTTATTTCGTTTATTCACTTCCACACATTGTCAAACTAACCAGAACATGATTCAACAAATAACCCCTTACATCCAGTTTCCTTTTATACCCATTGTCACTCAATGTCAATGGTCTAATCAGGAAAATTCACTAACCTGCCACACCTTGTAAATTTCATTACATGATACCGAGTAGTCAATCATTCATTTCCTCAATCATGCCAGCCTTTGATATAAAGAGTAGTGTTTGATAAACACGCTACTTCCTTGTCAACTACAACACATTCATCTGTAGTGAACAAAAGGCCACTGACTGACACAGAGTTACCTTCTCATCATGCCGCTTCCTACTCATAAACAAAATACACAGGAGCAAAAGCAACTTTTATCTTTGGTAATCTCATCGACATGGTGTAGCAACATTTTACACACAGTAAAGGCTATTGTTACCCACGCTCAATAAATTAATGATGCAAAACTGTCCAGGTTCACAGTATGCAGAATAAGCAACAGGTTTTGTTGAAACATTGATATACTGTGAGTTACTAGGGTAGGACTCATTCATACGTTATTCTCATTGTTACAGTTGTATTGTTACATTCCTTGCACTGAGTTGAATGTATATAGCTGGTGTAGTTAAGTAAAACTGTTTTTTCATGATGTGGCCAAATTAATGATTTAATTTAGTTTGGATTGTAACAGGTATGTAAGGAGAAAAAGTGTATGTATATCAGTTTTGTGTATGATAGATGAGTGGTGGTGTGTTGATCTAAGAGGGTGAATGTGGATCACTTTTAGAGAAGTGCCCGACTTCAGCCCTCATGAATCTCAAAACAACATAAATACATTTTCATCTTTTATAAATGTTGGTACCCAGCTGAGTATCTACATTGTTGGTGATAATTGTTTATTTTGTTACTAAAAGAGTACCATAACGTTTACATTTGTAACCACATTTAACACTGATGTTTGAAGGCCTGACTTAGAGCTACAACGACTTCACATGCATTGTTACAAAAGGAGAATATAAGGCTATATTTTGTTGATTTATTTTCCATAATGAAAGGTTTGGGTTTTGTTAAGTGGAAAAACACATTCAGATGTTTTTGAACTCAGTGGAACCAACAAACGTTTGACACTTATGATGTTTGAGACAACGAGTGTAGAGTTGGCCTACTTTGCATGAACAAGGGGAAATGTTGTCAGCATCCCAAGAATAATGAGCAACCTTTTCATTTCTGACAAATATGATTTTGTCAACATTTACTCCGAGCATGTATAGACTACATTTTACAATGTTCAATGTTGACTTGTCGAGGTTATAAGTTGTTTCCTTGAATCAAAAGTAAAATTGAGACGACCAAGGCAAAATATGTTTGATTAGGAAATAAAATCAGTCCACTGATTCAATCAAGACGGCAATGAATGTTATTAATCAGAAAGTTAGACTCAAGGATTCACTGTTCTTTTTTAACATTTAACAGATATAAATGTCATAATGAAGAAATTCTCACTTTAGTCTTTTCATGTCAAATACATCAACACAAGATGATAAAAGTTTCAGAGTCTGAGGAGTGTTGATATATTTGGTATCAAAAGACATGAGGGTAAGATTCTATGTATCATCCAAAATCATTCTACCATTTTTTTCAGTTTGCTATCAGTAATAATCAGCATCTTGAGTTTAAAAAGTAGTTAACAACTTTCAGTGTCAGAGATTTGTGATGTCATTTCATTGTGATGTCACAATGGTGTGCAACCCATTGGGATGCAATTTCATTGTCGCATGATCTCACCCAAGTGATATCTCCTGTGTTTTGGATGATTAATGTGCTGCTTAACCTTTGGAAGGGATACTGAAAATATTTCTTACTATTAGTTTATGTTACTTGTTACTTGTGGATTTATCATGCAATAATAGAAATATCCCTATCAAATGTTGAGTGTGGGTAGAATTTTGACTTTTAACTATTGGTCACATGTCTGAATTTGCTTTACTCCGAGATTTAGCTGTCAGTTCTGTAATTGACATTGATTGAAGCAAACATAAATAATATATAAATCACTCACTTATTCCAAACTCCTGCAAGACATGTTTTACTTACTTTTGTTAATTTGATGCATGTAATCAGGAACAAGAAATGTTCAAGACTGTCAAATGGAAATTCTAATCCTGTTAGGTTAGCATTTCTAGTGTCCCCTGCCGTGATTGTGCTAAAAGCTGTGTAACACCATACTCACTCACTTACTGTTAGATTAGATTCAATGCCAGCCTCTTGCTTCTTGATCATATTATATTCTTTTCATTTTGTTTCAGTTATTTTGATTTGTGTTGCTCCATCTGTTCTTTCTGAAATTGTTTTTGTGCTTTTTGCACCAAAAGAAATGTTTTATATCGACTGTAAGACCATTTTCACTATAGTTGGAAATGAGATTATCCTATTTTTGTCACAAGGTTTTGAATTTCATACTTTTTGAAGAATGTTTCATCATGTTCATGTTGACTAGTCAGTGTATTATGAGGTGGTCTTATTTCTTGATTGGTTATTATTGCATCTTGTTCACTCACAATACTGCTATATGAAGATGTTTGTTATGTGTCATGATAACCTAACTGTACAGCTTTTGATTTTGAAGGAAACCATATTTGAATATTTCACTTCATTACAATGGTAAATGTGTTTATTTATGTTTCTACTGAAGATATTGTTTTGTACAGAATCGACAATTAAAATTTGTTTTTTATTTGTAACATGACTATTCAATTCTATCATGTCCAGTGGTGATTCCAGATTATAGTTGTGTTCACATACCAGATGATGTGGATCATTGCTCATAATATCAATCACGGAATTGTCTTGTCTAGGTTCGATTATTTACAAGCCACTGTCATAATGCATGATGAAAATCAGTTCTGTCATCAGAGAAGCTTCCAGTTCCACCTATCTGTTCAATTACTTTCAGGGAAGTGGCCAACAGTTCATTATGCTTGGATTAGTTAGAATAAGACATGGACAGACTGAGAGATTGTACATATGAGATTAGAGAACAGACATCATAATGACATTTACATTATTCGTGTCTTTCCAAAATGTGTAATTTCTGTTACTGGTGGGTGTAAAGATGACTTCTTTTAAATAGAGTTTGAAAGTTGTCAGGTTGCATGACCAGGTCTGGCAGCAATATAAGTTTCAGAGCCAGAAAATCGCCTGGTACATACAATCTATTTATATCTGAGAAACTGTTGTGTGCAAGTATGTGTAGAGTAGATATATGCTCCTAAACCCCGCATAGGTGATACTCTTATTACATATCTGAAGACATCAGCACATAAACACATGAAGCAGGAACTTAATTTCATTGCTGGAATCATCTTGGGCATCAAACTGCCATGTAACAGTACATACTAGTAACCCCACGCTGTGTGCGTGAGTAACTGAGTACAACGGAATGATATTGACCTATCTGAAGCGGGGTATTCGCATTGGGCCGTAAACGATATTTATGTGGCCCAGACTACTATCTCCAGTCTATGCTCTTGGTATGGGTACCATTTCCAACAGTGTAGCACGTCACATGACCGAACCCAGGCCGACCCCCACCCCCGTGTTACAACGACTGTACAGGACTACCACATGCGGCTATGTCATTTACGGCAAAGGTCAATAGCGGCAGCATTTCCAAGATAGCGAGATGCGTCAGACCAGACGGAGTCTTCGTCTCCACCTGTCAAATGTGGTGTATTGACAAAAGAACACCAGCTACGATGACAGTGGTGTCTTTGACTCAAGCACGTAGTGTATAGCACAACCAGGAATTCACAAACAAGTCAAGATTTATGCATCGCCGAGTTGATGGAAAAGATAGGATGTGCGGATGTCCCTACGAACGTTCGCAACCAACTGAATAGGGTGTTGGCAGAGTAATGCTATGGGCGAACATCACCCACACTGGTAGAACAAACGTCGAAGTAAGAGCAAGGCAGATCAAATGCTATTGTGTTTAAACCACACAGCTGCACCCTTTCCCCATTATGAATCTTGCTAACGTCATCTCTCAGCACGACGGTTGGTCCTCTCGTCGGAATAGATCTTGAACAAATGCTGTTTCTTCTTAAACATTTGAAGGGGCAAATGGACAAAACCTGTCAATCACTGAATTCTCTGGTCCAGACTCGATTATTTACAGATCGATGTCATATAGGTCTGATATTGCTGAGTGCGACGCTAAACAACAAACAAACAACATACATGCAGTGATTCTACTCGTCCATCAGTATATCATGGACTACCATCATATATTAGAAAGGCACAAATGAAGAATGAAATAAAAATATTAAGCATCGTATAAATGAACTAAATTTGTCAATATGACACTAAAAATACCCGTCACACTATATTTTTGGTGTCTAGCCGGGAGAGCCACATTTCAGAAATGGCTATTGCCGGTAGAGCCACATTTTCAGCTGAGTGCATTTCACCTATTCTAGCGGGTAATTACTTAATCCGATTACCGATACCTTTATATGAGTGTCCCACATTTAAATTATTAAGCGTGGTGTTCTTTAGAGATACCTTTAAATGAGCGTCCCACATTTAAATTATTAAGCGTGGTGTTCTTTAGAGATACCTTAAATGAGTGTCCCACATTAGTTGGACTTTGAACGTGCAGCTCACAATGCCGTGACTGATGTATTTCCTGGGACATTAGTTAGAGGGTGTTTCTTTCACTTCACCCAATGTTATTCAAGCTTCTTCTTATGCAATTTAAACTATAATGTAATTCAGAGACATTACGCATGCCTGCACACTTAGAATGTTATTCAAGCTTCCTGTTATGCAATTTAAACTATAATGTAATTCAGAGACATAACGCATGCCTGCACACTTTGACGAAAACAACTGCACATACACAGCCCGGATGTGATGCAGTGAGGCTGCAACGTTCCCACAACTACTTGTGTGCAACGACTTCGGTATGTGCTACCCCCCAGAGATAACATTAACATACACACTTAAACTCACGATAAACTCATAGACACCAACAGGCATTTATCATGAAACATACAACTGCGCAGTTGGTGATCAAGAAACGTAAACGATACCCAAAATTGTTTAAGCTGAAAACGCCCAGCCGACAGGTAGCCAACAAAGTAACGATTTAAGCTTATTTTCTCAGAAAAAACACCTGTTTGTGCCAAACAGGACTGATTTACATTGTTAGGTAACGTATATACATACCAGGCTTTGAGCCGAGAGCTGCCCCAAGCTGGGCCATGTTGCCGGGTCCCACAGATGCTCTATGCTCAGGTGGTTGGTTGGTTTGTTGTTTAACGCCGCACTCAGCAATATTCCGGTCGGTAAATAATCGAATCTGGACCAGACAATCCAGGGATTAATATCATGAGCATCGATCCACGCCATTAGGATCGATGACATGCATCAACTAAGTCAGCGAGCCTGACCACCTGATCCCGTTAGTCGCCTCTTACGACAAGCATAGTCGCCTTTTTCGGCAAGCATCGGTTGCTGAAGACCATTTCTACCCCGGATCTTCAGATGTGACATGTCTGGGACTTAGCTACTTACCGGGCCAGTCCAATGTCCGTATACCTTCTCGTCTGAGATAATCGATGGCGACCTTGGCACGATATGGTCTGGCATTGTCATCTTGCAGTTCAACATATCTGCCGATTTTTCAAACGAATGGAACGACCGGACGTTTCGTCAACACATCGCTGGACTGTCAAATGTCTATTCACAATAACCAAATCACTTCGCCTGTCATGTGTGATACCGCCCCACACCATAACTCAACCACCCTCAAACTGGTCAAGTTAAAGAATTGTGCCCTGGCATAACGCTCGCCACTTCGACGCCAACAACGTGCTCTGTCATCTGTGAATGTATGTAAACATGTTGTAACGTCATGGGCGCACATCCCGTCCCTGGTGTTGCCAAGCCCACCCCACCCCCAATCTTTGCCGCCTATGGTAAGCTGTTTGGGTCAAATCCTTCAAAGGACGCCTTGCATTCAGGCTGGTTGCATAAATCCGTTTTTTAACGATAGCTGTTGAAATTCGTCTTCCTTGTATTGTTTCTGTTATATTATACTCTATTGCACACAGCATCAGATGTGAATCTATTGCGCAGTGCAATTTGTGCAATCAGACGATCTTGTCAGTGTGTCGTTTTTTAGGCCTGTTCATTTAGGCATTGCCTTGGAGGCATTTCAGCGTGTGCTTAGCTCAAGGCAGGCAAACAAATAACCTTCTTGTGGATACCCGCCCACGTAGGAGTATACGGTAATGAAAACGCCGATAAAGCAGCTAAACTATCCCTCAAAATCCCAGAAATAAGCTTAAAATTACCCATCTCAAAATCAGAAATTAAAAGTGTAAACAAGCAAAAAATCACACAAAAATGGCATAACCTATATCTAAACTCAAATAGCCAAATCAAAAAAGTGCTCAGCAAACCACTTACCAAACCAAAAATTCTCCATCCATAAAAAAATCGAATTTAAATTCATTATGATATTCATATGCTATTCATATTCATCAATGTAAAGTTTTGATGAATATGTTATCCTTGTTGAATAGAAAATGAGAAAACAAGACTTCTTTTGTTATATACGGTAACCTGTTAGAATCACAAAGCATGTTTTGACAGCATAGCCGCGAGAGCCACATTATACAATCACGCAACCATAACCATTGCCGCGAGAGCTACATCAATTTGGGCTATCTATTTTCGAAATGTGGCTTTGCCGGCCTGTAACCATATTTTTTCTCTAAATGTGCACAACATTCTCACTTATCTAACCAAAAACATTTTTGTCATGCAATAACTTATACTACATTTAGAAAGAAAATTCGTCGGTGGGGGATCCAGAGGGTTACATGGGGTTAACCCCCCAACCCCCATCCTTTTGAAATCTACAACCATTAAAACTTCGCTCCCCACAGAGGGTAAAAACGGTTCGTTTAAAAAAAGACTTTATCCACCCTCAGATCCACCCTCAGATTATTAATAATCAGTAAAAACAAACAAATATGCATTAAAACAGACACACGAATACTTTTTTCAGGTTACATTTAGTTAATCCCGAGGCAAATACATGTACGCGGTATTTTGTTTATTTTTCATGACTGTCATCTTCATTTATATGATCTGTCCTGTTTTCGTATAAAAAGGAGTATATATAAAGTACGTGGTGGGGAGTATTGGCCTGTTTTATGTTGGACCGCCCACGTGGTCTTGTGGTAGAGCGTCCGCCCGGAGAGCGGAAGGTCCGGGGTTCGATCCTTGGCCGCGTCATACCAAAAGACGTTAAAAGATGGTACGATAGATGTTGTTACCCTGTCTGGCGCTCGGCATTCAGAGGCTGGTCGGCTCGGAGTCAGTATACTGTGTCTGAGTGGGGTATTCATGTTACGGCATGGTATTTCAGTGAGCTAGCACTATAAATCGGCATAACTCCGGACTATGTAAGTGCAATACTCTTGGACGCGACGTTAAACCCAATTTCACTTCACCTCACCTGTTTTATGTTCCTTTTTTAAAATGAGGGACCCAATTAATTCCATGGCTCACAGACATTGTGCATACTGAAGAATCAACTCAAGGTTACTGAAGACGTTCAAAAAATGAAGCTGCCAACCCCCTTTTGGTTCGCGGGATTCAGGGGTCTATAAAGAGGGTATTCGGTACTCAGCAGTCGGACACACAAATACAACTTATAAATAATTAA